CGATGGCTAAAAAAAAAAAAGGCTATAGATGAACATGAACTTGCCCACTTTTGAGAGTTGTGAGTGCACATGTCATGTAATTTTTCTTTCTTGGATTTTATGATATCTAAGCGTGTTCTTTATTTTAGGATCATTTAATCAAGACTGCATGAGACTTCCTGGCATTGTGTCCTGAGAATGGAATCCATCTCCATGGACACTTTGGGAGTTCCAAGGGTTGGTCTTGGGAAAACTCCCCCCATGTCACAGTTCAAGTTGGATTTGACAAGCCAGTGGAGTGGGGAGAGGGGAAACATGCTTCATTTTGAGCTCAGTTGGGCCTTGTTTGGTGCAGAACAAGAGCCCTGTTCACATGTCATTCTAATGGCCTTGCTGTGTTGAAAGGGGAGCAGGACCACTCTTTGAGCCTCACCCCCAACCTCACGTGTCCATCAGTGCACGGTTGTTTGCAAAGGGACCCCAGCGCAGAAGCGTTGCTGGCAGATAAGGGCTCTGTGCGGTTGAGCTGCTCCTGCAATCAGGTGAAATTGGTTTCCCTTATTGCTGCCAGCAATTCTCTCATGGCCTTACTTTGCCTTGGCTGCATATTCCTCAGCAGCAGGAAGGGAGCTTTTCCTCTCTCCCTCCCACCCCCCTCTCTCCCTGCTGCTACACAAGTATTCAAATGCTAAGGAGATGGGGGAAAAACCTTCCTTCCTGCAACTGCAGCCATGTCCATGGGTAAGAAAGCCCCACTTAGCCATCACCTGGATCAGATTTCAGCATGAACTGAGGAGACCTCTGGGGCTGGGTATGGCTCTGTTTGGAATACTGGTTCCCGGACAAGGGTAGGCATGGCTTGGCACCTGCAAGGTGTTCTGCTGCTCCTGGACTTGCTCTTTCTTTTTACCAGTGGATCTGCTTGTTCATCCTTCCACACTGGCCATAGCAATGGTGAAGGAGAAGGAGGAAGAGCAGCAGATGCCACTGCCGGCTTCCTCCCTGGCTGTCTACCCATCAAACAAGAAAGGGGGACCAAGGATGAAAATGAAGACTAGGTGCAATAGCAGCTAGTGGCAATGGTGGGGAGAATGTAGATTAACTTGTTCTGGATATCTTAGAGATGGGCCCTCAAGTCTGGAGCCAGCTCTGCCTCCAAAGAGGTGCTAAATCAAAATTCTAAACTTGGCCTTCTAACATTTAGTTACGTCTTGTGGTGTAATGGACCAGGATCATTGGGGAAGCAGCATTTTGTGGGTATATATTTGGGTATTGTGGTCTTTCAGTATGTAATGTGTGTGTCTATAACCTTCCCCAGATGACACCTTCCAGATGTCATCTTCCAGCTGACTCCTAATAGCCCCAGCCAATAGTCAGGAATTCTGGGGGCAGTCATCTAAAATACCAGCCTGGGGAAGGTTGAATATGGCTCAACAAAGCTGGCTCAGTGTTTGCCCTTGGGATGTGCCATGATAAACTACGCTCCACTGGTTACCAATGATAGCTAGAGACAGAAGCCAGGCTATTCCTGTTTACCTTGCTCCAAATTCTAGTCTCCTTCCATCTGTTGTATGGAACCCTATAATTAACTCAGGCTAATCAACTGAGCATTTGCCTTGTCAGTTGCCTTATCCCAAGGGACACTTGTTTCCTGTAGTCTTAACTGTTCCATGGTTTTGTTTTTGACTGTGTATTACACTGCTTTTATTATACCTGTCTTTAAAAAAACCCTGTTCTTGTAAACTGACCTGAGTTGAAATGTGCTTTAAAAAGATAGGATATGAATTTCATGGTAAAGGAACAGGGATAAAATTACAGGTTTTTGAAACTCTTGTATGGTAGATTCACAAAGGGATGTTACAACCCTTTGAAAACCCTCCATGTTAAATTGACTTTTTGTGTAACTTCTTGAACTTAGTGCTATACATAATTTTTGTATAAGGTCCCTCAATAGCTTTTTCTTGCTTTTTCGTGTTACTTTTTCTTGTTCTCTCTCTGATTTATTTATTTAAAAAGGAACACCCTCCTATGAGGTGATTTTGGCCTATTTCTGTTGTCCGCAAGTCCTTGGGTACACATACTTGCTCCAGAGTTTTACTTCTTCTTGAAGGAAATAAGCACCTATTTAAAGAACAAATTTTATCTATGTTCCAAGACAGAGTAATTAACTGCTTTAAAATCCATCAAATGAGAACAGGTGTCCCCAGCCTTTTCAGGTCAGTGTGAACTTTTAAAGAATCTTGTGGGTGCGCTCACATAACGGTTGCCATGAGGGAGGAGCCTGTCCATTCATAAAATGGCTGCCATGGTAGGCATGGCCAGTCATAAAATGTTTGCTTCCCAGAAGACAAACCAGTGACATGAAAATATAAGCAGCTTGCCGAAGAACCTAAATGCAAGGAAAAAGAAGCTGGGCCTGGGTCCAAAACACAAAACCATCATTTTCAACCCAAATAATAAAGACTCAGGAGGGAAGACCTTCACTTTGCAGCATGCTAACCATTATTATTGGTTTATAATACAAATAATATCTCCATTATTATTTTAATCTTAAGAAATAAAATGAAATCAGGAAGTGCAGGGAGCATGGTGGATGCCAAGGGAGCTGCCATATAAGTTTTGGGTTAAGGTTTTCTCTGACTCAGGAAAATTAATACTTCAAAATTCATGTACCTATATATGACTGGTTTCCATTATCATTAATCAATTCATAATTTACATACTTACAAATAGCATGGGAGGTTGTCCATCTAGGGCAAACAGTACAATCCAAGTTTTGCCTTTCTGTGTGATATAATACTCAAAGCAATTTCTAGGAAAATCAAAGATTTATTTGTTTATTTATTTATATTGTGATTTATATCTTGTATTTTTCCTACAAAGGGCTCAAGGCAGCTTACACCATTCTCCTCCTCCATCTTTTCCCCACAACAACAACCCTGTGAGGTAGGTTGGACTGAGAGTCTGTGACTGGCCCAAAGCCACCCAGTTGGCTCCATGGCTGAGTGGGGAGTAGAACCCAGATCCTCTGAGTCCCAGTCCCATGCTCTTAACCACTACACCACACTGGCATTTAAAGATGCATTTAAAACTTAGCAGGTATCTACTGTGTGTGTTAAAATGTTCTCCCCAAATTGCTATTGAAGCTACAATACACAAAGTTTATTCTACCACATGTGGTAGACCTTTGAACATGGGCACATTAAGTGATTTGCAAAATCACAGGACAAATATTTAACCCTGATCTATGGGTGTCTTTTCTCAGCTTGTGTATTGAAGAGCTGAACTCATTACTGCGTAGAGAACTGATAATATCTGTCATTACAGCTGCCCAGATGGAGTTTGCTTGGCAATGGGAAGCTTACAAGGCCACTCACCCACAGTTCTTGGAACCAGTGTCTTTGGAGACGTGGCTCTTATGAAAAAAACTAATGCACTAAATCACCTTCTGCAGAGTGTTTGGCTAAACTTGATTCACTTCAAGCAAAATGGTGCACACCCATTAGTTTATGTAAAAAGATTTCTGTCGTTGTTTGGATTTACTGAATTCATTATATAGATTGGGTATAGGTATTATTTTGTTCTAAATGATCCACATCTGAACCCTTATGTTTATTTAAACATTTTTAGCAAGATACTATTTTTTCCTATTCTCCTCCAAGTTTTTTCTTCTGGCTAAATGCAACTTTTAACACTGTGTGTAATATATGAGTAAATGAAACAATTCTATATCAAAAATCCTATATACTTTGGCCAGTTGGCTATACATATCTCCTGCTACATACAGGCTTTGAAGCTTTGACATGCCTCTGCAAATGTTGGGTTGCATCTAGTTGGATGTGTTTCCTACTGAAATCAGTGAGAACAGTTAGGCATGACTTAAGTTGAACCAACTTGGACTGGATCTAATCAGTTATGCTTCTGAGCATTTGCCAATATATGTAGAAAGCTGCACCCACATGTAGTGGCTTGTGGACACAATGAACTGACTCTGGAGTAGGAACTGGCGCATCTAGGATTTTCAGGTGGTGGTGCTGTAATGAAGACTGGCAATTTGATGTGTTACTGGATTATAGACGTCCACTCTGACGACAAGTGAGCAAATTTGTTTGCTAAACTGCAGGTTGATCTTGACTTCCCTCAATAGCCAGAGAAGTATCTTTTCATAAAGTTTTGTTAATATAAAACTATATTTTAATTTAGTCAACTGAATATTTAAATTGACAACCCTAGTTAATCTATTTCAGGCCTGAGTTTTGCGATTTGAGCCTTCCATTAAGCCCTTTTTGAGCATTTTCTTCAGAGCAAGTCTTGCTTTTTTAAAATGAAGCTCCTACTGGCCTAAGTACTTTGACTTGGCAGTAAGTCACTTTTTAGGGTGAATTTTGAGCTGATATAGCAGAGCTCATTTCTCCACTGGGAATAGTAAGAGATGCACAAAAATAGTTCCCAGAGGCCAAGCTTGTTAGAAAATCTGTGTCAGAAAAGTGCTTTAGTTTTTGCTATGGGACCAGCTCTTGACATAGGTCATGTAAGTTCTAACCAAGAAAACAGTGAATCATAATGGGGCGGGTGGGTTAAGCTGCTGGGTCAAAGCTTGGAGTTCTGCTCTTAACTCCTGCATTACCAAAACAAGCTGAGGCTGGAGAGGAGAGCAGGATAAACCTGAAAACAGACAGGCATGAGAATCTTGGCTTCAGGAAAGACACAGGAAGGATTCCATACATCTTTTTGGTAAAGGTAGTTTTAGCAGGTTCAAATCCCCATCTACCTCGAAGCTTGCGGGGGTGGGAGGAGCCTCGTTAATTCTGATAACTCTTTGCATTTGAACACAGGATGAAACTTTCTAGCTGGGTTGTCTCATGTCATGTAATAATGTGAAGAACTGGAGAAAGACTGAACGATAGGTATTTTATCTTTCAGCATAAAAATGTTTGCAGACCTATGTTCTGGCAAATTATTTTAAAAAACCCCTTGACCCCCATAATTAAATCCTCTCACTCTTGTCTTCCCTCTTTTAGGTGGAAAATGTTCGCTTACTTGATGGAATGTCTTCCAAAAGAGCTGCATTAGGAACGCTGTATCTAACAGCCACCCATGTCATCTTTGTAGAAAATGAGTCCGATGCTCGCAAAGAAACTTGGGTATGACAGTTTACAGATTACGGCTGAATAAATCCTGTAAAGCTAATCTGGATGGAGCCAAGTTTATTTCTTTTTTTAACTAAAATGCTTTGCAAACATACACTGAACACATTCAAAGGGAGTTGACATTAAATCTACAGCTTGAAGGCAGAAAACTTATAAAACAGGAATACAGAAGCTATGGCCTACCTGATGTTGTTGGACTGCAACTCCCATTCTCCATGATCACTGACCATGCTAGCTAGGACTGATGGGAGTTGGAGTTCAACATCTGGAGAGCCCTGGCTTTGGCTATAAACAGTTTATACTTCTCATATTTAGAAGATGGTATAGTTTTGTTGGTGAATTGGGTATGGAACCTGTTAAGTGATATGAGTGCCAAGTTTTGAAAAAAATTTAAAAGCCACTGCCTAGAATGGATCCTGTGTGAGCCAAGAGCAGGGCCAGACAAGTCATTTTGTTACATCGGGTGGGAAAGCACTGTATATTCTCTTCTGCCTCTCCCCATAACAAGATGCATAGCATCCTAAGCCAGCTTAATCATTTTGGCACCAGGGAAAATCCCAGAAGCACCTACATCACTTTATGGCAGAGAAAAATAAATATAATTTTGCTGCCCTTCCCACTCCAGATCAGCTGCCTGGGGCTGGCTGCCTCCCAGGGGCTAATGGTATGGCTGGCTCTGGTTTTGATGGGTCTGGGAGCTAAGCAGAACACATGAACTGCCTGTCCTGCGGTGTATAGCAGAGTAGAAAACCTTGCTTGGACTATGGGCACATCTGACAATCTGAGAAACTGTCCTGGGCCCCACCACAAAATGCCCTCACCTTTTCCTGTTACCCTCCTGCTGCACCAGGGCTCCCCAAACTTTCCCAACAGGGGGCCAATTGAAAGGTGCCCGTGGTGGGCGCAGGCCACCAAGGCGGTGCCGGCGGGGAGGGCACGCGAGGCGAGGCACCAGCTTGCTCACGAGGAGATCATTTTCTCCGAGCAAATCCAAACCAATCTCCGTGTGAGCAAGCCGCGTGCCCGCCCGCACCCGTGGCGAATGCAAAACCTCTGGGGCGGGCCAGTTAAATGGACATGGCGGGCCGGATCCAGCCCACGGGCCATAGTTTGAGGATCCATGTGCTACACATTTTGCCCCAGGATAAGTTTCCAGGTTGTGGTTTGCAAATGCAAGAATTTGCATTGTGTATGCAAGAATTTGCATTTGCATCTAAAAAACCAAACAACAGCAATCCTGAAATCAGAACTCTGGGCCTTTCAAGTGTCCTGTTTCTACGTAAAATATATCATGCAGGCATATAAAGGCAACTGCCTTAACGAACACTTGAACATCAATGTGTTCTGAGTACATGGTACATGCCACATAAATATACATATGTATGTATTTACTATATTTATATCCCACTTTTTTTCCTGCAAGGAATTTAAGACAGCTTGTGTATCTCTATCTGCTTCTCATGTTATCCACAGAACAACCTTGTGAAGTAGGTTAGGCTGAGAGTCAGTAACTGGTCCAAAGTCTCCCAGGGAGATTCCTAGTCAGGCCAGGATTAGAATCTGGATCTCCTGAGGTCCAAGTCAAGACTCTAACCAGTATGCCAAAATGTATTCTCTTCTACATTATATTTTCAAATATTTTTCAGTCAGTATAGCTATACCAAACAAACTGCCAAAATAAATGCAAGATCAGAAATACAGCATACATATCACCTGAAATGAACCTTGCTGTTAAGTATGATATTGATTGATTGATTGATTGATTTATATCCTGCCTTTTTCCTACAAAGGGCTCAAGGCAGCTTACATCTCCCCCTCCATCTTATCCCCACAACAACCCTGTGAGGTAGGTTGGGCTGAGAGTCTGTGACTGGCCCAAAGTCACCCAGTTGGCTCCATGGCTCAGCGGGGACTAGAACCCAGATCGTCTGAGTCCCAGTCCCATGCTTTTAACCACTACACCACACTGGCTCTCAGTGTTAAGTATGATCAATTCTCCAGTAACTAGCAATGATAAGGGGAGTGAGACACTGTTTATGTTGCTGGACGTCTCAGTGGCTTTCAGCCGTGGGCTCCTTCTGGAGATGATGGCTGAGGTGGGAATAGGAGGCACGGCATAGCTGTCTCCAGAAGGTGGTGACTGGGGAATATTGCTCAGCCCTTGAATTTTCCATAATGGAGTTTCTCAGAGGTTTGTTCTGCCCCCCATGCTATTTAGCATCTACATAAAAATGCTGAGTTGGGACATCCAAAGTTTTGGAGTGTGTTGCCATCGGTCGGCTGATGACACACAGCTCTACTTCCTCTTTTCATTGTTGGCAGGTGAGGCTGTGGATGTGTTAAATTGGTCTGGCTACAATAATGGACTGGATGAGGGCTAACAAACTGAGACTCAGTCCAGACAAGACTAAGATGCTGTTGGTGGGTGATTCCCTTGGCCAGACGGGAGGTATTCAACCTGTTCTAGATGAGGTTGCACTCCCCCCGAAAGAGCAGGTTTGTAGCTTGGCAGTGCTCCTTCATCCACCTTTATCACTTGAGGTGCAGGTGGCATTGGTGGCTTGGAGTGCCTTCCACCCACTTCGGCTGGTGGAGCTGCTGCGCACCTACCTGGACGGGGACAGCCTGGCTTCAGTGATCTATGCTTTGATAATCTGTAGATTAGATTAATGCAACATAATCTAGGTGCTGCCCTTGAAGACAATTCAGAAGCTGGCAAGAGTGCAGCAGCCTGGTTAATAACTGGGACTTGGAGGTCCAAACGTAGAATACCAGTTCTGGCCTGCCTGCCCTGGCTGTCTGTATGCTTCCAGTCCAAAGTCAAGAGACTGGTCTTAACCTATAAAGACCTTGGGATTGCAATAAGTGTCAGAGCAGGTCTCACATCTCTACGCTCAACTTCTGGGACCTTCCTCTGGGTGCCAACCCCTCATGAGGCTCAGAGGGTGGCAACTAGGTAGAAGGTTTTTCCTGTGGTGTCCCCTATCTTTGGAACGACCTCCCTGCTGCAGCCCACCTGGCACCAAATTTTTTGGCATCAGGTTAAGGCAACTGTCTTTGCAGAGGCCTTTAAAGACCTTCCTGGTCATTCAGAGGCCTGAGACAATTATCCAAGTCCTTTTTTTAAATTCTTGACCACATCTTTTTATTGTCTTTTAATTATTTTAAAAATGCTTTTTCATGCTATTTTAAAGTAATTTTAATTTTGTTAATATTTCATCTATTATATTTTATTGTATCTATATTTTGTGGTAAAGCACCTAGAGAGGTTCAGCTACGGCCAGGATAGAAACAAAATAAACTACAACAGCAGCAGCAGCAGCAACAATAATGACGCAGCAAAACTTCGGCTGGGTGGTAGCTGCCCCAAAATTCATCTCCTTCTCTCCTCTGTAACTGTGTAGTGCACAAATGCATCCTTCCCTAACTGGGAGCTCCCAAATGTTTTGAACAACAATTCCTACGGATTCTAACCATGGGTTCTTTGGCCAAGTTTGATGGGAGCTCAATTGCAATACCATCTCGAGGAAGACTGCACTAGAATCATAGAATAGTAGAGCTGGAAGGGGCCAGAAGGCCATTGGGTGCAACCCCCTGCTGTTGCAGGACACCAAGCTACACCTTCCCACTCAGGTGACTGTCCAGACACTTTCTGATATTCTCCAGCAGGGAAGAGCCTGCAACTCCCCCAGGTAATAGGTTCCATTGCTGTATTGCTCCTACAGTGAGGAAATTCTTCCTGGTGTCTAGTCTAAATCTGGTTCCTTTTAACTATGCTTTACATTCCTTATCTTATGGGGCATTACATCCAAGTGGATTTATGGGGACATACCCTTTGTTGCCATTCGGGCTGACCTTTGTTTTCTCTTTTTCAGATTCTTCACAGTCAAATCTCCTCTGTTGAGAAACAGGCTACAACTGCTACTGGTTGCCCTTTGCTGATTCGTTGCAAGAACTTCCAGAACATTCAGTTCATCATGCCTCAAGAAAGAGATTGCCATGATGTCTACATATCTTTAATACGTCTGGCACGGCCTGGTAGGGAATGGACTCTCTCTCACAGGCACTGATGTTATTTGGTAGACTGCTGTCCTGCAGCTTGTAATGCTGAGCATGGACTTTTCTAGATGAGGCTTTTAGCCCCTAACTTTACTGCCACCATGTGATTAAGATTGGATCAGTACACATGGCTTTCTTTTGGGGGTTTCTCTGCCTTTATGTATATTCTGCAATGTAACCCCTACATGCCACTGTGGTATAGCAGAATTGCAAACTGTGTTAGTGTTTGCATTCTGCCATCCCTGGAAATGCCAGGTTCTCCCCAGTCAACAAACCCCTGAAAATGCTTGGGAAGCACAGGAGAAGCCCTGAAGGATGACACTGTTGCCTAAAGCACCCATAAACTACCAGGAGAGGAATAGCAAGCACAAAAAAAGGTTCATCTAGAAAAGCCATAGAAGAAGGCAGAGCAATTAAGGACACAACTTCACTCGACATAATGTCATTCCTGTTTTACTGTTTTTAAAAGTTTTCTGTCCTCTCTGATAATATACCTGTGAAAAAATAATTACATACCTATTTTCAGTGTTTGATACTACTGATAATCCCATTCATCTCTCTTCTCTTCAGCCATTCCTGATCATGTGCTTTCTTGCTTTTGTTTCTTGGGTCAAGCAGGGGAGATGGGTTGGAGTGCAGAATCTCTGACCCAAGGTCAGAGCTCTGTCTCCAGTCTTGGTTCTGGGAATTGGACTTGTTCTATGCCCCTGTCGCCAATGATGTCTAGGGACCATCAGATTTCTCTCTTAGAGTCTCTTTGTTTCTGCTGACAGTGGAGGCTCGAAAGAGCTTCATTCTGGAAGCCTTCCTTTCACGCTTTGACTTGTTCTACTTGACTGTATTACTCATTTAAATCCAGTGGTCACTTTTACATTTGGAACAGTATTTCTAATCTCCAGATTGATTACTAACCAAAATTTCTTTCAGTCTTTTCCCAGTTTCATATTTAACATCCTCTCATTCTTTGAGCAGTATCTCTAAAATGGAACATATTTCTTTATACCCAAAATCTCCTTCTGTTCTCTTTGCCTCGATAATATTCTTTACCCTACCTTCCTTCTTCCTCTCCTCAGACTTGTAACAGTGGGGGTGGAGATGCAGTCTCCCTTTTCAGTTTATATTTCTTAGTCGTCTCAAAATATATCCATTTTGTTCCATTGAAACAACAAAAAACATACCACTTCCTCCTCCTTCTTGCACAATGGCTGCTGTGCTCTTCTTTCTAGTCTGTTTTTCTCTTCTACAGTCTCACACATCTGTTTTGAACCCTGTTGCTCGTGAGGTGTGTCCCATTGCTTTCCTCTCCCTTGAATCTATCCATTATTAACTTCTCTTCACTAGTTTCCTTCTTGTCATAGGCAAGTTAAATTTATTTATTTTTTGTTAGAAATATTTTCTCATCTCTCTCTTTTTCCTATGTTGTACCATTCGTCTTTCTTCTCTCTTTTTAGGCTTCCTTCTTATATTCTCATTATTCTACTGATATTTGTTTCCCTTCAATCAAGAGTTTCATCTTCAAGTTTTGCTTTGTCACGGCCATTTTTTTCTGTTGACTGACAGAATGCCCTAATTTCTTGCTTAGATGTTTAAGCAAAGGCCCGTTTGGGTCAACCATTTGGATTTTTAATGGTGTTTTTCTAAATAACCAAGTGTATTGACTTGCAGCTGTTGGTTAGTGATTGTGATGGAGCAGTGATGGATGCACAGGGTCTGAATATCACTGCCACCTTCTGAATGTCAGGAGTGTAAGCAAGAGGCAGAAAACTACAGAGGCGGGGACACCAGCTGATAAATTGCTTTGCAGGACCAGGCCAAAGTTCCAACATGCCTACCATTCTGCTTCAAAGAGTGCTCAGTCTCTGGGCTCTTGAGAAGCAAGGTACGAAGAGGTTTGGCTTCCCCTGTAGTTTGTTCCTACCATCCCTGCCCATGCTTACAAACTATTATTATTATTATTATTATTATTATTATTATTATTATTATTATAACATTTCTATGCCGCGCCCCTTGCCGAAGCCTCGGGGCGGCTTACAACACAATAAAATACATTGAAATACAATAGAACATAATAAATTACCACTAAATACAAAAATACAAAAAATACACTGAGATACAAACATAATAATGTAAAATTAAAATTAACAGTATAAAATAAGTAAATAAAGAATATAGGAGGAGAAAAGAGAAGGAAGAAGAAGTTGCCCTGGCCAGATCATATATTTTAACAATTAAAATGATGTTTAAATAAGAAGGTCTTTACCTGGCGCCGAAAAACCAGTAACGACGGTGCCAGGCGGACCTCTTTGGGGAGTGAATTCCATAGGTTGGGCGCCACCGCAGAGAAAGCCCTCCTCTGAGTACTTACTCTCCTAATTTCTTTCATGGAGGGTTCCCGGAGAAGGGACTCTCCCGCAGATCTCAAGGGGCGGTTGGGCATATACGGACATAAGCGCTCGTTCAGGTAGCCAGGACCCAAGCCGTTTAGGGCTTTATTGGTCATAACCAACACCTTGAATTGGGCCCGGACTTCAATGGGAAGCCATTGAAGCTGACGGAGGACTGGAGTCATGTGAGCATAATGCCCCGTCCCCGTCAGCAACCTGGCAGCTCTATTTTGCACCAATTGAAGTGTTCGGACCTTCTTCAGGGGAAGCCCCACATAAAGCGTGTTACAGAAGTCTAGGCAGGAAGTCACCAGCGCATGTGTCACTGTCGCCAGGCAGTCGTACTCCAGGTAGGGGCACAGCTGATTAATCAGCCGAAGCTGAAGGAAGGCGCTCCTCGCCACCGCTGTCACCTGAGCTTCCAAAGAAAGCTCCAGGTCGAGGAGTACTCCTAAGCTGCGGACCTTGTCCCTAAGAGGGAGTGTTGTACCATTCAGGACCAGGTCAAATCCACCCTCTCCGAAGCCTGATCCGCCAACCAACAGGACCTCTGTCTTGTCTGGATTGAGTTTCAGTTTATTGGCCCTCATCCATTCCATTACCTTGGCCAAGCACTGGTTCAGCACAGCCACTGCCTCACCTGGATTAGTGGAAAATGAGAGGTAGAGCTGGCTATCATCAGCATATTGATTCCGCAGCCCACACATCCTGATGACCTCTCCCAGCAGTTTCATATAGATGTTAAATAGCAAAGGGGATAGAATGGAGCCCTGTGGTACTCCATGACATAGCTGCCATGGCGCAGAGACATAGTCCCCCAGCACTACCTTCTGGAATTGACCGTTGAGATAGGAGCGGAACCACTGCAAAGCAGTGCCTCCGACCCCCAATCCTGCTAGCCTATCCAGAAGGATACCATGGTCGATGGTATTGAAAGCCGCCGAGAGGTCCAGAAGAACCAATAGGGATGCACTCCCCCTGTCCTTCTCCCTGCATAGGTCATCGTACAGGGCGACCAAGGCAGATTCAGTACTGTACCCGGGTCTGAAGCCGGACTGAAAAGGATCCAGATAATCAGTTTCATCCAAGAGTGCTTGGAGTTGTCCCACCACCACTTGTTCCAACACCTTGCCCAGAAACAGGATGTTGGCCACAGGTCTATAGTTAGTGGCCATCTCTGGATCCAGTGACGCTTTCTTCAGGACCAGTCGTAGTACCGCCTCCTTTAAAGGGGCAGGCACTCGACCCTCCCTCAGAGAAGCGTCAACCACTTCCAAGATCCAGGTCCCAATCCCGTGCTTGGAGTTATTTATTAACCAAGACGGGCAAGGATCCAATAGGCAAGTGGTGGGACGTACTCGTCCAAGCACCTTGTCCACATCATCGGGCCACAATAATTGAAATTCCTCCAATAATTTTGGACCAGACAGTAGCATTGGCGTCTCCCCAGAGACCTCTGATTCATTAGTGGAGTCCAGCTCGTGACGAATCTGAGCAATTTTCTCCTTGAAATGCCTGGCAAAGTCGTCACAGTGGGCCTTTGAGGGTGGCATCGGATCTTCCTTAGGACCTGGGCGAACCAGGCCTTGTACCACTTGAAAAAGCTCCACCGGGCGGCATTGTGAGGAGGCAATGGAAGCGGAAAAAAACTTCTTTTTCGCCGCCTTCACCGCCACAGCATAGGCCCGATAGTGGGCTCTCAAGTGTGTTCGGTCAGATTCATCCCGTGATTTCCTCCACCTACGCTCTAGTTGTCTCCCAACCCGCTTCATCGCCCGCAATTCAGGTGTATACCAAGGGGAAGAGCGGACTCTGCCCGGTGGGAGAGGACGCTTGGGAGCGATCGTGTCCACAGCCCTGGTCATCTCTCCGTTCCACAGTTCTACCAGAGCCTCGACAGGAGCACCAGTCTTGTCAGCCGGAAACTCCCCCAGGGCCTTCAGGAATCCATCCGGATCCATCCGGCTCCGGGGGCGGGCCCATACAATCGGGTCCGCACTCTTATAGAGGGAGAGGCCGCTCTCGAGCACAAACCTCACCAGGAGGTGATCTGACCATGACAGGGGAGTCAAACATAAATTCCTCACCCTCAGGTCATCCTCTTCCTGCCCCGTCGAGAAAACCAGGTCCAGAGTGTGTCCACGTTCATGGGTCGGGCCGATGACGTGTTGAGACAGGCCCATGGCCGTCATAGAGGCCATGAAGTCCTGAGCCGCCCCGGTCAGTCCAGACTCGGCATGGAGATTGAAGTCCCCCAGGACCAACATCCTGGGGGTCCTCAACACCAGGTCCGAGACGGTCTCTGTCAGCTCAGATAGGGAGACTGCTGGGCAGAAGGGTGCACGGTACACCAATAGAATCCCCAATCTGTCTCATTCGTCCAACACCAAGTAGAGGCACTCCAGCCCTGGTCTCGAAGGGACCAGAAGACCCGTGAGAGAGATGGAGGCTCGGTAAACCAACGCGACTCCCCCTCCCCTCCCTTCTGGGCGTGAACAGTGTTGAACCAGATACCCGGGCGGGCACAATTGGGAGAGGGCAACATCCCCTCCCTCTCCCGCCCAGGTCTCCGTTATGCAAGCCAGGTTGGCCCCCTCATCCACAATCAAGTCATGGATGAGGGAAGATTTGTTATTGACCGACCTGGCATTGAGCAGCAGCACCGTCAGACCCGAGGGGCGGTTGACAAGGCTACCTGGAGCCCTCTGGTTGGGGGCAGAACCAGAAGGAGGGATAGGTGTCAGCCATCTGTCCATCCTTCTTCTACGTGGACATGTTAAGCCCTTATTGCTGTAACGACCATTGCCCGTGACCACGCCAATAGCAGCGCCCGTGTGTTCCCCAGGATATATAAACGTCGACATGGCCAGGGATGACTCTGGATTATCCCTCACCGTGAATTTGCACATTCCCTTTGAAAACAAGCCATCTCAATGACAGGCCATTCCCCTTTGTTGTGGTGGTGACTTTCCTGCATTGTGCATCATATGCAAAAATGTCTGATCCATTCAGCACTTACTGGCAACCACTGTCAGTTGGTGACATGGAGTCCTAGTATTACAGGAGCTAGAAAGGGAAAGAAGGAGGGTGAGTTACAGGAAAAAGCAATGGTGAACAACTCGTTTTGGGAAGCTTGTGCATATTCTTGGAAGTCTACACAAAATAAATCTACAAATATAAATAAAAATCCTCTTTGAACACTCCTCCCTCATTCTATACTAAGGAAGGATGGATTTTCCAATAGGTATAGAAGTATGCAAATGAACTAAATATGTCTGACTGAACTTCTCCATGGCAAACAAAATATTAATCAATAATACAAAAAAAGACCTATTCAGAGCATCTAAATCCCATCTCGCTCTGGCTTTTGAACTCTTACCTAACCTATCTTGGAAGCCTTTGGGTCCAGAAATGTAGTTTTCATGCATGGTAAAAGAAGAGATTATTCAAATAATTCTATACTCTGTTCAAACCCACTAACCCAAGAGACTGTAAATATGGAGCAGAACAAATTCAAGGTATCCCACACTGAGTTTCCCAAAACTGTGACCTACTCTTCATGGAGAGGCATGGAAGAGCAGTGCGGTGCATGCAGTTTGAATGCCTTAGCAATAATGCCAGGCATATTTATGTAGCGTACAATACACTTCCCAGATGGCACCCAGGTCAGTAATTTGAGCTTGGGAATTTAGTATGTTTCAGTGGGCTCTATGCAAACTAATTCTGTATCACTCTGTTTCATAGTATTTTGAATTTTTAAAAAAGTTGTCTTTTTGTACATGAGGTAACCCATATTCCTGGGTATCATGCTCGATTTCTGGCAGATGCTGTCTCTTCTGCAGCAGATGCTGTTACTGGGGTGTGATTGGCAGCTGTCAGTATCACAGCACTGTTGATGTTGGCAGTAGTTTGGTGTGCTGGCCCACGAGCATGGCTATTACATGCACAATAATGCATGCCACTGGACAAAGGAGATGTTTAGAAGATCCTTAGTTATACCTAGGAAGCTGTCACCTCTGGTAATGCCAGTTCATGTTCCTTACTGAATCCAGTTGACCTTATTGCAGCAGGACCACCCCGCCCCCCGTCTGCCCCATAACACAACACAACACAACACAACACAAGTGCATTCTTTTTAAAGCTGCATGGGGAGAAGTCCCAGAGCTGCAATACTTCCTGGAAGAGTCTGCTTCTGTGGGACACAGCTGTTGCAAGAGACCAGTTTGTTGAGGCTTGTATTTCATTGTGATCACGGTGTGGGCATTGCATATAAATAAATCTGCAGAGGAGGAATGGACATGAAGGTAAGGGCCCTGTTCTTGAGGCAGCCGGCCCCCAGCGCAAGCATTCCTACCAGATTAGTGCATAACGCTCAGTGACCAGAACCAAGTTCACATTGGCACTCTGCCTCTGGTATTTTATCTGGGAAAAATATGACAGCTGGCACAACTCAGCAACTAAACCATGTGAAAGAATAATAATTCAAATGGATAATAAGTATCTGTTCTTGTCTTTTTTTCCTTCCCTTCAGTGAAATATGAGGAATTGTACTGCTTTTCTTTCAACCCAAAACTCAACAAAGAAGAGCGAGAAAAGGGCTGGAATCTAACAAACTTGAAGGAAGAGTATAATAGGATGGGAGTTCCAAATAATTACTGGCAGATCAGTGATGTTAACAGAGATTATCGAGTGAGTCACTGCTGTCGAAGGTGTGGTCCGTGGCCAGGGATTTAAAAGAAATTAGTTTTAAGTCATTTTGAACAGGATTTACAGAGTTTGCTCTCTTCTGGACGGGACACAGACTTGGACCCAGTCTGCAATCAACGTCTGTACATTTTCGACCTTGCTGGGTGATTTGTGGACCGCCAAAAATATATTTGACAGCATGTGCCCTTTTGCAAAAAGGAGGACAAATAACACTTTCATAAGTGGGAGAGGAATGCATGCATTTCAAAGGCACATGCATTTGGAACAGTATGCACAAAAGTGCGTGCAGTTTTGATGCAAAAAGAGAGAAACCCCCCCCCCCCAAAACTCAGCAATCTGATACAGAGTTGAGTCGGAATGAGCTCCAGGATGGAATTCAAAGCCCTTCAGTCAAGGATGAGGGAAGGCAGAGTGTTGGCTGGCTGTCCTTGCTTTGCTGATTCCTGTCTCTATCTGTGCCCGAAACCACTTACTATGCACAACATGAAGGACAGCAGTAACCACTTCTCCTTTCTTCATCTCCCTGGTAACTTAATGGCCCAATTTAATTGCAACAATCTCAGGACAATAAATAATCCTTTATTGCAGGCATAGGGAGTCACCAGGCCAAGTGCTAGTTACAGCCTTCAGTGCTTCCTTCTCCAGACTGCTACTTCCCCAGGCTCTGCCCCATTTTCCAGCAGGGAGGAGTGGCTGACTGAGGGTCAGTTTCTTCCCCACTGGAGACAGGGGTTAAGGCCTGGGAAGGACCCTGTGGAGTGGTTTGCTGATACGGGACTCAGGCTTTTGTATGAGAAGGCATACAGGGGCTCAATATTTGGGGTGCTATTTGAAAGCTCTGCTGAATGATCAAGCCTGCTTGCCACTGAGTAGACATGCAGAGGCATAGTCCTGCTTACTTCTGAGAAGGCTTAATACATAGACGTAAGAATTACTTGTTAGTTGTACCTACTCTGTCTTTGGCCCAACCCAAAGCTGGACTGTGGCCCCCAAGATGGGAATTACCATTTTGGACTTCAAGAGGTTTATTGGCCCATCTGCCCTCTTACTGTTCCCTCAAGCTTTAGCGTTCATTATCCTGTCTTGTTAAACTACTTCCTCTAGTGCCATCCAAAGTAAGAAAAACTATGGTTTAAGCACTAGCAGTACCTGATCTTGGTTTCATATCCTGGTTTGTAAATGGTGCTTCAATTAGCTTCCCTGTTCAATCATCATGAAAACTGGTTTGACAGCATGGGATAAATGCAGCAGAGCTAGAAATTGGAGGAGAAGGCATGCCTTGGACTGATCATTTAGATCAACTATGTTGCATCTTAACCAATCGAGAAAATTCACTTTTTTTCTTCTACTTTTGGACAGGTATGCAACTCTTATCCCACTGAAGTGTATGTTCCCAAATCAGCCACTGCCCATATCATTGTGGGAAGCTCTAAATTCCGTAGTAGAAGACGTTTCCCAGCACTTTCATATTACTATAAGCAGAATAATGTAAGTATGGGACTGAAATCTTGGCTAATTTAATCTGCTTGGCTTGGTTTTCCATCTAAACATAATTTTAAAATGATTAAGAAGAAATGATGCTATGGAAAACATCTCAGTGCACTATCTGGATTTCTCTAGCCATGTAATGTAGTTAGTATTGTAGAGGATGCTATAAATCTTGCTTGTTTGCATGAGAGAATGGATACTCTTCTAAGATGTCTGCTACCAATGGTTTTTGTAGATATTTGTATTAAAATTATTTGCAAATATTTAACATCCGCTGCCCAGTGCATTCAGAACAGAGGCAACCATTTAACTGATTGATCGATTACATTGTTCAGCCTTCCCTTCAGAGTAAGTTGTCTATGCATTTGAAAGCCTGCCCTTTGGCAGGATGCTAACCGGGAGGTGCACAGTGGAAAGTGTAATAGCTGTTTGTGACAACCCAGAAGGTCAGTTCACCACAGTTGTGGTGGTTGGAAAGTAGTTTGAATCCACAAGCAGAGTTAACTGGTCTTGGGTTTTCTGAAGAAATTCCACACTTAAAGAGCCCTTGGTTCACCTAGCAGAAAACAGCCTAAGTGTATAATGGATATATTTTGGGCCTGCCTTTGCACAGAAAATGATCAAAGCAGCTCACAGGAAAATTTGATATGCAGAATTTGACAATTTGATGTGCAAATGAAATCTCAGTAAAACATAACACGAAAAGCAATACAGCTTTAAAAACGACAACAATGTAATGTTTATAAACCTCTTGGGCAACAAACCAAGGTATCTGTCAAAGCCCTGCCTGAATAAAAACACGATTGCCTGCTGGAGGAAGGTCAGTACAGATGGGGCTAACCCAGCTTCGCTCAGCAAGCAGTTCCAGAGAAGACCTTTCAGATGTGCCTCTGATGTTGGTGTTACCACGAGTAGGGCCTCCGCAGAAGATCTTGGAACCTGAGCAAGCCATTATGAGAGAAGGTAGCCTGGCCCCAAGTACTTCATGCTTCCTTGAAACTGGAGGATATGTGAAGGGCCAGATGGCCATCGCAGTAACCTAGGGTGTGTTCTGACTTTTCAAGTGGCAAATCTACCTGCTGTAACTTCCATTACCAAGTGGTTGACTATGTTGGATCAAACCAGGTGTATTAATCTAAATGTTCCTGTCTCTGTTTCGTTTTTGTACAGGCTTCTATATGCAGGAGTAGTCAGCCTCTGTCGGGCTTCAGCGCACGATGCCTAGAAGATGAGCAGATGCTACAATTGATCAGAAAGGCAAATCCAGGAAGTGATTTCATCTATGTTGTGGATACACGGCCAAAAGTAAGAGGATTCATACTTGGGTTGTGTAACTATTAAGTGAGAACTGACAAATCCACAGAAAGCAAAAGTTTGACAGAGTTCATTGGAGTGAGCTGGGTAGCATTCAGTTGCATTGAAGTGAACAGCATATATCTCAGTAAGTGGAAATATGTTCTTTTGTGCCAAGTGCTCTGGAGAGAAGAGCAGAAAACAGGTGGGAACTTGGATTACTACCCCCAGTTTGTATTTATATTTCAAACTAACTGTAGTCCTGAAGTCTGGGTGCATTAGGACCAGGAGCTGCAAAATGTCTGGACTCGTCATTCCTGTGATCTAACCTTGACTATTTGTGCTATGGCATATCCTGAAAGACTGAAGGGATGTTGCTTCCTAGAGCATCATTTGGTAGATGTTTATAGGGAGGTGCAAAACCAGTGAGAGTCTGGCAGATCTGAAGAAGGCTCTGATCCTAATGTACTTACTCATTGAATACAGTGAGACTTCCTTTTGAGTAAACCTATGACTGTTTCCCAGTGCAACTCTGGTTTTATTGTGCTGGAAACAGGCTGCTGTTTGTCTGCTAAAGCAAGTCCAACCTAGCACTGTTTTGGTCAAAACAGAAGGGCCATGTGCATTGTTGGGCTAGTTTAGTCCAAGGAATGGAGAGCTCACGCAGCAAAGTAAAATAGCTGTGTAGTAGAATGCTGTATCTCACATTTCCAGCCATCATCAGATTGCTCTTGTGTTTTCCAGAGCAGTAGGATGTTTCAGCAGCAATACTACCAGATTGGTTTCCTATTTATTCATTTAGAGAACTTCTATGCCGCCCCATTCGCCGAAGCCTCGGGGCGGCTCACAAAGCCTCGGGGCGGCTCAGGTATCCAATGCTATTGAAAGGGCATTGGATACCTGGCAATAATGACTTCCTTCTGAAACAGAGCGGTACCTCAGCTCACGAATGCCTCAGTTCATGACCAAATCGGGTCATGAATATTGGTTTCAGAAAAAAATCTCCTTAGGTCGCGAACTCTGCATCAGGTGACGATCACGATCGCACCTGTCTTCCCTGCATGGGTGTGATTGCAGTCATGCTCGGGGGTGCGGGGAGATGGCCACGATCATGGGCATGCTCATTCAGGGAAGAGGGGTGCAATCATGCTGGGGTGGGGGAGGGGGGAGATGGCCACGATCATGGGCATGCTCATTCAGGGAAGAGGGGTGCAATCATGCTGGGGTGGGGAGGAAGATGGCCACGATAATGCCCGTCTTCCCTGCACGAGTGCACCCGCGATTGCACCCATCCCCCCAGTGCGCCCGCAATTGTGCCTGTCTTCCCTGTGATTTAAAAAAAAAAATTTACAGAATGGATTAACCTTATTTATATTGAACCTTATGGGGAAATTTGACTTGGCTCATGAACAATTTGGGTCGCGACCAGAGTCCTGGAACAGATTAAGTTTGTGAGCCAAGGTACCACTGTATACAAGTAGAGCATGCATAGAGGCAAATGGATACCGCTCTGGCAGGATCACAGAGAATAATTTGCACAGCCCCTTTTCCTAAGGAAATATCCCTAGTTCCCAAAAACCCCAGACAGAATTTGCAGGTGATGCTCTCCATCCTGGAGACAAGCCAGCCAAAGTTATAACACCATAATAAAATCAACTGCTTGCTCTTCTGGGCTTTCTTGTGCTACTGCTTGCATGACTGGAATCCATTCTGGGATGTCCCAGAACGTTCACACACATTCTAATTCAGGTAAGAATTTCTAATCCACCAACACAAAAATTGCAATTAATGGACACTTCTGGATCCTTCTCCAACTCTGGGCATGTGTAACACAGCTTACAAAGGCTTCCCGATGAGTTGTGCAATAAAGAAATCAAGATGCTGGACTGATGTGGGAGGCCTCTGGGTATGCACAGCATGGCATGTGCCATCAGGAAAATCTTCTAGGCTCCAGTGCAGGTTTCATTCCAGATTACTTGTATCTGGGCAGATGTGCCACTGATTTCTCCCTGCAGGCACTCCTTGAAGTTGATTTGATCAATCTAATCTTAGAAACTGACCACTCAGAATGAAGAGACCGTTCCTTTCCAACACAGGAAACAGCTGTTTACTTCATTTGCAGATTCCTTTCATATTCTGCATCTAGAACATCATACAAAGTCCTGAATTCTCCTGCTTTTTAAAAGTATTAATTGCAAATTATTAAAAGTGTTAATTAAACAGCTGATAACTCTGGCAAACCAATGCAGGCCATCAAAAATTCAGCATCTGAAAGCAGGTCAGCTTAACAGATCTAATGTAGTACTGGAGAGAAAAGAGATTGCCATCTTCTGGATGAAATGTGCAGCTGACAGTAGGATTTGATTTGAGGGCTCAAAATTTTCACTAACGCAACTAGGTAAGAACTAAGCATTGCTGTTTTTATTTCAGTGATCTTCCATCCCAATGGAGTGCCCACCTCTCCTTGGTTTTTTTTTTTTTTTTTAGAGTGGCAGACTTTGCCCTTCTACTTTGAAAAGAAAGGGCATCCCAGCACACGTACAAGCTGGCTGATATTTTGGTCTTAGGGCCAAGAGAAAAATGCAGGGTCCTTACTGGCTGGAAAGACCCTTTTGCTATTTCTACCGCACCAACTCCTGCTAACACAGAGGCAGCTGCTCTTTTAGCTTCCAACACATTTGTATAAGAATAATCATCATCAGTATGTATTAAAGCCAGTATATATATTAAACTTTCCATCACAATTGGGCATGACAGAAGTTAAAATGGGGTTAAGCAGGGAGCAGCAATTCAGCCTATACTCCAGCGGTGTTCGTAGGTAGGCTTTTTTTACTTTCTCTAACATCTTGAGCTGCCAATGACTTCTATGGAGAAAAGTATAAATGGGGACAATGTTTTTTGGGGACATGGGCTTCTTCCCCAGCATCCAGTGCCTGGGCCCAAACTGACAGAAAGCTTGTGTCTTTAGGCCTGTACAAAGTGAGCCTTTTAGATGCAAGCTACATGCTACATTTATTAATAGTTAGAGTGTTGGATTTAGACCGGGGGACTAGGATACAAACCCCTATTGGGTGATTCTCCGCCCAATCATTGTATCTCAGGTTCACCTATTTCACAGGGTTTTTGCAAGGATAAAATATGTTGGGACTATGTATACTACTCTGAGCCCCAGGATCCAAATCCTCCTAGATTTGATCCCACCCACACCTCTGGGGTCACTGTTTCTTGGAGCTGCTGCAGCACCAACTTCAAAGAAAGCTCCAGTTTCAACTTCAAAGCTCTAGTTTTGCTTGGAGTCCTCCCTATGTTAAATTATGGATATTAGTGTTTAGATATAGAATGAAGCTAAATGCTCAACTGTACATTTTTTTTGCTTTTTCTAAACATTGAGCTTTATTCTTTTATCTTGGGGTGAAAGAACAGGTGTGGGTTGTTCTTTAGGGCTTTTTTTTTTGTCCTTTTTCTACTTTTGCAGCTTAATGCGATGGCAAACAGAGCAGCTGGCAAGGGCTATGAGAATGAAGACAACTACTCCAACATCAAGTTTCAGTTCATAGGGATTGAGAACATCCATGTCATGAGGAACAGCCTCCAGAAAATGCTAGAAGGTAAAACTTTCCCTGTGCAGAAGGCGAGGGCAAATTTGCAACACTTATCTTTCATCTTTGTATTTCAGGGAGGTTCCGAAGGGTTTCAGAAATATCAGTCCCAAGCTGCATACGCCTCTGGATTTCAGCAAGAAATAACATAAATGTAGAGAGTCTGCTTCAAAGTTAATTCGGCAAAGTTAAGACTGTGGTGTCAAAGTCTTAAGGTAGCTTTCCCCAACCTGGCATCCTCCAAATGGTTTGGTATGCAAGACGAAGAATTCTGAGAGTTGTAGCCCAACCTATCTGGAGAGCTCAGAGCTGAGGAAGGCTGTCTTAAGAATTTAGTTTTAAAGCACAATTTTATGGAAGCTGTGTTCCATTAACAATATAAGGAGTTTTCTTAAACTGAGTCAGCCTGCTCATCCAGGACTGTCAACTTTAACAGGTTGTAGCTGTGAAAGACTCACACATAAATCATTCCCAGTGTTGTTTTCTGAGATTATTTAATTAGTGCTCTGCATGTACTCTGCCACTGAATTATCATTCCTCCTTGACACTCACATCAGTGGGACCTAATTTCCATGTTGATGTGTATATTAGTGCAGTACCATGGTAATATTTCCAGTTATGCATATCTGGAAGTGGTACATTTTAAATAGAGCACAATTCCTACAAGACCCTCCCATATCTGTAGTGATTTATTTAGCCTATCACTATTCTATAGTGTTAAAAAAGGTTGAGGTGGTTTTAATGGAACTGTCTTGTGAAAAGGAATAATACATCTGTCTGGTTCCACCATGGACTCATGAGCCATAGATGCGCTTTTGCCAGGTTACAGTAATATGGAGATGGAGCGACAGACAGACAGACAGACAGACAGACAGACAGACAGACAGAGATTTGCCTTGTTTAAACGATGTAATGTGTAAAAGGGCCTTTGGGCTGACTCAGATGAGTGTGTACACCTCTTGGTTGGTTTCTCCCAACTTGGGCTTACCACGCATGTCACACTCAATGAGTGAACACATATGTACATGTGTGAACTCACTCTACTGAAAACATTGCATTTTCAGGTGAAATGAAAAGCTCTCTTTTGGCTTTTGTCTGTGATTGCCTCTTCACATATGCAAGTAGCCATTTGATGCTATGGTTTTGACCATGCGGATCCTTTGATGACTGGCAATGTGAATTTATTCCACATGTGCCTTAGGGAATGTAAAAAGATACAACACCAGATGTGTCAGATCTGGGATAGCCCATTCAAACAGATCTGGCAGTCATCAAGTGATGTGCTCACCTTGGTGAACCCACCAACATTCCTTTTGGGGGAAAGACTAGGAGGATGTCCACTTCTTCCTTTTTTTAAGATCAGGTTCTTGGGTGGGGTGGACCCTGCCTACTTTAAGGCAAAATATTTTCTCCTGCCTACAGTCTCCCTTCTTCCAAGTATAACAGAGTTCCTATGCTATCAAAAATAGGTTGGGGAAGAGAGTTTGTCTGCACAGAATGTGGGGTTTGAGTATGAGAATTTGCAACTTAGCACAGGTGTGAGTGTTCTACTTAACAGGGCTGGATCTCTACCCCTGATTTCCCCCCTACCCCCACTCCCTTCTCCTGGAAGAGAAAGAAATAAGGTTATTTTGTGAGTTGCAGCTTGCAGGAGATGTACGTTGTTCCTCTCACCCATCACGTCCTTACAGCTAGATCTGTCCCACATTCTCCTCCCTGAGAAATCTTTCCATGGATAGAGGTTTTCTGGTGCTGATGTGCAGATCCGGAGGTGCTGGAGGGTGGGGGGCGGGTCTGATGGAACATTTGCTTAGAGATTTAATTCCTCACCTTGCTGAACCCCTGGTCAGTGGCTATCATCGCTTGCTGCACAGATGACGTAGGCCAGCAATTTAGGACGTTATGGACTTTGCTCAGTAAAGTGAAGAGCAAATATTGGTTTTTGATATGGGAGCAAAAGCTCTCATTTGGCTTCATCTGTGCTTTCCAAACAAGAGGCAGCCCATCTCAGATCTGATCCAGATGCTAATTGCCTGCACTCCCATCTGCAGGGATACATTAATCACTTAACAAATTTCTTGCTGTCAGCAGTGCATCATCATGGGGACAGTTTTGTGCAATGCCATTTTGAGGATGGCCTTTGGGATAAACAGGGATAAGCATCTCTAGGTGAATGATATGATCGTGTCTTGAGCTAAGCAAGCTGGGGATTGAAACATGGAGCTCATGCACTCAGCCAGTAAGTGTAAAGGGGTAAGCAGCTCTTCCCAGAACTAGGTCATTCCGTCACTTAAGATTTTGTCCTCCTTAGATTATTTTTCATTAAAAAGTTATGAATGTTTGGTGATAATTTGCAGTTTGCTCCTGAAGGCGTTAGCTGGCTCCATTTAAAAGCGCTGTGCTTTACAATGTTGTGAGAAGCAGCAAAGGTTCGCTGTGGAACTATGTTGTCATACTGGATCTATAAAACTTAGTAAATGAAGTTTTTTAAATTACTAAACTGGTTTATTTTACAGTTTGTGAGCTAAGATCTCCTTCGATGAGTGACTTCCTCTGGGGGCTGGAGAATTCAGGCTGGCTAAAACATATCAAAGCCATCATGGATGCGGGCATCTTTATTGCAAAGGTACAGCATGAGGTTCTTTGCAGAAAAACTGGAAAAGTGTGGATTCCAGGTACAAGGAAGCCTGATTGTACTGCAGCTCACTGCTACATTATGCATTATAGAGAAGAAAAATATGGCCCAAATCAGTTGTGCTCTGGAGAAAGGGGTGCCATTGCTGTGTGACAACAGGCATGTTGTGGAGCAGGGTTACTCAAACAAATCGCGGCATGGGTCCCTTCAGGCTACCATGCTCTCACACACCTGAAGTACCTGTTCCTCACTGCACCCTCCCAGCATCCAAGTTTGCTTCTTATATTTCATATGTGCTCATGTGGATTGTCAGAAAGGAACACTGTAGCTAGAACTGAAGCACAGGCATGAGAGCAAAGGACAACGGTGGGATGCAGAGAGCGACACCACAGAAGATTAATGTGTGTTGTGTCTTCACAAGCCTGAGGTGACCAAACCAAGACGACAAAAGAAAATTGCATGGTATCTCCCACACTGGTCCCCCAGAACAGGCTTTCCCTCATGGACAAAGTTCTATCAAAGGAAGCTTGGGGTAATCCAGAGAACCCTTCTTCAAGTGCTCCCTTCTGAAGCTCAGACAGTAAAAGAGAAAGCATTTCCCCCCTCAGCTCTCGAATGTTCTCTTGCTGGAAGCTTGCCTGGCACCCACACTGCAATGCTTCTGGCATCAGGCTAAGCCTTTTGTGATCCCCCAGGCCTTTAAATGTTTCATCATCTTTTAGAGATCAGTCCTGTGTTTTCTGAAATAGCAGTCTAATGTTGGAGTGCTCTGAATATGCGTGTCTTGCCAGTCATTGGGAGCAAAAAGAGCAGCAGACACAATTGTTACTGCTCTTTCCTCCTTTCTCACTGGAGTCATGGAAAAGGGAGGGACAGGGAGAGGAGCTGGGAGGCTTCCAGATATTCTGGATCTTCAGCATCTCCAGTCCATGCCCCCATCCTTCTTATTTGCTGTCTCACCCAACACCAGAGCTGTGACTCAGGTGAGGAAGCTGCAAGGAGCAGGGGGAAATCACCCCTATTCAATGCCCTTTTCCAAGGTCAAAGAAGTGCTTAAGGCTTTGGAGGAGGAATTCTGAGCTGCCCTATGGTCTTTGGGATGCTCTCCCAGGGACCATAGAATTGCTCCCACAGAGTTGTTGTTTTAACATTCTAGCATTTTTGTGCTTTATATCCTGGTGCTTGCAAAGTGATGCTGCATATGATGTTGTGTTGGCATGTGTAATAGTTTGATATTATTGATTTTATTGGGATTGCATTTGCATTTGATCATTAAGGTACAAGCCCTAGAGAAATCCTTTTTATGGGGCAGTGAATAAATGCAAGCAAGCAAGCAATTAATTTATGATATTATGATTGCCTTTGAGTGTTCTGTGTAGTTTAACATAGGAAAGTAGGAGGCTGCCTTACCCTGAGCCAATCCATTAGTCCATCTTGCTTAGTACTGTCAACACTGACTGGCAGAGGGTCTCCAGGGTTTCTTACGGGGATCTTTCCCACACTACATGGAGATACCAGGGACTGAACCTGTCTTTGCATGCAAGCAGTCTTCTCCAGCCGGCTGCTTTCCAGATGTGACTGGACCGCCAGTCCATGGCCCGTTCATGGATGATTGGAGAAGAGCAGTAAGTTGGAGAAGGCTGATGCAAGGTATGTGTTTTCCACCGGGCTATGGCCTTTCCCCCAAGTCAGAGCAAGTCATTCTTCAGAGTGGATGTACCATTCTGGTGTATCCCATCCTGCAGCTTTTCTTCTCCAAACTTCTAGGGAGCATTGGCGTTTTGATCCACTGTCAGAGACGTCTCTTCCACCTCCTCTGTGTTTTAGGCTGTTGCTGAAGAAGGAGTGAGCGTCCTTGTTCACTGCTCAGATGGATGGGACCGGACAGCTCAGGTGTGCTCTGTAGCGAGCCTGTTACTGGATCCGTATTACAGAACCATGAAAGGATTTATGGTAAGCATGCTTGCCTTACAGAGAAAAGGACGTGATGTGCTTGACTGTTCACTGGATGGCGATGTTTCTGTGCTTAAGGAGGTATAAATAATGGATCATTCTCTTTCCTTCTGTGCTGGCAGATCTGCATGCAGCATTGTGTCACTTGGTCTACCTTGGCAGTAAACTCCGGCTTCCCAGCTTAGCCCTCACACTGGAGCAGCAGCTGTTGTTTCCTCTTGCCCTTGATTCTGGCAAGGAGGGGAGAGCCTTTAACACATCCCGGATCTATGGGCCTTCTAGTTTTATGGGAAACCCAAATACTGGCCCATCCAGCTTTTAGAATAGTGGGGATAGGAGGGAACTTCACGCCAAAGGGCAGAAGTGGGTTTAAGTGGTTTTCCCCTTTCTGTCTGTTGAAGCTATTTAAGGGCACAATCTGATGCCATAGGATGGTTTAGAGCCCTGGCAGTGAGGTCCTGCAACCTCAGAGCTCGGCTTAGGAAGGCTGAGCCTCTGTCCATCCCCTTCACCTGCAGTGTGGAAAGAACTGCACTTGCTGCCACCCTGAAGTTGCAGTTGGGCATCAGGGAACATGAAAAGGGAGGGAATAGGAGCAGGAAAGCAGAGAAGGTGAAGCTGTCAAAGTTTATCAATTCCTGTTGGTGTCCCAGCCTCCTCCCCCTCCATCCAGGCACTAAATCCGGGCAGCCAAAAATGCCGCTGGTTCAGAGGGCATTAAACTGTGCCCTGAGGTATTCTGGGATAGGCAAGAAAGTACCTGCCAGAATTGCTGGACTACAGCTCCCATCAGCCTCTGGCAGTGTAGAAATGGTCGGGGAATTTGAGAATTCTAATCCAGAACTCTGGAGGGCCCAAGCTTGCCTGCCTCTTCAAGCAACTGCATAGATCTGGGATGCATTGGTCATATTCTTTACTCTCCCCCTCTAAGCAGGAATGATTAGGCAGCAAGAGACATTTTCTCCTTTGACAGCACACAAGAGAAACAACCCTCAGATTGGCTGGGAGGTTATTTTGGAAATCTGTCCTTACATTTAGGGTTAATATTTATGCCTAGTAGACATGTACACAGTTTGAGAAAGGATGCAGGCCGGGAAGAGTGAAATGAGAGCAGTTGCCGTGAATCAATTTGAAGTCCAAGGAAATCCAGCCAAACGTTTAGCAAGCCATTACTGTAACCCTTGCGCAAGCACGTAGGAGAGGCAGATAGTAGTTTTGAAGAGAACATACTGTAGCTTGGGGTTGATACGGCACTTCTTCCCAGAACATAAACTCTCTTCCACTGTCACCTCTAAATAAATAGGTATTGCAGGTTTTTGAAATATTTTGGGAATGCAGGGAGGTGGAAGGCTGCTTTAGGCCAACAGAAAAGATGATCTTCTGCTTCCTTAAAAATTCATGCCCGCTTCCTTGGATGCTACTTATGCACCCCTTTCTTATTCTAGGTATTGATTGATAAAGACTGGGTTTCATTTGGTCATAAATTCAATCACAGGTAAGCATGGTTTGATATATGTCAGTCTTATGAGCTGCCATCCAGTTAGTCAGGACTGAGTGGAACAGGAACTGTGCTTTCCACATAGACTGTTCTTTCCCTGAGCTGCATCTCCTCTATAATGAGTGAACTGTTGTGCCAGCAAAGGCATCTTGCAATTGTGCAATGGCAATGTAGGGACAGTCCAAGTTCATGAAAGAAGTACTCTGTGCATGGCCACAGCAGCTGCGGCTTCCGTGCCTGCAGAAACACCATGGTCTCCTGTTGCATGGTGCCTCCACGGCCCAGTGTGGCAGAGCACATGGGATGACATGACTGTGTGGCATTTTGAAACATTTTGGAGTGAGCTCTGTTGGCAGCAGGAACTATTGGACTTTCAGTGAGACTGCGGTCCACAAGAAGCCACCATTTGCTTCAAGCTATGGTCTAATGAGGTTCTATCTTTTCATGCCTGCTTTTTAATGTATCCATTGGGTACATCTATTGCCTCGGGTCCTGAGTTGCCTTTCAGTGGAATTCCAGAAGGAATTCTAAGGGAAGGGAGGCTCTTGCTGGCAGGAGTGGATTTGGGGCCAGCATTCCATTTCCTCCTGCAGCATCCAGCTTTTTGGGAGGGTTCCTCAACTTCAGATCTTTCAAAGAATAGATACTAGGAAGCTGCAGGGAAAAGAGGAATCTGTCCAGGAAGCTTGGATGTTGTTGTATGCTCACTGCAGTGTCTAAGCTCCAGCTTCCATGAGATGTATGGCACTGTCCTCAGATGCTTAAGAGAGAGGGCACTGATGAAGAAGGCTTGGGTCCCATTATCTGATGCAGTCTAATTAGAATTAAGATAGAATTTCGTTTTAATGGATTTTGTTTCAAGCTCACCTCATCATTACAGAAACAGAAACAGAGTGAGTCAGAAGGGGTCTCCTGGTCCTCTCATGACATGCCCACCATGTGCATGTCCAGCCTATCTTTGAACACCCTCACCAATGGGGCCTCAACCACCTCCTTGTGGAAGCCCATTCCATACCCCTGGGGTCCTACCTGTCAGGAAGTGCTTCTTGGCACCTAAATGGAACCTTGGTTCCCTGAGCTTTGCTCCGTTGGAGCACGTCCTGCCTTCCTCTGCAGGGAACAACAGGTCTCTACCCACCTCTGTGTGGCATCCCCTCACATACCCATATGTTGCCAACAGATCCCCCCTGAGTCTCCTCCTCTTCAGGCTAAAGAGACCCAGTTCCCTCAAGTCTCGCCTCATACGGCATCCCCTGCAAACCGGTCACCAACCTTGTGGCCCTACGCTGCACTGACTCTAACCTGGCTATAGCCTTCCTGTAATGAGGGGCCCAAAACTGAGCACAATAGTCCAGTTGCGGGTGCACCAGAGTCATATAGAGTGGTAGTAATACCTCTCTCGATCTAGAAGTCGCACTTCTGGCTAGGGATACACCTCTATGCAAGTTTAGACTTAGTTTAATTCCTCCCAATAATAAAGTTAGTTAGAATCTCTTAAATATACATTCCAGACTTTTTCCTGATTTCATGTGTCTGTGTTATATTGAGATATTAACTATGCAGTGCCTGGCTGACTGTCCTGTATATGCCACATGGCAAACCTCACACTTGATCTTAGCTCTCAGGCACTGGGAACAATAATGCCAAAGCAATCTTTAATGAAAACACCAACGTCTTACACTGAAGTTTAGGACTAGATTTGCCATGATGCTCACTCAGCTTAGTTTAAAGAGATCACATGTAATGAAGTAACTTATTTTCTGGGTTTGGTTTAGGTACGGCAATTTGGATGGAGACCCAAAGGAGATATCTCCAGTTATTGATCAGTTCATTGAGTGTGTTTGGCAGCTTATGGAACAATTCCCTTGTGCCTTTGAATTCAACGAAAGGTTCCTGATCCACATACAGCATCATATATATTCCTGCCAGTTTGGAAATTTCTTGTGCAACAGTCAGAAGGAAAGACAAGAGCTGAAGTAAGGCAGTCTTGCCTGTTGATCTTTATACTCAAAATGCCATTCGCCACTTTACAGACCAAAGGTTTCTCCATCTCACTATAGCCCTCAGTTTGTTTAATAACCTTGGCTTACCGCTGAGAACCCCTGGAAGCTGTTCGTTTGGAGAAGACACGCAGAGACTTTTCAGCCATGCCAGTTCTCTGGATGCTGATGTGAGGGTGATGGCCATGGCAGTCGAAATGACATGCAGCCAATGTACCTAAGTGTCCTCTACAAGGCCATGTCCCCACTGGATCAGATACTCAGCTGGTTCAGCTCCCCTACTGTCCCACACCGCCTGATTTTCTAAGGGCAGCAGGACATTCCTTCTTCTTTAAGGTATCTGGCTCTTTTGTTCCAAGCCAGTTTATGGGCTGAGATACACTAGCCTTAGAATTTACACAGACCCAGTGGTTAAAACAATAAACATGTATTTATTTTTGGAACATCTGGAACAAGTTGTCATTTAATACATACTGATACATCATGGTTCTACCTAATAACCTAACTTAACTTCACTAGTTCTGCTTGTTAAAAACTTATTACCAGCCTTTTCACATACAATTTCTCTCCCTCTCTATCTCTTTCAACCTCTGATCCCACCAAATTCTCTAACTCAGGTTCAAGTCTACCCTCTGCTGACTCCATCGCTCATCTCACACACTTGCTTTCACTGCCTTCTGTCCAACCAAATGATCCCCTGTGTCATCTCATACATCTCGGTACTTTTCCAGTTGATTCTTTGTTCTACCTGATGAATCTTTCACTTATGTGGCTGTTACAAAGGAGAGCTCATGTTTAAAATGTTTAAATATGACAAGAAGTCCTAGATGTCACTCTTGCCGTATGAAAGCGGCAGAAAAAACGGTTTGTGGCAGCATCGCAGCAGGACATGGCAAGGTCCACTATGGACCACAAAGTAAATAGAACACAAAGCGAAGGGAAGAGGGCTCAGTCCCCTCTAGAGGTCTGGTGGTCCAACGTTCCCATGTCTTTGGTGCTGTCTCTGCATCCACAAGCACTGTTTAAGGGTGCAACAGGTGATGGAGACAGACGGAGCCTGACATTCAAAACTCTTGTGTGCCATTAAATCTATTTATTGGCTTTTATTTGAAGCTGAATTTACCAGCACGCTTTTCCCTATTCAGAATGGAGGAAGTTCACTCTCTCTTTAGAGCAAAGGGTACCCAATCCAGAACATTTAAATTACTGCCTTTCTAAAGATAGATCTACCTGATTAACCCACCTGCACAATGAGACTTTGAGCTGAAGGTGAATGCAGTGTAATTCACGCAACTGTCTTTTACACCTCCCAGGATTCAGGAACGGACATATTCACTTTGGGCTCACTTGTGGAAGAACCGTGCTGATTATGTGAATCCTTTGTACAGGGAAGACCATAATAGGACCCTGCACCCACAGTCAGCTCCCTGCCATTTTATCTACAAGTAAGTGACATTCCTGACATTGTATTTCCTGCAGTGGAAAACGCTGGGACAAAATGCCATTGCTTATTCTTTGTTTCATTCCAGGATCTGAACAAATATGGTAATCACATTCGATTTAGATGTATAGTCATGACTCATGTAGAAATTGTGTTATGCTACTGGATTATTCACAAAAATAATACTGGGGCCAATTCTCAAAGAAATTACATTTAGAATGGACAGGTGTTTATTTTATTTAAAGTATTTTTCTCTCCCCTTTTGCCAAAAGAGGCCCACAGAACATCTTACCAGCAAAAAAGATCTGACACAAGAGGAAATGGGGGTGGGGAGGGAAGAGGAAAAAAATAAATAGCTATCAGCAGAGCTTGTAGAATGACCTTGAATCCCTTCTCATCTCCCAGTGGGGATGAGGATGCAATCTAACTAGGTGCTCCCTTTAACCTTTTCCTGTCTCCCTCACTCCTACTGGGAGCTGATGTCAATTAGCCCTGGTAGGGGTGAGAATCCAACTAGAGAAGGCCCGGATGTTTCCCTGGGGCTCCTGTCTCCATCACCTCTTCTTTTTCACTGGACCACTTTTGCTCCATATTGGTGGTGGTGGGAGGTGGACTGTGGTCCAGTTGAAACAGGCCTGGACAGTCCCTTCATTTAATGGCAATTAAGTCGGTCATTTTATTGTCCATTCCTCTAGCTTGGAAAGATCCATTTGGAACAATTCACAATCTTTTGTTTTGTTTTGTCCTGACCATTCTGAACATCTGCTGCTGTCAACAAGCATGGCTACCTTAAAGTCCACCTCTAACTTTAGGTTATCTATTAAGAAGTTGAAGATACCAGTCCCAGTACATCTTTCTGGAGGAGCTCACTTCTGACTTCCCTCCCTTGTGAGAGCTGACTGCTTATTCCTATGCTCTACTTCCTGTTCTTTAATCAGTTTAGGCATAAGAGAACCTCTCCCCTCCTCTCTTGCCCAGTTAACCTAACTGAGGAGCCCTGGGCAGAGGGACTTGGTCTTTTGAAAGCATCCAATGAGCAGGTTCAGCTAGGCATCCAATGCCACCGCTCCTCGGGGGCTCCAGCTTGCTTCTCTTATCGCCACTTGAGGGCTCCCATGACATCCAAACCTGGCCATCCAGGGGTTTTGCAAGGCTTAAGCAACACTTGCATAATCCCAAAAGAGACGATGGCTTGCTGAACCCACACTTGCCAGGTTCACATGACACAGCAACCCCGGAGCAAGGGTGCATATTAATCATGGCAGCTCCACTTCCTCCACATGCACCTTTGCCAGTCCCAGTCACACTTCTTGACGTCTCAAAGATCTCTGAGTGGTGACTGAGTCAGCACTTCCCTTTTGCAGAAACCATCTTGGTTCTCTCTGATAAGACCTGTTCTTCTTGTTAAGGGTGCAGAGCCCATGGGTTGAGTGAGGCCCTCTGACCTGTGCTGGACAGCTTTGGCGTGCCCTCCACCCCCCCCCCCCCAATCTGGTGCTTCGCTGCTGCCATAGGCAATTTCAGCTGCAATTGTATCATGGGGAGCTGGAGAATGCTTTGGCATCCTCTCCTTCCCACCAGCCCAAGTCACAGGAAGATAAGACTGTGAAGAGGCTGAATTCTGTGATCAGTATAAAAGTCTTTGCCTTTTCTGTGCATTTGTGGAATTGCAACATTTGCAAGCCCTCTTTACACATTCCCCTGAACGTGTGATGGCTGCAACTGGGGAGAGGGATGCCCGTACTGGCCCTGCCCTCTTCCCTCTGTGCTCCTCCCTGCCTACCAGGTTCCCCAGCCTTGCTGTGTGGAATGGTGAAGTCTGCTGGGGATTGCTACTCATGCTCCCTTAAATGTGAGAACAGCTCTCAGTGCAGTCAGGAAGCCTGCAGGATCCTTCCAGCCAATGCAAGGAGAAACCCCTGGCAGAGCTTTCCATTCCACATAGCAAGGTCAGAGACCTGATGGGAGAAGGCCCAGCCTGACTGTAATCGTGATATGCTATAGGCAGTTAAATAGAGATACTAAACTGAGGAAGAGCAGGGACCAATCTTGTTCCTTGGCAGCCCCTTGCTTGTGGCCCCATTGTTTCTTGCTTTTTAAGAGGACTTCTAGAACTAATAAATAAATAAATAAATAAATCAGAGCACATTCTATGAGTTACTGTGGTTTGGATTAGTTACTACTGCTCATTTAAGGGGTATGGTTTTAGTTTGATGAATGTATATAATGCTATGTTTTATATAATATTATCTGATGACATTTTTCTCATGGCCATGTGCCCTCAAAGGTGACTTTAAAATATTCTAATTAATAAAGAAATACACCAAAACATGGCATCGAGTCCCTAAATTCATTAGCAGTATATTAATGGCTATTTACTCCTCCCATAACATTTTATTGCATACTATAACAATAATATAGTTAAGATATATATTATTGTTAATTTGAAACAATATTGTTACGAATAAATAGAGGCAAATGGTGAAAATTATGTTAGAAATTCTTTTCTTATTAGCTTTCTCCATAGGAATGAAGTTTTTGTTGTTTATTATTATTTTCTTTTTCCTTGGTAAGGAAATGGGCTTTTAACAAAAGGTTTTCAGGCAAGTACTGCCTTTTGAAAATGACAGTGAGGTATGAATGATTTGAGACACTGGGAGGGGAAGTTTCCTGAGTGCTATCCTTAGAATTTCATGTTAAAAAGCCTCTTAAATTAGCGTGTCAAGCTCCTTCAAGAGAGCTCCCTTCTGAATCCATGCTTACTGTTACTTAACCCAGCTGCTGAGCTGCTTATGTGTACACAAATTGACTCACTCCACATGTAACCGGAGGAATTCAGCAATCAGCTAGGCAGCTCTGTCACATTCAGATTTTCCACAACCTCCCTTAGAATTCACCCCAGTTTGCTGCAATTTATTTGCAAGCTTAATGGGGAACTGATCTGTGCCAAGAGAGAAAACCAGAGTAGTCACACAGCTCAGTTGACAGCTCCAACCGCTGCAGTGATCACATGCCTGCTTGCTGTGAGATGTGAAATGTTTCTCATGCGACTTCCAGCCAAGAACTGCTTTGTACATGGATACACCTCTCTTGCCCTTGTGCTTTCAGCAAGCAAGCAAGCAAGCAAGCATCGCTTAACAGCTGCCTGTATGCTGGGTCAGGGTTGCAGTTTCCAGCCCTGAAGAGCTGAGTAAGAACTGACTTCCTACTTCAGTAACACCCAGAATGTAGAGCAAGCTAGGATACTTAGCAATTGCACAGAAATTGTCCAAATATTACACATGCATTTTTTGGGAATATTTGCATCATAAATCAGATTGGGCCCTGACCCATGCATGAAACTCTTATCATGCACTGTCTTGTTATTTCAATAGAGGGGCCCCTACAAAGTATATGAATATGCTTGTTGGTGGGCCTCCGCTAAAGAAATGGTCAGCTCTTGAAGGTGGAGGGGATCCATGTGTACATCATGTCAGCAAGACTCTGATAGAACACAGCATTTTGTTTACAAGCACATGCCCTCATCCAAGGGAGCAATAACTTTCTTCAGAAGAGGTTGAAGTCAGTGCTTTTTCACCCTTCCATGAAAAAAGTGCTCTCAAAATATAAGCAAAATCTGAGCAAAAATTTTCAGATGCCAGTTTAAATTTTTGTGTGGTAAACTGGTCCTAACAAATCCTAAAGCCCTTGTCTAGGCATTTGCCCATTGAACTCAGTGGATAAGGTTGCATGACACAGCAGCCCACCCTGTGAATCGGCTCCACGGTTAGGTTGCTCTCAGAACCAGCAGGTTCACCATGGTTGTCCTCCTCCGTTTCCCCCTGCCCTGGTTCTTCCAGGGTCCCTTCCCCACTCCAGCATCCTAGGATCTCTTACCATACAGCTTGCATTCTCCCACCCAGCCATGCTCCAATTGTGCCCCTTTGTCATTCATTGTGGTTTTGTTTTCTTCTTTTCTGGAGACTCAGAAAAGCACAATGAGGGCTGTGTTGGTTTTTTTTTTAATGTTTTGGCTCCTGAAATGTGTGTGCATCTTTTATTTTAAAAAATATTGTTGCTATTATGTTTTTAGCCAAAATCAGAGTTGCATGAGTTCTTTTGCCTTTCCGATATATTCAGCCTCACCTTGTCTATTGCCTTGTCAATCACACCTGTCAAATTGTAACTGAATAAGGAGGCAAGAATGCATTGTAGTTTACATTCTGAAGAGATGGCAGGGAAAAAATGAATCTAAGAACACCAAAGGGGTTGTGGACTGTATCTCTCTCCCTTACCAAGGTGAGCTTTTGGGTTTTAAGTACTGAACTGGTTCTTTTCAGGGTCCTCCACCTGTGGGACACTTCCCAAATTTCCAGCTAGTCCAGAAAGGGGAGATGTTAAGGCCACCTGCTTCTTGCAGCTCCTTCTTGAGTAGTTTCCCATGATGTGCTGCTGTGCGGTGTGAACCTGGTCAGCAGCACTTACTACTAGTTTGATTTGTATAGGAGTGTAGTGTCGATCTTGCGTCTTTATTCTTAGGATCACAGGAAGCGGCCTCATACTGAGTCAGACACTTGGACCACCTGTGACTCCTCGGGGTTTCTTTCCTTGCCTACCCAAATATGTCTGGGGTTGAACCTGGGACTTCCTGCCTGAAAAGCACACACACCGCCGCTGAGCTACAGCCCCTCTTATGGCCTGTTTTATGTTCCAGGTTCTGGAGTGGAATGTACAACCGCTTTGAGAAAGGGTTGCATCCTCGGCAGTCTGTTATTGACTACCTCATGGCGGTGAAGGAGGAGACACAGCAGTTAGAGGAAGAACTGGTGGTTCTTGAGGAGGTACAGGTTCTTGGTTTGATGAAGTCATTCTGTTGCCCTACCTTGATCCAGCTCTGATGATGCCTATCTAAGTGGCCCTGGGTAGCTATGGCTGTTGTCCCCTCTATCAATAGATCCATCCATCCAATTCAGCAGAGCCCATTTATGCACCGATTACGTGGGCATCGATTCACATCTGTGTCATACTGGTCTCGTTTTCTAGACTGGGAACTTTAACCGTGGTAACATTTTGTGGAGTTTATTTTTCTCCTTCTTTGAGGTGCATGACCAATGGCAGTAGTCGAGAATGTTATCATATACCTACTTACTTGGGAGCAAGCCCCATTGAACTCAGTGGGACTTACTTCTGTATAGACATGTACAAAACTATTTCTGAAGCGTGATAAAAACCATAGAAAGAGGTGAAAAAGAAAGAAAGAAGAGGTATTTTTCTCCCTTTTGATCATGTTCTTCTAATAGTTTTTCACCTCCTTCATAAGGCAAAAATATGAAGACTTGGAACAGGGATGTCCTTCTGAAGGCAAAACAGAGCCTTCCAAAAGTGGAAACATCAAAACATGTTTTCTCAAGTGTAAAAGAGGCCATTCTGCCTGGAAAATTCACAAGCAGGCAGTCTTCTCTAAGTCCCCAAGGGAGACCAGCTTCACTACTTCCCTCTTGTTGATCTGATCCAAGTCATTTCATGTGAGGAGCTGCTTCAGCTTTGCTGTGAGTAGGTCTTCCTTGAGAAAGGCAATGCAGAGCAAGGGGAACCTGCTGTTAGGATACTTCTAACAGCAGCCTTCCTTTCTCTCCAGCTCCCAGTAGTGGCAGGGCAGATTGTGTGGAGGCCCTGCATCTGGCCTACAGCGCTTGCATCACCCCCATAAGCCATGTCAGAGGTTCTGACCCCTTGGCACTAAGTCCTACTCAGATGTTAATATGGTTAGATGAAGGAAGAATTCAGTTGCATCAAAGTGGAAAGCAGAAGACTGTTTGGAAAAATAAGCTAGCTGAGTATGCAACAATGGCAAAACTAACCAATTATATATAAACAGAAGACCTGCCAAAGAAGAATTCAATGAAAAATGGAAAGCTTATTAGAAGCAATGTAATTAGTATTTGAGAAAACAGAACTTGTAAAAATAGTATTAGTCAGCTTTAATTTAATGCCATGTTATTTACAATTAGTTTGATAAATTAGATCAGTTTGTTTACATATCTTAATTAAGCTGATTTAACTGTGGATAGCAGAGAAGAAATGTTTGCTTTTTTGTGAACATATTAGATGTTGAAATTAAGATATATTTGTGTAATATCCCTTGGTTGGTCAGTTTCTATCTTACTTGGGAAATAAAAATGAAAATAAAAAAGAATGGGACAAACTCTTCTTTCTCATCTTTCAGAGACTGGCAAAGCTTACAAAAGTGCAATTAAATCATGGTGAGACAAAGACAAAACGACAAAATGGAAGCAATGGATTTGGACATTCTACCTCTAACGAAAGCATAGCCAATACCCCGCAGGATTATACTGGCAATCTGGAATCATTTCCTTCCCGGAGTCCTTCTCAGGGAGATGAAGATTCAGCCCTGATCCTGACACAAGACAACCTGAAAAGCTCAGATCCAGATCTTTCTGCCAACAGTGACCAGGAATCAGGCGTGGAGGATATGAGTTGTCAGTCTCCGAATGGAGGAAGGTGCCTGCCCAGAAAGGATAGCACCAAAGACCGTGATTCAGATGAAGCTGTCTGTCTCACTGTCTGAAAGGACTGCTAGCTAGCAGGTGATCAGACTGTATTTCAAAAAGTCCAAAGAAGGGGGGGTTGCACATTTCACAAGTCCAGATGTAACACAGCTGTAAGCCAGAATGTAAAATGGGAAGCATCTTTCATATTTAAAGAGGGTGTGTATTTTAAGTATTTCATCCATTATTACTTTTCAGAGCCATACAGAATGAATGCTTTATATTTAGCTTAGAATTATTGATTAGTGCTTTGTCTGTAGGCCATAGTAGATGCTGGAAGAAGCCACAAAAAAGATGTTTATATAAATGATGCCAAAAAACAAACAAACTATAGGCAGCACATTGGCACCCTCCCTTGCTTGCTTTATTCTAATTGTGTGCCTGAATAAACCTACAGTGAACTTAAGGTGTCACCCTATAGATGCCAACTCAAAAGTCCCATTGAATCCAGCTTACTCCCAGTGGTAGGTATAGAATTCCTGCCTAAGAAAAATAATTGAAGGATTCGATCTTTGCCAGTGTTGTACTGGAAGAACCAGCGTGCTTCAGTGAACTTATTTTTCCTTATGAGTTTGCAAAAAAAAATCACTAACTTGCAAAATGTCCTTCACTCAGCACTTGTATTCATTTTCCTTTGAAACTCCAGATATCTTACTTTGGTTATATACCTTGGTTAACCTTTTTGAACTTTAGACGTGCTCCTTTTTCCTACAATTACTGGTGACTGCCTAGCAACCTTCAATGACTTCCTTTTTATCTAAGCCATTGTTGTTTTTCCGGAGTTCAGATGGGCCAAAATAAAAAACCAAACCACCTAATCTTATTTGTTATGGTCTTACAAACACTGAGTTGACAGAAAACAGGTAGCTCAAAATGACAGGGTAGAAAAGGCAGAGGTAGAAGGTCAAGCTGAACTCAAATATGAAGTTGACTCACATTTTTTCCTAGTGGTTCATTTCCAATTAATGCTTCTCCCGTGAGGGAAGGTGGTTTTCAGGCAAGAGGTAATTTCTCCCCCTTTCCTGTGCCTCTCCAAATCTTTTTTGTAAGGTTGGGTGGACCATTTGGCAGAGGAAGAAAGGTTATGCAGGATACTGCTGCGGCTGATTGCTCCCTCTTGAGACACCAACTAAATGCCTTTTATCAGTGGAAGGACAGCATTTGGAAATGATCCATCATCATAATCACTGGGTTGTCATCGATGTTCGTTAACTCTTCTTCAATAGGTCTACTCTAAGAAGGACTAACTGGATTCAATCCATTGTCAGCATAGGCTGATACCCATTTAGATCAATTCAAGTCTGTGGCATAGACACTGAGACTCCAAGTGAAGTGCAATGCTTCTTTAGGCTTTGATCAGGAAGATTCTTTACTACCTTGTGTGGCAAGTAGTGGTTTTCCTTTTGTCTATACAAGTTGTCCAGGGCATCACAAATCACAGGAGTTGGGCTGAAAAAATGCCCACTGGACTTTTTACAATGAGCCTTTATTTCTGTAAGACTACCTGAGTGTTGAAGATACACCCTTCCCCCAAAGATAGCATCATCTTGCAGTAATTGATCAGTTGTCCAATGGCCGGTTTAGTCTGTCTGTATTTCATTCTCAATATAACAAAAAACTGGTATTTTCAGAAGGTTACACTAAAGTGTAGCTTAAAGGGATATCTAGTATGACTATACTTTAGTATGAGAGTACCTAAATTATATTGAGTAGAGATGCTTGCCTTGAACCAAATTAACTCATGAGGTGCATTTTCACAGACAGAGGTTCCTTTTATAAGAAACTTAGTAAATCCAAGGTCTGTTAGAAAATCTTGTTAATAATTTTTCCATGTAATTTATAGCCCAATTAGAAGCCTCTTTCTTGCTGCAGATAACCAGTTCAGATGGGGAGTATCAATTATAGCATCAGTGCCCCATCACAAACCATGGGCCTACATTAGTGTCCTAAGCTAACTCAGGATGTTAAGCTGAAGAAGTCTTGCTTGCCTGTCCTAAGCTAGCAGTCTCCAAAGATCTAGAAGATGGCACAGCAAGTGGTCAAGAAGGACATATTGCCTGGGACAATTTTATACCAGGGAGGCATTTTATATCAGCATGCACCCAGGGGAAACGATTATACCACATCCAGCAGTTAGCATGGAATTGACCATAAGGAAAATATTTGATGTACTTATGGTTTGATTGGGGGGAGGTATCTGTGATACCATAAAGATATGTATTCCATTTTTTAAAGTTAAAGGAGCTGATGTTCAAACTGGCATAACTCTCCCCTCCTGAACCCTGGAATTCTGTAGAGTTTAGGGGTGGGGAAACCTAAGCCCTTAGAAAATGTTTTGTCTTAGCTGTACAGTTATCACACATGCTTTCTGAACCATTACGTCGTTCTAACTCCCCATAATCATACCGGTACCTATTAAAAACACATAATGTAAGCCAGACCCTGGTTGCATTGTGCAAAGCAAGAGCTAAAATTAAGGCAGAGCATGCTACTGAAGCAAATGAGCCCAGCCACAGGTTGCAAGAGCTAACCTGTATAATAAATATGCTGTGTGCAGTTAAAGAACTGGGTGCTCAGAAACATTTATATGCTAGAGGTGATGAATACTGAAGCTGAGCCCAAGGTCAAGACAGTCTGCCCAAGGCAAGTGTGTATGTGTATGGTGGGGGGGGGGAGATGCTAGAATGCTCCCCCTTCCTCGTACATTTACTGCCTTTGCCAAAGCAAGCCTGTGAATCTAATAGCAGGGGACTCATGTACAGCCTGCCCAAAATATCAACGTACACTCTCAATGGAAGAAAATGTTTTCTTTCCAGAGGGAAGAAAATGATGCAAAAACTTTGAAGCGGGAGAACACAATGTATTGTGCATAATTCTATGTGAAATATGAATGGATGATTTGAGGGTAAAAACTGGCCGTTCTATTTATGCAAATGTACTATTATTACTTTGTATTTCAGAAACCTAGAATACACATAGTGAAATTCATGCAGCCTATTCTAGACCTCTGATGTTACTGATCAACTCCTGGTGGTTTTACTTGGAGCTCAGAGCTCTTTGATTTAAATGTTACAGTTGGCATTGTACTGTATTAATGCTGCATTAAATATATGAAGACTATTTAAATAATAAACACATATGACACAAGAATTACTTTGCTTTTCTGTGGCAAATTCAATACCTTATTAGTGCAATTTCCAGTTCTCCCATCCATATTCTTCTTTTTAGCCCCTTTTATAAAAAATGTTCTGCTGTAGCCTTGCAGTGTTCACAGAGCAGAAACACCTGTATATGCAGGCCCCATGAAAAGTTTAAATCCCTCTAGTCAACTGTTTAGTAGGCAAGTAAGAATCTTGGTTCCATTGGGTACTGGGCTTAATTTTTCTAGAAAGAAATGCCTGCACATACCACTAGCTTTTGGATCAAGGGAGCCCCCCATCCAGCAGGGATACACACCCTGAAACCCACTTCCATGAGCTTTGTAATCCAAGTTCTCAACTAAACCCTTGAGAAATGTGAAACATGGAAAAATCCATAGTTAAGAATTCTTGTATCATAGATGCACTTTGAACTTTGTTTCTACGGTATTTTTCTGGTGCTGGGCAGCATGCCAGTTTCCTATTCTATCCGTTTTGAAGGGTTAAGGAAAGCAACAAGAAGATCTAAACAAGTGAGACTGCAATGCTGCAGTCTGGAGTTGATCTTGCACAGGACTCCAGCCAGCCACAGCCTTTTCCATGATATCCATCTCACTCAGCCCCATGCAGTAGACAGCAGTGTTCCATTGCCACTGCACACCTGGTCATTACTGGAATGTTTTGGGATTCCACCCTTCCCCAGCAAGGTGTTTTTCTAGGCATTTTTGGGGTACTTCTACCAAAGCTGTAGTTCCTTCCAAGCCTCAGGGTGCATCGCTCATGCACTGTTTTGCCCACACACAGCACATTTGTCATTAGTATCCAGTATTTATAATAAAAACCAATGGAAAGGACATTTTGAAGAATGAGGGGAAGTAGCCTTACCGTTGAAACTCACTTTTCATACTAGTCAGTATTTTCCTGAAGCCTCCAAGAGAGTAAATCTTCAAGTGGATCGGGCTTGTAAATTTTGAACAGAATTCTTATGTACCAGAAACTGGAAGCACAGAATAAGACTGATATTGTTATCAGATATGTAAAAAAGTGTGCCCCCACCAAAAATATTTCCAGATGCTCTTAAAAGCAGTTGAGGAAAATAAACCAAGACTCCTGAAGCCAACATAGTTGGTAATACAGTTTAAATGAAACATTAAGCAACAATATTTGTTCCACCAAACTTTTTATTTCCAGGTCAAGACTCAGTATTATGAAGAGGAGTTTCCAAAGTAAAGCTGAATTCTACAGCTATTTTTCCACTTGTGGAACCAGAAGTTCTGCTTTGCAAATACAAGTATCAACACAAAAACTTTTCAACTTTTCAAAAAGCCCATAAAGCCATCCAGGAAAAGCAAGTTTAGTTCATAACAAAGGTAGTAACGGAAGTGTGGCAGGCAATGGGGATGACAAGTGATTGCACTTGGAATGAAGTTATCTGCTGAATTCACATTTACAGATTTGTCTAGTTGCATGGGGGAAAACAGGGTTCAATTATATTATCAATGGAATAATTTTGAGTTTCTTGGAGAAGTGATGCCATCATTCTGCAGCCTCACAAGCCACGAGGGCAGTCTAAAATATTTTTATACAACAACATTGTTTAGTTTTAGAGAAGTGTCATAGCCTGTATTTCCACCCTGAAGGAGAATGAGTTAGAAAGGCTTTAAAAATGTCTATCGATGTAATATAGAAAAATATATGGACAACTTTGCTCAACATATTGATTTCTGATCCCCACTGAGCCCCCACTGGATAATGGAAAAGCTCTATTCTCAGCCTTCTCTTGTATGTATATATTATGTAAAGAAGATGAAACTCCTTCATTCCTTTGTGATTTTAAAAGGGGCTTATACACAAACCCAAGAGAGGTGAGAAAGTCGGACAAGTATTCATGAAACATTTGCCTACACTCTTGTACTTCCTCTCTCTTAACCTGTTCCCCTTCTTTGTGGAACTGGAAGTTGGGAAGAAGCAAGTCTGATAGAAACAACACCTTTTACTGTTTTAGATGTACGTACAGATTTTTCCATTTCATGGGCTGTGTATACCCCTAATGTAGTGAATAGCAGGATCACGAACTGGAGAGAAAATAAAAGCTGTAACATCAGCCTCTCCCTACAGAACAGGAATGGGCAACTTGTGGCTTTTTAGATGCTTTGTCTTATAGCTTCCAACATTTCTAAGCAATGGCTATGCTGGCTAGGAGTGATGGGAACTGTAGGACCAAATCATCTGGTTGCCCAATACCTGCCCTAAAAGGAAGACCTAATCCCAGATGTAGGAAATGGACTACCTTCTCTCCAATGGGGGATAAGTCAGTGAGCGCTTAAACCTCCTTGCCTTTTAAGTTTTCAGCCATCAGCACTGGATTCCAATATGTAGTCTACCATTTGTCAACATAAATAAAAATGTATTTTGAGAAATGGAATTCTGATACTTTCTTGTGAAGAGGGCTTAACTGATACAACCTGCTTCAACACTTTACAGTTTACTGGCAAGTAACCAGCGTCTCTACACCCCCTCCAAACCAAACCAGCCAGTGTTTAATACAAAAGTTATGAATTATGTTGTATAAAATTTAAAAATCTAGTCAAAATTACATGTTTAGATATTTAATCTATAAAGTAGGTGGAGACAGCAGCGGGAACTTAAATATAAGGTTTATCAATAAAGACAGGAAATATTAGTGCAAAAATTGCATTAGAAGGATGATTTTTTGGGGGGAGGTGGTAAAATGAGAATAGAAAAAACATTCCAATTTGTACCAAAAAATCATCTGAGCTCTGTATACAGTTTTTCTATAAATACAACCATGACGAAATGCTCATTCGCAAAATAATAAATCTATTAAAATGTGCTTTGCTGAATTCATTCACTCGCCTTAGAAATTCTAGTTAGCTGGAAAAACCTGTGAACACAAAAGGATAATTACAGTTAGTCAAATATCTCATTGTGCACACTCTTGCTTTACAAATGCAGCAGTTTCAAATTAATCCAGAAAAGAAAGCTGATGTACTTCCTCTTCCCTTTTGATGATATCATAGCTTTCATTAAGATGGAATAGGATGCAGAGAATTTCTTTTAATTCTGGCATCTAAGCACTGTGCGCTCCGAATGCAGAAGCTGCTATTGTTTGAAAAGTGCTACAGGGCAGTTTAAATGTTCCAAAGAGATTGGTTGGTAAAAGATTAGCCACTGCTTTTATATAAAACATTGTGAGAATTTTTAAGGGTCTATTAACAAACTCATCACAGCAACATTTTGCACATACATTGATAGCATGTGTATATCTTCCTCACTGCAGAATTATGAAATGCCCGACTCAGGATATGTGCAGGTATATAATATGTATGTGGGCTCACAGTGTCCCAGCAAACACAAATGATTTGCATACACTGGCTGTGTGAGCCAGTACCGCCAGTTGGGTGTGTGGCATGCAAGGTAATTCTGGTGTGAACCCAGTGCACAAAACGTACCTATAATGGAGCATGAAACTGGCTGCGCATTGCTATTGCCTGTTGAAGCTTTTCCTCTTTGGCTCTTCTACAATGGCAAATCTAAAAGAGATAATAATAGTTAAAATTGCTCTTATTCTGTACAGTGTATGGGCTAAGCCTGCAGACTGGAGGCTCCCCATCCTGCCACACATGGTGTATTTCAGTTCGCAGGCCCTTTATTATATGAATCCACATTTGCAGTGTTTCCAAAGAATATGGTACTGGAAGCCAATGAATAGCTCTATCTAGAGAAATTGTGGCTCTGTCTTGAACTGCCACAAATTGTGTTCTTGAACTACCTTTAACAAATAGACTTGGCAGCCAGTAAGAAAGGGAAAAGAAAGGATACACATCTTTATATAGTGTTTCTCCTTCCCTAAATAGAAAACATGTTTGTATAATTACCAAAAAACCAAAAAACAGACCAATTGAACAGATTGTCTTTACCGCACTTAACAGAGAGGGAAAATGATTAAGAATAACAGTTAAAAGAAAAGTGATCCCACACAGTTGACTTATAAGGCTGTGTTATAATGAGCTCAGTGGCAGCCACTCTTAAGTTTTCAACAATACCTGAATTGTACAAAGGGCTCAGAAGGCTATAAAGGAAGTACATCCACTTTTTTCCTGGATTAATTTGAAACTACTGCATTTGTAATGCTAGATTTGTGCATAATAAAAATCCCCTCACTGGAATTATGTTAGTATTTTCACAGGTATTTCCAGCCAACTAGACTTTGTAATCCAAGTGACTGAATCCTCCCACAAAGCACATTTTAACAGCTCTATTATTTTGCAAATGAACATCATTGTTACATTTACAAAAAAAAAGAAAGAAAAGAAAAAATCAGATTATTTTTTGGTATAAATGGGGATCTTTTTCTATTCTCAGGAACTGCTTGGATTTTTACTAGGACATACATCTGGGTATGTCCCAGTACAAATCCTGGGGATTCCACTCAAAACCCTCATTTTAAAGGACCCCAGAGTATGACAGTGAAGCTTCAGTTTCCTTTAAAGAAAAGGTGTTTTCATGTGGGGAGTCACTTTAAACGTTCCATGGGGGTTGGGGGGCAAGTGCAAAGAAAGTTCTCCGATAGGGACTAAAGAGGAAGGGAGGAAAGGTGGAGGAAAATTCCCTCCAACACTCCCTGGTCAGCCAAAGATCCCTCATGGCTTAGACGATTCTTGACAGTTTGCCATGGGGTGGAGGGGTGGGAGGTTTTCAGGCTACTCTACTGCTGTGCAATGTCCAAGATGGATGCTCCTTGGGAGCATGCCCCAGCCGATGCTTAGAATCATCCCATTAGCATTTCTATAAATGAGCACAGTTCTTCTAGCAGAAATAAAGATTGGTAAAAGTATAACTTTTTTGCACTTTTTTGTGGGCACAAATTAAATTAAAAATATACTGGGCAGTCATGGAGAATCCCTTCAAAGTGCTGCAGTCACTTTGAAGGGGCAACTTGTGGCTGCCCAAACAGTGCTTGAGAAAGCAGGCTGCCAAGTCAGCTTTCCCAGTCTCCAGAATTTTACTGGGAGCCGCCCCGAGGTTTTGTTGCAATGGGTGCGGCATAGAAATGTTTTAAATGATAAATAAATAAATATTTTTATTTATTTAAGTGTGAAAAAGCTGCTGCGATCTGAAATTGGTTTGGCAACAAAAACAGGGAGATACAGAGCACTTGTTCCTCTTGCAGTGTCCCCTGGAGGAGAGGGATTAAAATTATATTGTTAAAATATTGTTATATTGTCTGTTCTACTCATTGCAGGCACTTTGCAGAACCAACCAACCCACTGTGGCAAAGCACAATGGGCTGGCACGGCAAGTGAGCCTGCCCAATGACCAAGTTCACAAAACACATTCTTCATCATCACCATCTAGAATATTTATATGCTGACCTGTTGCGAAGGCCTCAGGACGGCTTACATAATGGTTCATATACCCTGCAAATAAGCCATGTCATATGGGCCGCTTGTAAAACTACCCAGGGTGCACTTGACACTTGCACGCCTCACTGTGTATTCTTCCTGCTCCTTCCCTCTCATTTCCCCAGGGTGTATTGCAGGGGACTTGGGGACTAAAGCCATCTAGTCTCCTTTTCCTGCTCTGATTATGAACCCTTTCATAAAAACTAGGGCTCCCCCGTCTGCAGAGCATAGCCATCTCTCTCCAAGTTTTCCTGTCAAAAAGCAAGTGCAGAAATTAGCCATTGAGTTTTATACAGAAAAGCCTTTGCTAGCTACCAAAATAAGTTTCCTGAGCATCTCGCTGCAAATGGGGAAAAATATGCCACCTCCTTTCATGGTAAAAGATTCCTCATGGCTTTGCTTTCCTTTGACAACTGTCAAGTTCTCTTGGCCACTGTCCATGGTTGGTATCTGATGAACTTTGAAAGCAAATATTTCCTAGGACATTGCACAGGCAAGCCTATTTCACTTAATGTTGCATAGTTCCACAGTTCTGCACATCTGGCTCTGTGTGTGCACACACAAGTGCATGAGATAATACTTGCGCACATGTTCAGTTGTGCAAAAAAAAAAAAAAAAAGAAAAGAAAAAGAGACGAGACCCTATTTCAAACCAGGAATTCCTGGGGAATGATGCTGCACAGAGAGAACTTTTCCAATGTCAATGAACAACTAATGAATATTCCACTTCTGGGCTGGTTCATAATATGCAAACCCTGAAACTAAACAACCCTAGCTCAATATAATAATTACTCATTGTTTGTCATTGTAGCAGCTCTGGGTCAAGAACGGAAGACCAATTCTGAATCAAACCAAGATTCTATCTAGTCCTGCTCTCTGATCACACAATAGCCAAACAGCTGCCCATGAGAAAACCAGAAGCAGGTCATGACTGCAACAGGAAATGGTGTAAACAGGCAGACCATCTTGATACTGGAGGCACCATATTGCCATCAGCACTAGTACCAATTGACAACCTCTATGAATTCATCCAACTCCCTTTTAAAGCTATCTAAATTGGTAGCCATCACCCCATCTTGTGGAAATAAATTCCATGATGTAAGCATGCACTGTTTGAAGAAATACTACCTTTCTTCTATTCTGGACCTCTCACCATCAGATTCATGTGATGACCGTAGGTTCTAGTAGCCCATAATCAACCCAGTTTCTATGTTCACACATCACAAAAATGTGCTTTTAAATCAAACTGGGAAAGGCTTGTACAAAACGCTCAACCCAGAAATTGCTCTTAGGTATGAACCAGGACAATATCTAAAATGATGAGTGTATTTACCAATATGAAACACAGAGTTGTGTTATACCATCAGTGCAATGTAATTATCCATTGAAGCACTGAGGGAGTCAGGAAGATTCTGAGATTGCTATTTTTCTCTGGTTGGTATACACTAATTTTTCATGAAGTAGTAATTTGATGTAGTGCATACTTGGGATACCAAGTTTCCTGCCACCCAAGGTGCTGGGTGGCAGGAAAACTTCACAAGAATTACTCTTCCTGAGAACCAAGACACATTTCAACTATATGATAAACAATTATGTACCTATTTTCAAAACACCATAAGAGAACTTAATGCTATCCTTTAAGCAATTCTCAGCTGGTTTCAATTTTAAAGAAGTGAGTGTACAGAAAAACTGGAAAAATTCAGGGGAAAACAGTCTCTGTTTTTTCCCAAGTATCTTCTTCCTTCCCACACATGCATTTGAAAAATTTTGGATTCTGAAATATTTTTCAAAATGAATATACTTTTCACGAACAAGGTGTTTATATATTACTACCCCGGCTTAACTTGCACAAAACGATTTCTTAAAACTATGCATTGTATGTAACACTAGAGATGTAAAATTTTAGCATATTTTAAAACCATGGGAGAAAAGTGTTTTCTTAATTATTTCTAAGATTTCCATCATAGTTACTTCTTCCACTCCTTATTAAGATTAGTGACATAATGTATGTTTTAGTTGTAGACATTTATGAATGCTTCATTTCATTTCAGCTTCCCTATCATAACAGGTAAAACAATGTGCATCTTTGATCATTAGGTTTTGTTCTTTCTTGTGTTACTTCTCATGTTTTGTTAGATAATGTAGCAGCCAATGAATATAGCTCCAAATCACACATCAGGGAAAAAACTGTAGCTTATCCTGCCACTGCTAGTTACCACATAGTTATCTATATTTCATTTTAAACCAAAACACATTGAAGCTTGGGTCTATAAACTCACAGCCTTTGTTCTTAGCAAACTTCTCAATTAGACCTCACTGTTATAGAAAGCAGCCTCAACTATAAAAAACTGTATCCAACAAGGGCACTGTTCTTGGATACATAGTGCCACCATCATCAACCTCTTGTGCAATGCTAATAGCTTAAATTAGCACAATGGGTTTTGGTTACTCACTGAGCCATCTTATGCTATTAGTGTAGCACTTGACGTGGTGTTTACATAACTGACCTCAACTGTGTAAGTGCAGTGGCCCTGTTGGATATTGCACAAAACCTCTGCTGCCACCAAAATAAATGATCACTGAAGAAGAAATAATGCGAGGAAAAGTTGAAGCCAGAAGATGGGGTGGACTAAATAAGAGAAGGATTGATTCTACAAAGGAAGCCATGGACCTGAGTTTACAAGAGCTGAACAGGGCTGTCAAGGGCAGGGTATTTTGTAAAGCATTCACATCGGGTCATCATAAGCAGAAGACAATTTAACACCATGTGACAACCACCTAAAAAAAACTGGTAGCCTGGTTCATTTGAGACATCAAGAATGGGACAGATACCACCACTGCAGAAATTTCAGAAATTAGGAATTAAGATGCTCATAAGGGGAATTTACAAAAGGGAGTAAAATGTCACCTCTCCAAATAACAGATTGACATTGCTTGCATATTTAATACTTTGTCACTATTCCTAACAGATAAGCATCCAGGTAAACAAGCCATTAATAGTTTTAATTCCAGACCAGATTAGCCTAAATGCCACCCTAAGAAATTCCTCACAAAGTTGAACAGATGCAATGCCCCAGTGTTCCTTTGCCTCTAGCTCTTCCCGCTTCTGGATTCAAGAATAATTCAGATGTTTAAAGCATTATTTCCTGAATTCCTTAAAAGATTTTGATTGAACTGATAATCTTATGAGTGAGCCAAGTTACACCTAATATATTTTATGTTCCTAAAGTAACAAAGTAACTTCAGATTTGTAAAGAGCATGGAGATGTTAAATACTGCTTTATATTTTTCTTTCATCACTGCCTCCTAAAAATTACGTTTTTTCCAAGGCTTCAAAAATTCCCTCAGTTTTACAGCTTTACATATGCTCACTGTAAAGCTAAAGATGTTTAAAACATCAAGAATTTTACATACTGTTCTCTTCTCCATGAAGCTACTAAGGAAGTCGTCTATTTCAGTTTTCCCTTCCAGAAAATCTTCTGCAATGGTGTCAGACTCTTCTTCAGCTTCATGAGCAGCTACTTTTAATCTTGCCTGGAGAGCACTTGCACTACAGCTCTACAAAAACAAAGTACCATGTAACTGAGAAAAGCTTAGTGACAATACTATTCTCATTGCAAGAAAGAAAAAACACTGAGGAAACTTTCTCTCCCTCATTGACTGACTGCATTCTAGTTTAATATTGAAAAGCCACCCTAGAATTTGTTTTAAATAACAGGATACAGGACAAATATTAACTACTGTAATATTGCTTTATTTAAACCTTATTTAGATGCATTAAATAGGAATAGATTTATTATTTACAGCAGAATGTAGGAACAAAATCGCAGAGCCTTGAGATGGATTCTTTTTCTATGTACTCTTACCTCACTAAGTTCATGCTGCCTTTGCATCTTCTTTTCAAATGCTGCCTTCAGCTGGGTAAGCTGTTCATACTAGGAGGGAAAAAGGTTTAGCAAGCAAGCTCAAGTATCTTCTCCCAAGCCCCAGAAAATGACTCCCCCTCACTCACTTACTTTATCGAACACTGCTTGTCTTTTTGTCTCCAAGGTCGGTTCAAGTAATAGATTTTTTTCTGCAAAGTAAACCCGCTGTTCAATTTTAGAAGGTTACACTGCTTACTCCTACACCATTATTCCACCAACAAATATGTTAAAGTCTTACTTGCTAGTGCCTCGATACTTTTCACTAAGTCATCCTTATCAGTAACGACTTGCTTCAATTGGGGCAGAGTAACAAACTGTTCCAGCAGTATGTCTTCTTGTTCATTCATGTCTGTCAACTGTGATATGCTGAATTTCAAAAGGAACAAAACAGAATCCTGTGTAAGATCAGCTACACATTTTTATTTTAGGCATTAATTTTGACAAACTTTCTGGATACTCTGCTTATCCACTGTATTCAATGCTAATTCTTCTTTACAAAACCTTGCACACACAGTTACTTTATAATGCAATGTCATTTCAGAAGCTTAAGTTCAATCACTGCTACATTTCTGGTGAATGCCAAATGCTTTTGGAATAACCCATGACATGATGCTACATTCAGGCAAAACCAGAATTGTTCTTTGTAGAATCACACAAAACAATGAAGGAACAGTACAGAACTATAGTACCATATACTGTAGTGAACAAAAATATTGTCTTTTTAACCTTAACATGCAGGCCTAGGACACTGGGAATATTTATTTTCTGCTAGAATTTGTTTCAGATTTTGAGGTAACCGTTTGCACTATTAGAAATCATTGCAAAATTCTATCTATGCCAATCTGCAGAAAAGTCTTCAATTCACTTATAGTCCCAGCTACCATCTAGATATCCTGTCCTCAGGCAAAAAAGTTCTCTAGCTGGAAAAGACTGACCCCTCTAAATTATGTTGAATTACAATTCTCATTATAACAGTTACGGCCACTGGTGGTTCATTTTCATATGCTAACATTTTGCAAGTAAAATTATTAAGCCTGATGTTTTCTAAGAACACAAGAGAAGAATTTCTCTTATCAATTTCTCCAAACACAATCTCACTGATGCACATTTTAGGGCCTCTCAGATTATAAAGTCTATGTTTTCACTTTGAAGTTGCTGGAAATTTTGTTTGTTGTATTTACACTGACTTTAATGTTATTTTATATTGTATTTTGAATGTACTTTTTATATTTATTAATTGGAAGTCACCCAGTGAACTGCATAGTAGGCAGTATGCAAATGTTCTAAACCATGGGTCCTCAAACTATGGTCCATGGGACGGATCCGGCCCGCCATGGCCATCCATCCGGACTGTGCAGCCGTTTGCTGCCTGTGCGCCTGCTTGCTGTGTCGGTGGGGAGGCGGTGGCTTGCTCACTCGGAGATGGTCTTTGAGCAAGCAAGCCGCTGCTGCCGCCTGCATTCCGCATGCATGTGCTCGCCGCTGCCTTGTGTGGGTGGGGAGGTGGTGGCTTGCTCGCTCAGAGGTTGTTTCAGACTCGTTGGGAGATCTCCGAGCAAGCAAGCCACCGCCACATGCGCCCAACGGCACCTCACCAGCCTGCGCCCCCAGGCACCCCCACCCACTGGCCCGGGAGGGTCACCGCAGCCTTTCAACTGGCCCCCTATTGAAAAAGTTTGAGGACCATTGTTCTAAACAAATAAACAAAAATCCAGCTATGGAAAAAGCTTGTTCATGGTTTAAGAATACATCTCTACATGATACAAGTATTTTTAACATTTTTACCTAAGTTCTGATAGTTCTGAAAATGCATCAGGAATTTCAGGCATTTTGTAACTGAATCCATTTTGACTCCCCTGAAAATTTTAAAGAAATAGTGAGGCAATGAGTATTACTTCTTTTCTAATAGAAATCATGACTATCAGATCTGTAAAAGCAACAAAACTGTATTCCTGTCTGATAATACAAACAAACAAACAAACAAACAAAGCAATCCTGTATCTGTGTACTCAACGACATCAGTGCAACTTACTCCTAGGTAACTAGATGCAGAACCACATTCCGAGTTAAACAGAAAAAATGACTCTCCAGCAACAGTGCAGAAGAGGGGAATGCCCACACTCCACGGCATTACTGCTTCCATGTTGCCACTAGTGAGACGAAACAGCAATGCCTATCAGTGGGAAGGGGCCATCCACTCATTATAAAATGACATAACTTCAGCACTTGCAGAAAAGTATAAAATATTTCTTTAAGCTATTTTGTTATCTTTACAAAATGCTTTAATTTGCATTCCTGTCATTATTCCAGGTTTCCCCAGATTATCTGATGTAATGAGATGTATGACCATAAAGCTCAGTACAGATATGCATACCTGTGGCAGTGTTTCTGCTGTTGGAACAGGTAATGGCAGTTCTGTTATCATGCCAAAGGAAGGAGCAGCAGGACGGTCTGTAATATAACCTGAAGAAAGGGATTCTGCAAGTGGCACAGTTGCTACCGATCTATTTGTTTCTTGTGGCAGATATGGAGAAAGAAATGTAAAGTTCTGTCCATAGGAAGGAATTCCAGCTGGTTTGCTGTAAAGGCTAAGAAAAGGGGAGGAAATTACCATCAGCCACATTTCCCAAAGAAAATATTTGCCAATGTATACAGAAGGCATTACTGAACAGGTTCTCATAAAGCACATTTGTAATAATCCGAAACATGCCTCACAATGAACCTGATTGTCAGTATCAAGATATCTACTAGCAATGCCAGTGCAACATGACTTGTGCATGTCAAGTGGAAATTTTTCACTTGGTTTCTCTGAAGAACAGATGTTCATGACATATAGGAGATCTATTGTGCTAGCAAGCACCAGCGATATTATACAAGTGTTGCTTTCTGCTAGCATTAAGTAGATACTGCCTAGTGGCCTGACACAGTCAGATCCTTCCCATTACAAACAGGAAGTAAAGAACAGTATCTCAATATGGGAGACAAAAAAAGAGGGAGGCTATGAAATTTCACCAAAACAGGAACATAGTTTGTCAATTCCAATATATGGATTTATTAATGCATTTTAAATTATTTTGAGGCAGCCTTTAAATGCAGAAACTTCTCAAGGCAGAAAACTTTAAAAACTGTGTATCTAGAATTAAAAGTATTTATGCATTTCTTTAGAATTATTTGCCCCTATTCCTTTGTGCTTACTTACTATGGATATGCTGTTGAGCTAGGAGCCAAAATTGGAGGAGTCTTCCAAAATTCATCCAGTATACTTTGAACAATTTTTCCAAGGTCTGAGTGCATCGTGAACTATTAGAGGATTAAAAATTGTGTTCAGTTAAGCATGTCTAACACATTATATGTTATACAAGAGACCATTCTGTAGTTAAGCCGTTTGTGAGGCTGCTTCTAGGTCAGAGGAAGGCAAATGTTTTGGGCAGTGGTCATATTTGCCAGTTTAAGAAACTACCCTACATTAGCTGTCATGATAGGTGTGGCTAGTCACTATGAAGCCTAGAGGCATTCATGTGAACTATCAATGGCAGCTGCTGGAAGCCCTCACTTTGCTGCGATTCTGACAGTAAGAAAATGTATTATTATTTTTTAAATGGGAGAAGTTGGGCACTGTGGTGGTACCAATGATGCTCAGGAGCACAATGTTGCTTATATCTGCTCTGAGAAATTCCAAGGCCAATGGCATATAGATTTGGGCCCCAATGGTTATTTGGACATATGAAGGCCTCTATATCTTGCATGCAAAACACCAAAACAACCCACACAATGGCTGAGTTATGCCCATAATCTAATATAATCTAGGATTTGCAAGATTATTAAAAAGGTGAAGGTTTCCATTGACATTAAAGTCCAGTTATGTCTGACTCTTGGGGGCAGTGTTCATCTCCATTTCCTATTATGGCCATAAAACATCATGAACTCTGAAGAATATAGTTATACAAATTTCTTAATTTTTTAAACAACCCTAAATCCACATTCCCTAACATGGTACCCTGCAGATAATGACAATTCCCATCATTCACCATTATTGGCTATGCTGCCTAAGGTTGATGAGAACTGCAATCTAAACACCGGGAAGGCACTAGACTGAAGAAATTAACTCTTGAAAACTACTCAGAAATGCTAAAGCTTCCAGTTCAAATAAAATAAGAAAAAACTTTTTCGAAACAGAACATATATTTCAATAGTTCAGTAACCTCTGAAACTTTAGTAATTTACAAAATAGTATCATTGCTGCTACGCAATATAATTGTTACCTATGCAACCTGAGAGAAAATGATACATACATTGCTTATTAATGGGCAGGTCACATACACTCCATGTTTGTCCATTAAATGATGTCCTATTGGAGGGAAAACACTGATGACTGGCTTTTCCTGAGGAAACTGAAGAGGAAGCAAGCTGTAAACACCAAGATACTTGATTACCACCATCACTTTCATGTAAATCAAGTATTTTTTAGCTTCCACAATTCTTTTCAAAGCATAAAAATTGCCTTCTTAGAAAATGTGAACAGTTGGCAAAGGAGGTGAACTTTCCTTCCTGTATTTTGTCACAAAACTTTGTATATCCATTCATATTCAAATGGTTTCAGTACAGACACTGCACAGTCCATGGGACAGACTCAACCTACACTTACCCCTAATCCCTCTGCTAGCAAATCAGCTAACAATTTAAAAGGCACTCTTTCTGCCAGGTTAGAATGATCACAAACAAAATAAAGCAAGCCTGGAATTCTTCTTTCCCACATATACATGGAGAAAGACAGAGTTATGTACAAGTTTGGGAAATGTTATTTAACAAAACTCAGCAACCCAGGATCTGAAAGCACGATCTGATGCAGGTTAGTAAACACTGCTGCTGTCAAAAAACTGCACTTAGTTCTAAAGTGGCCCATCTCACACCCCTCTTCTCATTCATGAAGGAGAAGAAAGGAATCCTAAGAATTCAAAAGCTTGCCATGGCTCATTTGTGATCAGCTAAACCTCCCTTCTTTTGGTCAGGAAAGATTGACATAAACCATGCTTTATGTCATTATCTGAATCAAGCTTTTGAAAGCAGGTCACCAGGTAGCTTTTAATTCAAATCTCTTAGAAGACTGATTACTGACACACTTACATTGCTGGCAGAGGAACAGCCATAGAAGTATTTACTTCTGTGAATGGATGTTCTCAAAAAAAGTTAGTCAGGAAAAGTTCCCGAACAGAAGCTTGCAAAATTTAATCATGATCATTTGTTTGAATGTCAGTAAATGTAATATTGACAATGTTGCCACTAAGATGCAACCAGTGCATACAGTGATACGAGCAACACTGGGACAGGGTAAATTGGTATAATATACTTCAATTAGATTACTGGACTAAACAATGGTTCCAATATTGGTTCAAGAAAAATAGTAAATGCAGGGAATATACAAATCTGAAGATATAATTTTACAGAAAGAAAATCAAGATAATATGTGGATTAGAGGAATGAGAAGTAAAATTTACAACATATTACTAGAACAGGAGGATTGTTATGATCCTCTCAGAGTCTTGGGAAATAAGATTTAAAAAGAAATATTAGGGCTGAAGAATGGAATAACACCTGGGACAAGAGAATTGCAAAATTTATGTTATTAACAATTAAAGAGAATTTGTATTAACTGATTTGGAAATGGTACTTAACTCCAGTTAAATTGAATTACACGAATAATGCATATTCCAATGTTTGTTGGAGATGCAATCAAGAAGTGGGTACCTATTTCCATATGTGGTGGAAGTATAAATATATAAATGAGTTTTGGGAAAGTACATTTAAAGAAATTGGTGAAATATTGAATTTAAATATTGAAGTTGATCCTAGATTAGCATTACTGTCATTATTTACAGAACAAATGGGGCAAAATACTAAAGATGATAAATTTATTAACAGCAGTAAAATTAATAATAGTAAGGAATTGGAAAATAAAAGGCAAATATCATAGTTGACTGGTATAAAGAAGTCTGGAATATAGCTATTAATGATAACATGTGATATTAAATGGAAAAAGGGTTTGATGAGTGAAAACAAATTTGAAATTTGCAGACCTTTTACTGAATATGTTTTAATAAAAGGAAAGGGGTATGAACCACCACAAGAGTCAATGCAGTTCTGGAAGGGAAGTGGGCAACCTGAATGAATAAATAATCTTACATTAAGTAACTGGAGTTGTTGGTCCTGGTGGCGGTAGCACTGATACTAAAGTATTGTTTAATTATGTTAATCGGTAATGTTTAATTAAAAAAATAAAAGATACAACCAGTGAACTTCTGTTAAAACAGACAGGGGAAAATGGTTTCAACCACTCCCTACAAGTTACTTGGATGAGCGTGAATCTTGCTTGTATGTAATGACAGCCCAGGGTATGGGTTGTTGAACCCTAGGTTGTTTTTACATGCAAACCTGAAGCTACAGGTCAACTATGGGTTGTCAACAATGAACAACCCACAGAGCAAGCTCATGGCTTATTCTTGAGTTGTGAACTGCGTTGTTTTGGGTGGTTTTTCTGTGCAAAATGAGCTATTTTGCCGGCTACAGACAAGAACAGCTGAAAAAAAGCATGGCTACTCTACATGCCATGCAGGGACTAGGAAAAGGAGCGACTTAGGGGAGAAGTAAGTCTGCTTTCACCAATGTAGTTAAATCTGGACCCAACCCATAAAGTACAGCTAAGTATTGCTACTGGCTTATAATTAAATCACATCCTACTTACATGTTAATATTAATTGTCAAGTTGTTTACAGTGAACGGCAATCGATATTCCACATCTTTTTGTATTTCAGCTATACTGTTAAAGAGAAATGCAAATACATATATATCAATAGTTGCTGGCTCACCAAAATCCACTGATTGAAATAACATGATCAAGCATTTTAACATTTCAATGATTTCAAAGGGAGGGTTAAACTTAACTCTCTTACCCAAATCTATTCATCAAAAATGCTTAGCTTTCTCCAGATCCATGTACTACTTCTAGTTTTGTCACACTGACTTGCAGTACAAGCTATGGTTAACTTTCAAGCCTTATGGAGTGGCTTCTGAAGATAATTTGATACCTAAAGCTGGTAAATATGTAGTGCCCCCCATCCCACAAAAACAAACTGACAGGGACATTTTAAACGCCAGGATAGCAATTAGTTTTCTTCACAGGAATATGCTGAGATAGAAATGAGTGTTCAGAAGTGAAAGTTGTTGTTGTCAACCATTCAGCTGTGTCTGACCCTTGGCCACCATTGTACCATTGCTCTGCATGCCTCTCTGTCCCTCACTGCTTCCTTCAAGACTGCCATGTCCATCCTAGTGTCTTTCTTTATGGTGTCCAGCCAGTGGTGCTGGGACAGCCCCTTCTCCTTTGTCCACTGATCATGCCCAGCATGACTGACCTTTTGAGTGAGTCAGCTCTCATGACATGACCAAAGTATGACAGTCTTTGGTGATCTTGGCTTCAATTGATATTTTTGATATGAGCCAGCATTAAAAATCTCCCATCCTCTAATGTGGACTGCCAGTAAATTATTTAGCTAGAGACAGAATTTGTCTAGACAGTTTTAGCTCTTATACTTGCAGTGGTAACAATTTTTGGTTTCTGTATTATGGCAAGTGCTGTCTTCCTTACGTGAAGTGCCCATAACCACCACGCCTATCTGGGCTTCTACATACTTTCACTTCTATTTCTCTAGATTTCACTTTATCAACTTCCATGCACAGACACCACCCTCTTAGTATTACCAAACAGTTCAACTCAGATATTACTTTCGTTCCATTCTTCTTTAATAACAGGTTTCAACTAGAAGGGCAAATGAAACACCCAAAGAGCTTCGGCTGTTGGGCGGTATAAAATTAATTTGTTAATCAAATAAACAGGAGCTCGAATTATTACTTTTTATTTATTACAGTTCTATAAAATCCAATAGCAGCAGCTTTCTGGGCGGTTTTACAACTCATAATTCACCACTTATTGTTGGCAGCAATTCAAAGCCATCTGGATTTCGACTGTTGTAAACAGCATTTTCCTGTAGACCTGAACAAGCGGGGAGCAGCGTCAGCGACCTCATGGGGCTCCCGACCCCACCGCCACCCCTGCGGGATCTCGAGACCGGCGCTTGGTGAGTGGGAAAGACGCTTGTCACCCGAGCTCCCCCCCGCGGTCTCCCCCACCCCCGGGACGCGCGTCACTCACGCGGCATGGGCGCTGCGCAGGGACTCGATCTGGCGCTGCCTCTGCTGCTGGAGGCTGGTAAGGGTCGCAGGCAGCGCAGCTCCGCCGGCTGAGGCGGACGACGCCGAGGCGGCGCCGCCGCCGCTACTGCTCCCTTTGGAGAGCGGGAACAGCCAGTTCATCCTTTCTCGCCCTGCCTCCTCGCTTCACGAACGGGAGGAGGAGGGGGAGGAGGAGGCGGAGGCTGCGCGCGGAAGCGACCGAGCCTTCCCTGCCTCCTCCGCCACCGCTGCTCTCGCGCCCTTCGCCTCTTCAGCTCCCCTCAGTCAACCCTGCTTCCGCTCGCGCAGGAAGGTGAGACTCCGAAGAGAAGAGAGAGGCCGCTTTCGATGCCTAACCTCGAAAGAGCTGCGCGTGCGCCCACTACCACCACCGCTGCATCATCACTGGTCGCCTTCTTCTATTGGTGGGAAGTGCCTGTAGGAGTAATCCCAGGGTCTGATTGGCTGAGAGCCGGTTCTCCAATCCGGAGAAGAGGAGGAGGAGGAGGAGGAGAGTAGCGAGTGAGAGAGTCGAGAGAGTTGAAAGGTTATAGGGACGCAGCGCACTGTGATGATGTAATGGCTTTGTGCGCTGGGCGGCCGGGGGGCAGCAGGAGTAGCAGCTGCAGCTTGCCGCGCTTTCTCGCTGCCATTTGCCGCGCTGGGGCTGCCTCCGCCGCCTCCGGGTCCCGGCTAGACCCGCCCTCTTCCTTCCCGCGTGAGTAGCCATCCCCTCTTCCGGTAGGCGATGGCGGTGGGGCGCGAGACGGCGGCGTTTCCGGGCGGCGGGGGGCAGGTGGGAGGGGAAGGAGTCGGCCGGGCGGGCAGGGAGGCGCGATTCGGAGCCAGCGGCGGCCCCTGGCCCGGGCTTCACCATTCGTGGAAGGAGGCGGGCTGGAGAGGGGAAGCGCGCGAAGCTGGTCTGGCGCCCAGGATGTACTTTGGAAAGGGTTCCCTTCGCCCACCTGTTGCTCACCCACGAGCACGCCTTGTTTGCTTATCCCCTTTTGAGCGTTCTTTCGGGGAAAGCACAAGAGCAAGCAATGCTGGGTTCGGAGTTTGGCTTTTGGCAAAGCTCTACAGTTAGTTGGAAAAGGACGCTGGCAGTGCTAATGCGTTCATACGGCAGCAGATGCACATGGCCGGATTGTTAGGGGCTGCGAGTGCAACTGTTTCACGAAACGTTTTGGCTTATGTGCCCCTTTCCCTTTTTTTTGGTCTGCTGTGTGCTTTACAACAGGGATACCGAGCCTCTTTCAGCCCGATTCTATTTTGGAGAAGCTTTTAGAGGCCTCATTCACTCATTAAGGGAAGCCCAAGGAAGAAAGGGCAGGAGCAGCTATCAGAATGTATTAAAGCACTTATTGCGGGCTACAGATCCTTAGTGGAGGCATCTTAGTCTTTTCGAATGAGAAAACATGCAAAGCTGGAACACACCAGACGATTGTGAATAGGAAAAAGGGGGTAGCAGGTGAACTTAGGGAATGGATTTGGGATATCAGGTAAGCCATATCTGGCTCACAGTCTAGAAGTACAAATCTGCTCTTTAAAAATCTAAGAGAGGTTGCAAATTAGGACAACCATGCATACGTTGTTAGGGCTGTAAGAAACAAGTGTGTACGCTGCATATGCACTATCCTTTTTCTGTGTTTTTCATACACCCATGTTCAGTGCAAATTTGTACCACCTTCTGTTCTACTTTGCACAAATCTGTGACAGGAGAAGGTACTGTCAATTATATAGTAGTTGCTCCTGTTTGTTTGTTTTTTTCCCCTCTAACACACCCAGGAAGTGAGTGTGCCATCTGGCAGCAGGGTGTTAAGCTATTATTTTTGTGTTAACTATCTGCATATTTTGACCTATTGACATAGTTTCATTTTAGCTTACGTTAGTGCCTCTTACAAATAGTGGCCTTCATTGTAGTAATCCTTGTCAATCACTTACATGAGTTTGTTTGAACTAAAGAAGTTTAAATGGTGAGAATAAATATTTTACTAAATTGAAGTTGGTTATGGTCGACTTCCTAAGCATGCATATTTGGAAGCAAGTTACATTGAAATAAATAGTCAAAAGCTGCAATCCTGGGCATAAGTGCTGTTGAAAGCAGTGGCGCTTACTTCCTAGGCAAGCAAATTTTGTAAGATTATTCTTTGGTTTAGAACGGTTAACTATCTCAAGGCCTTTTGAGATAGGAATGGTGGAACTTATTTCCTTAAGTGTATACAATTTTAGTCTTGGTTAGACAAATATCTAAATTAGTGAAGAGGGCAGTCCAGTGGCCTTCTTATATGGTCTGGGTGGGAAACAGTATTATTCAGTGTCCAGACTCTGAGGTCCTGTAACCTTGGAGCTGGGATACCAAATAAGCAGCCCTTGCTCCGCCCTTTTTGCAGTCAGCATAGAAAGAACTGTAGGAACTACCTGGAAGAAGGACAGGGCAAGGGATCGCTATCTCTGACGTCAGATGTCAGCCCTTGGAAAGGAGAAAAGGGTGTGCCAGGAAAAATGGCAAAGGAAGGAGGTTCGGGGCTAAGGGTATACAAACATATCCAAATGGTTCTCCAGGCTCTCTTCCTCCCATCCATGGTGCTTCACCTATGGGTCTGCAAATAGCTTCTAGATAAAGTGCAGGATGTGAAGTGTGAGGTGGTGAACATTGGCGTAACAACTTAGCTCTGTGCATGCATGTTTGAAGGCTTACACGGATTGAGCTTGGAAAGCATGGGAGTGTGCCCTCTCTAAATTTACATATCACTTCACTCAGTTAATGGGATGAAAGGAGTCATAATGAAAGAACACCCCCCCCCAAAAAAAAGGAAAACTGGCATCAGTTTATAAATTCATTCTGATCATACACATTTACAAAAGTATCCGTCTAGTAATTAATTACTCCGCCCAAGAGAGCTCTTTGTTTACAATTTGCAGATCAAATTTAGGAATAGTTGATGTGTAAATTTTCTTGTGTCTGCAAACATAACTTAACTCATCCAACATAATAAAAATTCCTCAGTTATTTAATTTCATTTTATAGTTGTCAAACAGTTTTATAAATTTGTAATAACTTTCTGTTTTGATTTCCTTCTTTAGGTATATAATTAAAACCTATTTTATGAAACTAACCCTTTGCCAAGTATACCTCTTTGATGTCTGGTATCTGAAACCTCCCAACTATGCCAGCAGCTACAGTAGATCACAGCCAAAGAATTTGTGAAGTTTGGGCTTGCAACCTGGATGAAGAGATGAAGAAAATTCGTCAAGTTATACGAAAGTTTAACTATGTTGCTATGGTATGATGTTATTTTTGTTGCTCTTTTTAAAAGGTGGGAATATTGGTTAAAAACTGCTTTGAAGAGAAGGTTGTAGGGTACATATTAAGGAGTAGGAGAAAAATATAATCTTAGAAACTATTGGAAAAAGCTCCAAATAATCAGCAAGACTTGCTTTCACATAAGCATGGGTGTATAGAATATTTTTTCAGCAGATGTGCAGATCCTCTTTCAGCCTGAGGTCCAAATTCCATGAGAAAGTAACTCTTGATGCCACATTCCAGTGGTCGACAGGGTTAAATACTAACACATTTCAGCTTGATTTTTGCTGGCAGTAGCTAAGTAATAGAAGAGACATTCTAGCCTTTTAAATTTAGGCAGTGGAGGAATGCACAAAAGCCAGGAAAGCACAGAATATTTGGTCTCTGGAGAAAGGGGCATGGACTTTGAAGGAACCCTGAAGAGCTGGATTTAGTTCCTGGGGCCTAAGGTTCTACATCCCTGCCTTATAGCACTGTGGCTGGTTGTTTTTGATTGGGTCTTGTCCAACACTTATGACACTTGAAATGAGGAGATGAGTGGGAAGGTGAATGGTACTGTTTTTTTCTGTACCAGCAGCACAACTGAAGGCTGCTGTGGGAGGTAATTATCTATCTGCTGTATTATCTATCAGCTGCACATATAACCTGTGTTAACAAGACTACCCATTTGCTGCCCTTGTTGCAACCACAAGCTATTACTTCTGATTACAAATCATGCAAACCAAATACTCCAGTTCATAATTTAACAGCTTACTTTGCACTGTTTTTTGGGAGCAGCCACTGGGACTGGGTTTGCTCTCAGACCTGATCATGGATGTCGGAGACACATTCAAGATTGTATGAATACTCTTCTTAAGAGTAATTAATATTTTGTCATTGCTATTTGTGGTTAATTTTTCAGGACACAGAGTTTCCAGGTGTAGTTGCACGGCCTATTGGAGAGTTCAGAAGCAATGCAGACTATCAGTACCAACTTCTCCGCTGTAATGTAGACTTACTAAAGATAATTCAGTTAGGGCTGACATTCATGAATGAGCAAGGCGAATACCCTCCGGGAACTTCAACGTGGCAATTTAATTTTAAGTTTAATTTAACGTAAGTTCTAGACCTTGACCTTGTATATATTTTTACTTTTAGAATAATAAAGGATAATCTTAAAAGTTTGAAGGAGTGATGTTAACAGTTTCTGTGTATTTTTCTCTGCTTTTGCACCAATTGTAGAAATGGTATGAAATGTCCATGTTAAGTTAATCTTTTGCTCAGGCTTTTTAATCACATTCACTTGTCTTAAGATTGTTATTTGCAAAACACAACGTGGATGTGAAAGGGTTATAATGCAATCTGTGTATGAATGTATGTACATTTTAAAATGGCCCAATTTCATTGAGTTTTGTATGGTGAAAGAAGAATGCTCACCACAGAGACTTTCCCCTTCCACTGCAGTCCCCATTGCATTTGAGAAAGCCAATCCTGATGATCACGGCAACTTCCAGAATGGCATGGAATGGTGTGGATGGGGCTGTATTAACAGAGAGATTGGCTGAATTGGGTGTATCCTCTTGCTTAGTTTTGTCAAATTACCCATTCCACCTTAGAGATTCTTGAATGTTTTTATCCAGTGTAATTTATGATGTTCCCTGGACCCTCAGTAGTAGTGTTTGAGGACTGGAGTGATGAGGAAGTGAGAAAACCCTCTTGCTTGACTGACTTTCTGTAATAAAAGTGTTTGATATTAGTGGAATTTAGCTTAATGTATTTAGTGTAGAAAGATATTGGTTATGTACAAATAGGGCTAGAAACTGAAAAGAAATGCCATTTCCCAGGGATGAATCTTTAATGTGGTCTGGACAGCTACCATTACCCAGATCTGTTCTTCTGCAGTTGCTGCTACTCCCGGAAAACAAAAGGGCTAGTTACTTTAGGGAGTTCCATTTTAGCTGTAGAACTGAAGGCAACAGGTACTTACTGCTTTAGTGGTAGGACTAAAATATCACAGTTGTACACTAGACAGTGTAGGAGCCAGTTTGGTTGCTTACCATCATGATGTGCAGAACATAGCACTGGAAATACATATATTTGACTGAAATAGAGGTTTGTTCCAAGTAAGTGGTTGAATCGGGGTACCAACTCGCATAAGGTCCCCCCCCCCAAATGTATGATAATTTAAGAACCTGCATTTGGATTTGGGGAGGGACTTCTGCTTCAATTTATGTACTGCTTAAAGCATAAGTGAACTAAAACATTGTAAACACTTTGTAAACTGAGCCATGTTATTAAAAATAAAAGCTTCTAGGGCAATGGGCTTAAGCATGTTTAAAATTTGCACAGTGCATCTGAGAGCTGGTAAAAACGCATAGTATTGCTGGGAAATGTGCAGAAATGGGCAACCCAGAAGATCAGTGGGCTGTTAGTAACGTCCCCATGGGATAAAATGGGAGATCCAGACAGGAAAAAGTACTTCACATAGTACAAGTTAAGCTACAGAATTTGCTATTGCAAGATAAAGTGAATGCCACAACTTGGACAGCTTTAGTAGCAGAATTAAACAAAGGCTACCTTTCATGATGAGTACATATTGCCTCCATTGTTGCTGGGAACACAAGCAGGAGGGGGCCCTTGCCCTCATCTGCTTGTGGGCTCTTTATGGACGTCTGTTGGACCACTGTGTAAACAGAATGGTAGACTAGATAGGTCTTTGAGCCAGCAGGACTCTTCCTCAGTTACCCAGAATTAAGTTCTGCTAAGTTCTTCCATGCATAGAATTGTAGCCTTAGTCTCTGGGAAGACATTTAATTAGCTAGTGCTCTTCCAGGCTGTAACTGAAATGTTGGATTGAATGCTCATTTGTGAGTTGATCTTGCAAACTTGTCAGTGGTAAGGGATGTCAAGCTAAGAGAGAAAGCTTAGGCCAGGGAGGAGCAACATAGTGGGAGTAGAGTGTTATGGTCATAGTAGTAGTACTTTGTAAGAAGGATTTTTTCATCATCAACGGCATGCTTTGAGTATTCTGGAGATACATCCTAACTATTTTTAACAGTTAATATAACAGCACGAAACCTGCACGCACTTATCTGGCAGTAAATATCAGGACTGTGTGGAACGTACTTCTAAGTAGACGCATGTGGGAGTAAGTTGTAAATCTTAACTAGTGCAATGGTTTCTGCATTTATTCACTTTTAAAAATGTACAGTTGATGCTGGATTTTGGTTTGCAGCTTTACATCAGTATTTCTCTATTAAAGTGAGGTTGTTTTCCATATTGTTTCTCCTAGAGAGGACATGTATGCCCAGGATTCTATAGAGCTACTAACAACATCTGGAATCCAGTTCAAAAAACATGAGGAAGAAGGAATTGAGACTCAGTACTTTGCTGAACTTCTTATGACATCGGGTGTAGTGCTATGCGAAGGAGTCAAGTGGCTGTCATTTCATAGGTAAATGCAGCACATAGCATATCAATTGTTGTTTTTCTTAATTTTTGCTTAATGCTATGAAAAAAATTCTCTATGCTAATTAAGCTGCAATATTAGGGCTGGATGAGTTACGGACATAAAAGTGTGATGTTTTTCTAAAGGCCTTGCTGCTTTAATGTTACCTCAAGTTTATGCTTTGGCTCCAATTGGAAACAAAGAAATTGTATCTTGAAATGAGGCACTAAAGTGTCAAGCCTTGTAGAGAGGGAGCACTGTATTTTTCTATTTTGCTTTGACAGTTTCCCAGGTCAGAGGAAGGAACAGCCACATATCTCTGCCCTTTGTGTACGCTTAGCAGGTAAATGGAAACTGGAATTAGTTGATTAACATCGTTGGAAAGCCCAAATTCAGTGCAGCTCTGAAGACTCTTTGATAACACTGGTAGGGAAAACACAAACCTTCTATCTTAATTGTAATGCCAAATAATGGAGGAATTAAACTTGCATTTGGTTTGTGCATGGATTATTTTCTTTTCTGGTTCCAGTGTACTAGTCCTTTGGTGTTCCTGACCTCACCCCACTCCACACAGGAGAAGGTGGTGAAGATAAACTTTTGAAGGCTTTGGATTGTGATCTAGGTATCTGTGTAGGCACTCTCATTATTTGAGTCATTTTTGCTGAGCTCTCTGTGGCCCACTGGACCCACTACTGCTGTAGATTACTCTATAAAAGTTTGATAACTGTTCTGAAAAAGTTCCCCATTTTCTCTTGGGTTGTTGCATGGATAGCTTCCTACTGAAACTTACCATTGGCATGTGTTCACACAGTACAGTTTTATGAGGAAAGTCATTAGCAAAGGTATCTGCCTTAAAATCAGCCATCTTGTTCAAGATTACCCAGTGCTGATGGACATGATTTGTCAAGTGTTAATTCACAGGCTGCATGTGTTTCAGCAGGCTTGAATGGTCTAGTAACACAGCTTTTTGGAATGACAGTGGGTGTGCAGTAGCTATTTTAGGTAGGTTGCATTAATCATGTTTAAGAACATGTTTTTAAGAACCTAGTAAGGGAAGGTAACATGTTCATTTGAGCAGGAGCTTTTAGTTGAGCTTAAATTCTACTTTGTGTAAATAGAATAAATTATTAGACCACATTTCATAATTGCGACTACTTAATTCTAGCCAAACACGAACTATGTTCATGTTTGCAGTTTACATATTGCTGTAGGAATACTATAAATCTTCAAATAATTTCAAAGCCTTTGAAATTACAGGTCTGTTTTTCCATGCTTTTCCTCTCCTGATGATAGCACGGTCAATTTTGGCTGATGTCCCACAAAATCTTGTGGAAAGGAAGAGAGTGGATCAGTTTATGCTTTGCTGTTACTGTCATCTTTCAATAGATGGTTTTCTGTGAATTGGGATTAATTTAGAGAGATGATGAAAGGCAGCAATGCAAAACATTGAGAAAATGGAATAAAAATAAAAATGGGATGACTTGTCTTAAAGGTAGCAAGCATGTTTTGAATATAAGTAGGTAGCTTTGAAAGGATTAATGTTGAATATTTACTAATCCTCTGTTAATATATTATTTGTTGAATTTATTATTCTAAATGCTAGAGTGCAGTGATAATGTGAACTATCATATCAAAGGGTTTAGATACTTAGGCTAAGATTTAGCTGTGTAGGTTAATTAGATGTAGATATTAGCAGCTCCTTTCTGTTGTCCAGAATTTTTACTGAGCCATTCCATGCATTTCAGTTGGGACTATTTGATATCTACATAATGCTATAGAATAAAATAATGTTAGAGTTGGGAGAGACTTGACTTTACGGGTCATCTAGTTCAATGCAATCTGCAGGATTTTAACAGTCATAGCATTCCTGAAGGCCTATGTAGTACAAAATATCCTGGATGTGGGGTGAAACTGTGGTATCAAAACTGAAAATAGTACCTAAATATTTTTTAAATAAGATGTCAATGTGGAATATCACATGCAGTGCAATCCTGCATATGCTTAAGCTGAAATAAATCCTATGGGTTCCAGTGGGGCTTAGTACAGAATTAATGCGTTTAGGCTTGTAGTGTCAATATATTACAAACCCAGCACAGAAATAGGGAACAGGGAGAGGTTCATTTGCACATCATGCTAAGCCACTGTGACAGTAAGCCTGAGTGGGCTTGGTGCACACTGCTGGGGCTTACTATGGTTGCTCCCCCTTCCCTCCCCCAGTCTTACCAGCCCGCTCTGAAATGTATTCCAGTGTCATCTGCAGCAGACGGCAAATTGTCTTCCACCCTGCTCTGATTGCTACCTCTACCTCTTTTCTGCTGCTTTTTAAAAGCCTTAGAAAAGCCTTTCACAGCCTCAGAAAAGTGTAGCTGGGGTCATATTTCATATTTTGGCCCTTGAAAATTATGCAACTCTTTTGATAGTTTTTGTTTTGTTGGTCTTGCACATTATTGGAGTCCATTATGTGCCTAATCAGTTTCCTTGCTAGTTTCTGCTGTGAAAGGAAACTGTGGAGTAGGTAACAGATTAACAAGACTAAGACTCCGGTTAGGCTAATTTATTTACAGTTGCCAGGGACTAGTTGTAAATTAAAAGTATCCCCCCTCCCCCCCAGGTAAAGGGAGAAAAGTGGCAAACGTAGGTGCACCAAGGGGAGACATTTTTAATGTAACCCTTTCAATTTAAATGTTGATACTTACCATCACTTCCTTGAATTTACATCTACTCCAGAAAGATCAAATGCTAACTTTCTGTACTTTCTGCAGCTTCTTTTGGGAGTACTTGAAACTGCATTTCCCCAGTGGTTAAATAAATAAATGCACCACATGTGCAGAAATGTGTACAAATGCAAGTTCTGGGAAGTAAATGAAATTTGCACACTTGCAGTAATGGAGCAATTACTACAAGTGTGCAAGTTTTTTTCCCATTTACCTGCAGGTATTACACTGGAGTACATTTCTGTGCTTTACATTTGTGTACGTGTTATCAGGGAATTGCAGCCCTAAGCCCTGCAGTCCTAGCTGCAGCTGTGAAAAAGAATCTTGAAAAGGTGGAGGAAATTAATATCTATCCTTTCTGGTGTAGTGGCGGACTTGAAAAGGTGGAAGACATGGGAAAGTATCGGTTGAGAGGATCATATTGCCAAAGAAGAGATTGTGCTCTGCCCCCACACTTTTGGTGCACTTACTATTTTGGCCCCCCTTCCTGCCATTTTCAGTGTTTTTGACTTGCATTATGGGGTTCCTCCTTTCTCCTGTGGTTATTTATCCCCCAGTCTTTGCAACTGTGTGCAAATTTGCTGATGAGCGATCTCGGCTTGTATCAGGTAGCTACAAGTGTGCACAAAAATAAAGACACCAATTGCACATTTTTGAGGCACCAAAATAATGTAATAAGCTGAGAACAAGTGATGGTCCTTCCAGAGTGTCACTAGCTCTTGTCAATTGGCTTTGTAGTCCTTCCAGGAAACCCACAATGAAATAGTTCTGCTGCGGTCAGATGACATAACAGGCCATCACAACTATAAAACAAGCCAGGAGTTCTTCTGGTGGTTTGCTTGTAAAAAGCATGCTTGGTTTCATATGGTGGGTTGTCATTTCCTAGGAAACAAGTCAGTGTAGTAATGGTAAGCCAGCAGTCTCAAACTTATCCATACATTAACTTTGTGGCATGATCGACTGCTGGGTGCCAACACAGGAGATTTGGTGTAGTAATTACTTTGTGCATTGGGAGACAGGATATTATTTGGCAGAGAAACCCAGACTGAACCTTAAAGAGAACCTGTTTAAGATGAATTATTTTAACATTTGGAATAAATGCAAATCTTTTGGCATAATCATCTTAAGGCTTGTTTATGTATTAACCAAATATTGCTATTTTGCTGAGATCTGATACACATATTGTTTGGGGATCATAAAATGTAACCAGGTTTGCATCAGTTTCCCCCTGCATGTTGCCCTCCAGATGTCTTAAAGTTCAGCTCCCATCATACAAAATCATTGTCCATCCTAGCTGGGGATGATGGGAGTTGTAGTCAAAAATAGCTTAAAGGTGCCAGGAAGGCTGATCTGCAGGTTGGAAATAAATTATGGAAATGCAGTGCAGCAAGCAATAACATACAGGGCCATTGCCTGTGCAAATAAGGTTCATAGAGAACTTTTATAAAGTAATTAGATGACCCGAAACAGTACTGGTTTTATACAACTTTTTACTGAATATAAAAACTCAGAATTCCTTCTGCGTTTACTATACTTGAATTCTAGTTGAAAACATCAGAATGGTACAGGTATAAAATATTAGAAACATTTATGCAACACAGCCTGCCATATTGAATATTGCAAGTAAGACCATTTTATAATTTTTTGAGAATTTGAGATTTTGCTATACCGCTTAGATATTTTTCTTGTCAAATCATAGGTGATTCACTTATATCTATGTGGTAATGTAACACTGTAGACAATGATTGGAAGGACATGGTAAATGCTAAGAGAAATAACATGAGATGTTCTTAGGTTAGCTCTGCAGACAGTTCTGACAGGGCAAACTTAAGCATGCTTACTCAGAAATAATTTCCACAGAATTGAGTAGAACTTATTCTACAGGCTTTGGCTCCAATTCTTTGTATGCTTATTTAAACTGGTTGGACTGATTTTCAAGTAAACATGGGTAGGATTGAACTGTATATGACCTTTGAAATAGATGAAACCTACAATGGTGGGATAACTGTTAATAGTGTCTGAACTGATTTTGAATATGCAAACTGTGGTTAACAGTTTGCAAAGGAAATGATGGGAAAATGTGGAGTGTAATGATGAACATAACCATAACTATTATATAGGGAGAGAGGCAGTTATACCTTTTTAGTGGTATAGGAAAGGATACTCAATTGCTCTAATGCAGTTAGACCTCAAGAAAGTAACAGAAGACAGATTGAGAATTTCATAGATTATAAAAAAAGAGGCTTCATCTTATGAAAAAAATGTTTATTGGTTATTATTGTGGACATAAAACTGCATATAATTTTAAACAATTAAAATACAAAATGCTACTAGTTAAGTATTGTAATGAAATCAGATCAATTTTTATTTTAATAGAAATTAATATATACATTTATATAATACATTTGGGATGATTTTTTCCTGTATTTTAAAATTAACAAATGTTCAAAGTATGCATATTTACAGCCAAGCACCAGAGAGCAGATATATATGCATGTGGTATAAATACTGTGGAAAGAACAATTTAAAAAATTGTAGTAGCAAAACCTCCTGTATCTAATTTTTGGAAAGAATAAATACAGATGCAACTTCAAGTTACCTTTTGTTTTCTGTTGATTTGGGCCATTATCAAGGTTCAGAGTGCGGCTCCGGTTTGCAGAGTACAACTTCAAAGCTCTGTAAAACAACAACAAATAAATATAGTGGAGAGAGATTTAAAAGACTAGGTTGCTTAGATTTACATTTCCTTTAATGTTCTTTAAGCTGTTCTTTCATGCCAATGATCCCTACAATGAGCAACATTAATACCATTATCCTTTCATGCTTTCCACTGGTTTGTAGGTCCAACACCTGGAAGTCTTGAGCAGACATAGAGAATGAAAAGACACCATGTTCTGCTATGTTTTTATCAGAACCCAGCCTTCCCCAACTTGATGCCCTTGAGACATTTGGATTACAGCTTCCATCATTGCTGAGTGCTGGACATGCTGACTGGGCCTAATGGAACTTTAGATCCTAAGTATCTGGAGGGCACCAAGTCTGACCTACAGGAGCTGAGAGTGGCACTAGGAGTAGAAAAGGAGTAGCACTATGCCTAATTGCTCATACTTGTTATAAACAGCCTTTGAAGGTTTCATATATCTATTGTTCATCATTCCTTTAAGAGAAAAGTTAACTAACATGTTGTTATGCCCCCAGTTTCACCTCCATTAAATGCAACCTCTGGTATATTTTCTTTTAAAAGGACAATGATAGGGAACCGTCTAAGGAAGACATGTCAATGCACATTCATGTCTTAAGTTGTATGTTATCTATTTAAGTTGGATGGTTATATTTAAAAAAATATTGTATTAGCATCCATTCATAATCTGTGAAAATGGAAAGACTTGTAAATAAAATTGGCCATGTTTGAAAGGAATTCCTAAAATAGATCTAATGTCATCTAATGCCATCTAATATTCATTAGATCTAAAAAAGCTTTAATGAAAAGCCACTTTTCAGGAATGGCTTGTTCATAAAACTCAGTTCCTCAAAAGTATACAAGTATGTGTGTTTGTCAGGAATGCGCTTTAAGAAGTGCAGATACATAACATTCCAAATCTTTTTTTTAAAGTTCATGCCCAGGGTCTTAAGAGCCATCTATGTATGTGTACATGCATGGCTGTTTCAGTGTACATACTGTAGCTCCTACTTCAGGTTCCATTTCTACTTCAGCTTCTTGTGCTACACTGGAGGTGTAGCCTTTGGAGGAGTTATTTTTGGAGATTGCCATGGGAATGGAGTGATTTGGAAGCTCTATAATATGGGTGGATTTCTGTCTACAGTGCTTTGAATCCTTCCTCTGTTGTGGACCAAATACAGACTACTTTTACTTAACAGGAACTAGTGTTTATATACATATATGCAGAAAGGGGGTGGTGGTTACTTCTTCAACCTCTCTCAGTTTAAAACAAAGAACACCTGCAGAGATATACTCTGGCATGGCAAGCTATCCTCTGTGTGTACTTTTGTGTACCACACTCAAATGAAATATTAGCAAACTTTGTTCATGCCCATTTAATATAGATACTTTACATTAACTTAAAGTAGCCTTTTGACAATTATTTTAAGTGTGAGTGTCTGAACCCATATTATATGGAAAAATATGCATCAGATCTGTTTTTTGACAAACTAGCTTGCAGTTTACAAGCCTGTTTTGTACAGCAAGCAGAGACCATAGTTTGTCAGTTCAGATTCTGCAAGGGAGGAAATGAGGATGTGCACAAGCCTTGGACTCCCCCCGCCCTTTTTTGGGTCAGACCAGCATTTGGACATGGAAAAAGAGGTTTGTAGATCTTTAGAAAGATCCAGTGGTCCTTGGGAACACGTATTTCCCATTTATTGCATATTTCACAAAATTATCTATTCCTAAGCAAAAACCTTATCAAAACTAAACATAATGTCACTATACTATAACCATAAAATACAACAATAAAACAATAATTCTTCTGACCAATAAAGGTATAACTACATACAAGGAAGAGATTCATGTGCGTGATTGAATTCTAACATGTCTTTCATACTGGAAAAATGCATAAGGAAAGAAAAAGGATCTGGAAATGGTTCTTGAGCATGCAGCTGTTTTAAAAGTAAAGGCCTTTTGGAATGATGACCTGCCTAATTTTAATGTTTTTATTTTGTTTCCATTTCTGATTACTTTGCAGTGGCTATGACTTTGGATATCTGATCAAGATCTTGACGAATTCCAATTTACCTGAAGAAGAACTGGACTTCTTTGAGATACTGAGATTGTTTTTCCCTGTCATTTATGATGTGAAGTACCTTATGAAGAGTTGCAAAAATCTCAAGGTAAATGGTCTAATGCTTTCTACAGATATTAAGCAGCACTTTCTGGACTGGTCTTTCTTTTCTACATGAAGAACATACAACAAGCTTTGTCTTTTGCTTTTATGTCATCAACTCTAAACCATTACAACTAGACCTGCTCCTCAGAGAAATATCTGCATGGAGAGATTCTCATTGAAAGCTAAATGCGTAATAAGCTGATTTTGAAACTTGAGGTTGAATCATGTTAATCCTACTTAGAGCAGACCTACTGAAGAAATGGGACTAGTCATGAGCACAGTGTAAGTAGTCCTAAGACTGAATACAAGGTTAAGTTTCACAAGTAATTTGCAGTACTTTACATTTACCTTAGGTGGCAAAAGTCCAACTATGTGTCCATGCCCTTTGTCTTGTTTAATTATAATCAAAGTGCTCAGTCCATTGAGAGTTTCCTGAAGCCTGAGGTAGGACAGTGATGCAAGTCTGAGACTAGTTCATGCAGGAGCTCTAAAGCTTACCACTGGGTGTCAGCAGAGGTGAATAAATAACTCGCAGCGTATTTTAGTAGAGTTTTAATTTCTTTATTATTGGAGGAAGAAACTTGCTATGTCTATAAGGCAGCACCATTGTGAGGGACCCGGGAAGGCTTTCCAGGGGTCGCTGTAGCAGCTGTTAGTAGTGGTAGATACTGCAGTCTCCTGGAAATATCCCTTCATATAACAGTTCTGTTCAGTGCTCCTGTGTGAACTGGGCTCAGTTTCTTAGGGTAACCTAGTGAAATTAGTCAAGTAGTTCGTGAAACAGCAAATTAGCTGCATGCAGCTAAAGGCAACTGGACATGTCAAATAGAGATTTTTTTTTCTCTGTTCAGAAGCCAGTTGGGCTTCTAACCAGCTTGTTCCTTTGGGCATATCATTTAAAGATACATGTTGGACCGGAAGACAAGTGCATGCTGGAAACTGAGGCATGAATGGAAGAAAAGCAAAGAGGATTGTTATTGTTCCTGTGGTGTTAACAGACATCAGAAAACTGTCCTTCAAAACAGACTGGTACTAAAAGTGACTGACCTCAGGCGAGAGATAGCTTAGTATTACAAAGAAAAGGGTCACTTATGAAAATTGTGGTTAAGGCTGTTTGCCCTATAATCGAACTTACGAAGTGCTTGCATACAATTCATATGGTTTTAAAGAAAAGGATCCAGATGCTGGAAATTCTGTGCTTGAAGGTTTTGTAGAATGGGGTGAGACATCCTATTCTGCTTTGAATTAATCTAAGAAATTATGCCTGATCAGTGAATTAGTCACTGAGAACAAGGTGACTAGACATTTTGCATTACTGGAATATTGCTCACTGTTTGAACTACATAGAATTCTTTGACTCTGCAGCTTGATTTCCATGTTCATCCTCACTAGTGATAAAATTAATGTTGTTTCAAAGTAATAATGGCTGCTCAAGCCTAAATCTCTACAAATTATTAATCAAATGCTATTTGCTATGCTGACTTGCTAGGAAAAGGATCTACTTAGGTTTTTGGAATAAATGGCATTATCTCTTCCGTGCTTTAGATTTCTTGTGGTGCAGGCAACTTGAAGGCAATTTCATTGCAGGGGAGGATAGGCACATTTGAATCAGGTTTGAACAAAACACTAACTTTATCATGGTTTGCTTTTTAAAACTTCAGAGGACTGAAGTTATTTTTGCAGGTTCTTTTGAATCTTCTTGAAGGATCAGCATTAGAAAAAAACTGGGTGATACCTTTGTGCAACTTGCTTTGATGTATCCCTTTCCCCACAACCGCTCTCTGTCATTCTGCATTCACTGTCTTCCTCCAACTGCTGTCTGACTGCTGGCTTTATTTTCAACCTTTCTGGTAGAGTTAAGTGAAGATTGCTCAGTGCAGATGTGCTTAAAAGCAAGAGTGATATAACTTAGAACCAAGGATTATGCTAGGTCTTTCCAGGATGCAAAGGGGCCCTGATCATTATCCATGGACTGCAAAATAAATTGGCTTGTTCGTTACCTTATGGTAATTTTGTTTCCCAGTTCACAGATACGCTTTTTATTTTCCATTTATTACTATAGTAGAATTCTTATACATCAGCCTTCCCTAGCCCAGTGCCTTCCACATGTGATGACCTGTTGCTGTCATCACTACCACCATTACTATGACAATGCATTTATATCCTGCCTTTTTGTCCTCTTGCGAGGAACCCAGGGTAGCCTGAATAGCTCCATTTGATCCTCACAACTACCCTGTGAGGTAGGCTGGGTTGAGAGGGAGTGACTGACCCAGTGAGCTTCAGGTGGGAGTGGGGACTAGAACCCGGATCTCCCAGGTACCCAGTTCAGCACCCTTAAGTACCTTACTGCACTGGCTCACACTGGGCTACAAACCCATAAGCTACAGCCAGCATGGCCAACACATCTGGAGGGCACCAGATTGGGAAAGGCTGTTCTATATCATGTCACTATGTTTATCTGTACATTGCTTACTCTAAATGAATTTTAAAAACTACCTAATTTTCACCCCACAAAAATGGAGTTGCTCACAGTTTAAATTTGTACTAGGATTTTTGACTTTGCAGAAATGTAAGGTAGTTCTGAAAAATACCTTTAGTCTATAGCTAGTCTTGCAATTCTGTATGCATAGTTCTGGAGAGGAGAAATTGACATGAATTGGGCTGCTAGATGAAATGGGAGCTCCTCAAATGCACAAACGTGATGGCTAGGATAAATGTACTCATAACATGAGATAAAAGGCATCTTCCATTCTTTTCCCGAAGTGAATTGTCTTCATATTTAAGTACAAGCCTATTATTAGATAGTAGGCTATCTGATCTCTGATGTGATACAACCCCACAGTCATAAATGGAACGTAATTATGGAAAATGAGTCTCTCTGTGTGTGATACTCCGTAATTTTCTATTCTCTTTCTGTGTGCTTCAATATAGTTCAGAGTCATAACTCATTTTAATAATGGGGTTTGCCTGCTTTAGCTCATATATTCTGCATATAGAGAGTAGTTCTCAAGCCCGTGTGGTTTGAAAAATGCACTGTATATTCAAATTCAGTGTGGTATCCTTCAGAAGAAAATCAGTGAGTGAAGTTCCTACTTTCTTTGGATTCCCTGATGAATTTGATATATGAAGCATGCTTCCTATTTATGGGTTCCACATCAGTAAAATAGAAATGCAGGTATTTCCTGAATTCTTAAGTGATGGAATCTTTGAATATCATAAATCCAGATCTAGAGCTTAAGTAGAAGAGGAGATTTGGCATCTTCTATTTCAGATAACAGTTTAAGGGCAAAATGTGCATCCCACTATTGCAGGCCTGTGTTTTGTTGCTCAGATGTCTTGGCCCTGAAAAGTACGTCTGTTGATGCCACTGTGAGAGTGTGTGCTGCATTTTTGGGCCTGAAAAGACATCCAGTGTCATGGTCAGGCAAGTCAGTCAAAGGCCTGTGTAGAGCCATGGTGCCTGCTTCCTATAAACTGGGTCTTTTACTTGAATTGGCTGATGTTTGGTAGTGGCATCTGGGAAGCGAGTGGCCCTTCATTTCAGCCAAGGGAATAGATTATGCAGCACTGCAGCTCTCTTCATCCCACCAAAGCCTGCTGTGGGAACAATTAAAAGACTATTTGAACTAACTAGCATTCTTCAGTGATGGTCTGGACTAGGTACACTTAAACATTTGTTTTGTTCCATTTGTTTCTGGCAGCTCGAATTGTAAAAAAAGAAAACTAAACAGGTGTGGTGAAAGCCATTGCTTTAACCATTTGCTAAGACTTTAAAGAACATGTAACTTCAGCTAAATATGTGGTTGACACAAAAACGTGGTTTTCCAGTTGCATACTCATTGTCCATTTCTTTCCTCAGAAACTGTGATAAACAAAATGGGTGGAGAGATGGAGACCAATTCTTCAGTGGTTGGCAGATGTTGTCATATCTTTTGATCGTGCTGCAATATTGTCTTTCAGGGTGGATTGCAAGAAGTTGCTGAGCAGTTAGAGTTAGAGAGGATAGGCCCGCAGCATCAGGCAGGATCTGATTCTCTACTAACAGGCATGGCTTTCTTCAAAATGAGAGAGGTTGGTGTAAATTTTTTGTTCCATATTAAATCTTTAGATAAAAGTAATCTATCATTTAACATGTCTCTGAGATTTTTCTTGGTTAAATTAATCCCTGAATTGGATTTTTCAAAGTGTAAGATGGTTCCCTCAGTGGCCAGATGTGGAGGACACCCTCTGGAACCTGTCATCAATGCATGACATCAATGTCATCAATGCATGACAGTGGAACTTTTATGTATGTTGTTGACCAGACAGCCCTCTCTTGGCTTCTAATGTCTTGGAAGACACAGTGATACCACCCTTAGACACAGTGAATGGCAGGATATAAAAGCTATAAATAAATAAATGGGATGGGCCAGTCAAATGTCCTTCATGGGTAGACTGAATGCATGGAAATGTAAGAAGTATGAAGGCCTATCATTTGTTTTAAACAGAATCAATAATGCTTTCTGTTTTTATAGTATGCCGTGTTCACCTGTAGGAAATACTTGTACACTTTATTAAAATTTAGTAATGGTCTGCCCATCACTTTGCTGTTCATTGATTGCTTTGTGCCATATGCTATGTTTAAGATAGTGGATGGAGAGCGAATCACTGTCTTCTGTAGGCCACCTTCTCACAAGATCTGGTCATGCCTGCCTGTGTAGTTACTACCTTGGAGAAGTGGAACTTTCCAGTACAAAAGTTCAAGCAGGCTCCATTGCTTTCCAAATCATCTGCCTTTTCCTGAGGGACAGAGACTTCTTATTCTGGGTGGCCAAGACTTATCTGGAATTTTCTCTGGTGCAGTAACAAAGGAAATGTGGGTGATTGCCAGTCTTCTGATACATTTATTCTTATTGTTATTACATTGCATTTTATATCCTGCCGTTTTCTATCTTGTGAGGGCATGAAGGCAAATTTATGTTAATGCAGAAAAAGTTGAGATAGAGAGCACGTAGGAAGAGATAGGATGTGCCCAAAGGTCGCTTCATTTTTTCTTTAACAGCTGGATGGAAGCATAGAGAATCCTCAGGTAGGGAATGGGTTGAATGGGTGCTAGCAAGCTGAAAGTTGCCCAGACAAGAAAATACACTCAGTCAGTTGCACTGGTGAATTTTGTGAGATTATTCAACCTGTTCTGCATGGAGCCACACCCGCCTTGAGCAATGAGATACACAGCTTGGTGACAAGGGAGTTTCAGTCTATGGACATTCAGGTGGTGGCAGTTGCTTGAACTATCTTTTATTCGTTTGGCAGTATGGCCTCTCATAAAGGGGAAGAACAACTTATCTTCAGTCACCCATGCTTGTTTCCTCTGGACTGGAATACTGGGGCTTGGGGCTGCTGTTTAAGATAAGAAGGATGCTTTAATTGGTTCAGAATGCAGTTACTAGAATTTGTCTGGCATTTGTATGTTAAAGAAAATAACCTGTTACTAAGTTGCTTTGGCTTCCAGGATCAATTCACAGTGTAGGGCCTGATATATAAATCTCTAAACAACGTAGCAACAGGTTATCTTTTGAACCATTATAGGCTTGCCTGGGAATTACATTCAATCCCAGAGGCCTTGCTTTTGGGGCCATTCCTGAGATTTGGCAAGGGAGCACAAGTGTGGAGGTACTGCAGCTCTGAAGTGTTCTCCCAATTAAAACTGGCCTCCTGTGTGTCTTTCACTAGAACTTGGATACTCTTAACTTTGATGGGATGTGTAACACTTAGTTTTATTATAATCAGCTTTAATTTCTTAATAACTTTTATTTGTGGGTTTTTGTTTTGTGTTTTAAATATTGGCTGTATTTAATGCTTCCAGAAATTGCATGTGGTATTTGTACATGTTACTGATTTATATTATGGTTTATGTTTATGCTGTATACTACTCTGACTACTTCTAGTAGAAGAGCAGGGTTTTAATAATTATTCTTCTGTATTGCTTGCCTTCAAAGAAAGGCCAATCATGACTTCTGTTATAATTTTTCTTCAGATGTTCTTTGAAGATCACATTGATGATGCCAAGTACTGTGGTCACTTATACGGCCTTGGTTCTGGTTCATCTTATGTACAGAATGGGACAGGAAATGCATATGAAGAAGAAGCCAACAAGCAATCATGACATGAAATAGGAAGCCACTTTTTCTGAGCTCCACATGCTTGTACATAGGTTTTATCTCTGGTTGAATCCCTTGGACAATAAGGCGTTCTTTTCCTCTCTATCAGACATGTTTTTCCTGCCTTCATATGTACCAAACTTGACTGTTCCTATCCTGGTTCTTTGACCTTAATGTGTAGGCATTTCTGGGTTAAATGTGGCCTTGTAACTTGCCCATCTGTAAGCACATGTAGGAGCAGTGTGGCAGATAGAAGAGGAAAGCTAAAATGATAATGAAATTTCTGGTAAACTTTAATTGGTCTTAGTATTGGTTTATTATCTTCCCTACCCTTTTGCCCCCGAACTGAACTAGGCACTGATTGTAACCAATTTCCCCATTTGATGTTTATCCCTTCCAGTGTACAGGAGTTTTAGCTATTCAAGATTGTGGACCATCACATTTGCACTTTAGAAGAGTGACTCTGAGTCAGATCCTCTGTTTTATCTGAAGTTCTGGTTTTCCTTCCCTGACCTAAACAAAAATGTTCATTCACCAACATAGCAAACCCACTCCTGGGTTCAAACCCATGGAATCATCCACACTCACTGCATAACCTCTGTTTAAAACTACTGAAATCTTAGCAGCTGCTCTCACTGTTAAGCTGGTGTTTCGTCTTCCAGGTGTGTTTTGTACGCACGAGCTTGCAATTGACTTGCCGGTTTAACACTGCTCTGTGATGGAAATAACTAGGTGCAGTCATGGAGAATCTCTCCAGTGTACCCTTCACTAAACTGAAAGGCTCTGGCACAACACATACTTTGTGCTACTCTTCAGCTCTCATGGGAGTATTTAAGAGAAATTCCTTGTGAATTGTCCCATGACTGAAAACAAGCCTTTAGGAAAGTTTCCGTGGTTTTTTTTTTTTTTTTGCTTTTGTGGCTGTGAGTGGAATAATTGAAAGGATGGTAACTGCAGTTAAATTAACAGCATTCCCTAATTGTGGATCCATTTCCTAACTCCTATTTCAGCAAGCTATGCCCCAAAACACTTTCTATTTTAAAACCTTATTTATTGATTACTTGAATAGATGAACACAACTCATCTCAAGAATAATATCCAAAGATTTGAAGCCAATTTGATATTGAGCTAAATGGAAAAGGAAGATGTGTCCTTTATTTGGAGATGCTACAAAAGATGTTGTAAAACAACAAATCCATTTGTACCTAATAAAGTTACCTGAGGCTTGTAAGGCTAGCTTATTTTTTTAGTCTACCGTAGCAATATATTGTATAAATGCATTGTTATATTAAAGAACCACAAAGTACTTTCTTAACCATGCAGAGCATGCTCATACAAAGCAGTTGTGCAGGAAGACTTTAATTGGTATTGAATAGCTAAACCCTACCCTGAAATAATGGAGTGCCTGTGGCAGCATTTTGCGTGCACCATTTACACTGAAAATCAATTGGCGTAAACATTAGCAATGTTCAGCAAGTTGATCTGTTTACCATGTACTTTAACCTGTTTTCCTTCTCCCCCCTCATTAAGTTACAATGGTATAACTGGGTGGTCCTTTTTAAAGAAAAACAAAGACATTTGCATAAGAGGGTATTTGTTTTTAAAGCTTTTGTAAATAAAGGCTTGAAAAAGTTTTCTTACGTATCTACAGACTTGTGGTTTTTTTTTTGAAAACTCCACTGGCATGTCTGTGTACCCAGCTAATCCCTTGTCTGTTTATTACAAAGAAAGATATTCTATTGCCTTTTTTGTCCCCAGTGCAATATGTTGTTTATAGATGCAAATTTCTTCACCACTGTGGTTTTAGTTTCAAACTGCAGTTGAGCATGTTAAGCAAATCCACATGTTTTCCTGAAATAGCTCACTCTGATAGGTGGCTGCCTGTGGCCAAGAACCAATTCTGCCGCATGTGTAAGCTGAACAGTAAACACTGGTTTTGAAAGGGCCACGAAGGCTGCATTACAAGCAATCAGGATTCTTGTCAATCAGGATTCTTGGCTAATTTAACTTAGCTGAATTTGTTGTGTGGTGTGGGTGTTATTATTCTCAGTACCAATGTAGCATATGTAATTGCAAGAAGGAGACTTGGTTAAGGGCTACATGTCGGGTCTGTATACACTAGTACCTGTAACAGGGAAAAGCCCAGTGTGTGCTCACTTTGCAGTGTCCCCTTCTTGTGTCCACATTTTAAATGCCCAGCAAACATATATGAACTGAGCCATCTGATCTGCACTTGGGGACTTAGTTTCATTTCTAGGTGACAGCTGTGGCTGTTTTCTTGGGTGTTCCTTTAATTTTAAGAAACAATTTAGTTGCTGACAGGAGATTTTAGGCATAAGCAGATGAGGTAATCTGGATTGTACCTCTTTGGCCAACAAATAGAAGTCCACATGCTAGAATGCCCCCCTACCCACCCTGAGAAACACACAGAAATCCCACACATGGCAAATGAGCCTATTTGGGAGAAAGCTGGGCACCTAATATTCTAAGTGCAGGAAATGTTTGTACGGAGAAGCTTTAATCATGTGGATCCTTGCCTAGACTAGGGCAGGCAGTATGAAATAGCATAGCCAGTAGGCAACCTAGTGTTTTCTAGATATTTGGGATTATAATACTACTAATTCCTGACGATGGGCCACATTGGCTGGGGCTGATGGGTATTATAACCTAGAACATCTGGAAAGCAATTGGCTCTCTGTCCATGGCCTAGGGCCAGGCTTGTTCTTATGGTTCATCATGGTCTCTGTGCATCACACATAGGGCGCTGTGTGGCTGCGTGGAGCCTGCTGTCAGGAAGATTCAGCTAAGTGTTAGAGTGGGAGCCCTTCCCTATCCTGTTCCCTGCATCTATCCACAAGAAAACCTAATCTGACCTACCCAACTTATAATTACAGACTAGCAGAACTACTATGTTCTAAGCCCATGCCAGAAAAGAGTTGGTGTAATTTTATACTGTCAGTATATCCTGATGGGACTGCGGGTGCGCAGTGGTTTAAACTACTGGGCAGTTTGAATCCACACAACAGGGTGAGCTCTCCTTGAATTGCCCCCAGCTCCTGCCAACCTTGCAGTTTGAAAACATACAAATGCAAATAGATAAAAAGGTACCACTTTGGTGGGAAGGTAAACAGCATTCAGTGCACTTTGGTATTTAGTCATGCTGGCCACATGACCACAGAAACTGTGGACAAATGCTGGCTCCCTCTGCTAGCAGATGAGCACCGTCCCCAAGAGACATGACTGGACTTTAATGTCATGGGGAAACCTTTACCTTTATATCCTGATACCAGTTTGGGAAATGCATCAACTAGATCACTTAATAGCTGGTTTTGTTGCCCCTATATTCCACCAGTTAATATACATTTGCTTCTGTTGTTAACCCAGTTATAATGGCCTAAACAAATGATGTCAAGTTAACCCCAGAATTGCTCCTAAATTTTTAATACAGTTTTAAGGGAACTGCCCTAAGTAGGTTGCATGGTAAGAACAATAATCAGCAGGCAGTAGAATTAGCACCATAAATGAATATGTCAGTTTTCCCCAGAGGAAAATGAGCAGTCCCTGGAATTGTTTGTGCCAAGTAAGTTTAGACATGTGAGAAAGGCAGACTAGCTTGTTCATGCTCTCCTGGCTTAAATTACACTATCTTTGTTTCTAATGTAATCCATGCAGCTTTCCATTACCAGCAATGTTGAATATAGAGTTATAACTGACAGCCAAAACCCCTGTGCACAACAATGTAGTAAATGGGCTGTGTTATACTATGTTGCATAATTGTAAATTTTTAAATGGTGTTGAGCCAGTGAGGGTCCAAACCTTACACATTTAACAGAAAAAGGCCCTATACCTATTAGAACTTTTCAGCCTGTGAATGGTGGGAATTGTAAGACATCTTTTTTCCAAACATGTATAGGTTTGCAGCCAATATTTCTGTCAAGGATTCATCGGTTTTTAGGACATGTCCCTAATCTAGGTCCCTAATCTAGGTCCCTAATCTCCATTTAGTTTTTTTCTAGAAAGCAACTCCTGAGGTTGGCCAGAGCACTATCACTACTGTGGACTACCAAGCAAGGCTTGTAACAATCACTTCTCAGAAATTTCTTGCTCTGGATTGACAAGCAGGGAGGAAGGAGCTGCTGCTACTCCTAACAGAAGCCAATCTGTCCCTTGGCATCCAGTAGCTCATCCCCCTTCTAAGTTTTATTACCATAAAAACCACAAATGTTAATACCAAACATATCTCGGTGTGATGTATCTTAGTCGTATTAGTATAACACTCTCAATAACAGTATGTACTCTGTTACACATTTACCAGTTTTCAGATTCAAAGCCCGAATGCTTTAAGTCATTTGTCTTAAAGTTTTTAATTTATTTTCCAGCAGCAAGTTAATATACAAAAATACATAATACTGCTTTACAGAGTACAAAAGAAAGCAAAGCAAGAAGCTCTTTCACTCTGCGCAAGACCTGTAGCTGTGTACAATATTGCATCTTAGCAACATGCACTCAGGCAAGCATTGCAAAAGTTTCATGAAAAGATATTTCAAAGCCATTCTGAAGCAGAACAGTTGGGAGGCAAGGATTCTTCATTCTGCTTCAAAAGTCTTGCCAAGATTACTGAAACAGCAAAGCATGAAGAGGAGTAAAGAAAATGAGTAGAACAAATGTATGCAGTAATGTTGTCTGTGTCCTCAAGAACCGATTCCTGGTAGGCAAAGTAACATTTGTCCACTCACAGTACCCTGAGTATTCTGAGAGGCTAATTTGCAAGTCATTCTGCAGAATGTTCTGCATGTAAAGACATACTTGGTATCCTTGTAAAGCAATGCTGTAATACAGTAACCAGTCAAATCACTGAAGCTATCTGCTGGGGAAAACGATGCAATTAATTTTCATTTTCTTCATAAATCTTCCCCCAGCCTCTGCATTGGATTTGGAATCAAAGTTCACCCAAATGCCATATTTTTGAGCATAAAAGATCCTAGGCTGAATCTGTTTACATACAATACTCATAAGCATTTTCTTTCTTTCATAGTTTGCCTATTTGATGTGGAGTATGTTTGAGTTATGTGGATTTTGTTTAGTATTAAGTGGTGGGTCTTGCGTTTACATCACATCTTACTGTTATTGATTGTTCTAAACTTTGCTGAGAGAATTTTTGTTTTACAAGATTGCAGCTCCTTTTTTTCGCTTAGCATCAGAACTTTACAGTGAAATATCTAAGTAGAAGTTCCATCATATCCAACAGGACTTATTCCCAAGTAAGCACATAGAGGATTTCAGTCTCAAACTGGTTTTCATATATGCAATTGACAAGAACCCCAATTACTAAAGTGCATTAATTATTATAGTTCTCAACTAGTAGAGAGGTGATCTTGGCACTGATGCTAGTGTGCAGAAGGGACCCTACCCTGCAGTTTCCTTAGTTCAAACAGCCATTCATTCAAAGTGGACTTTCTTCTGTGAAAATAACAATAAACATTAGGAGTTGTTACCCAGAAATCTGAATTTTAAAAGCTCTTGCACTAGTAAAAGCTATATTAAAATAGTAAAAGGAAATGTCTGCCTGTTAGTTTTGCATTCCAAGCCTCCATATAGAGGATTTATAAAAGTCCTTGAGTTTTCAAAATTAACACCCTTTAAGACTATGCATGTCTACTCTATTTATCAAGCTTGCACATATGGGATTGTTTGCCACTTAGGGTGACCTGTCCTATAGATCTGCTTCTACTGTAATATGAAACTTCAGTTCTGTCAAACTTTTTAGGCACAAATCATGATCTTCTAAACTGAAGTCTAAAGGCTTAACCAGCAGAAGTGTGGTAGCCTTGGAAATGTTTTGCCCTTCAGAGAAAGAGAGTTCTCTTGCCAAATAATCACATGGAGAGGGACCTCTTCTGGATATTAAATTGGTGCTCAAGGTATAAAGTTAACATTGCAAGAAAACACCTTAAGAATGTGTAACCACCTTCATAAGGTAAACACCTGTTGACCTCAGGGGCATGCTTCTAATACTTAGTACTCAGCTGGTTTTTAGCACCCGAATCTAGCCATTATAGGAGTTAGCTACTGTCAGTTAAACAAGATACTGGGAACTGAGCTTGACAATAATTCATGATTTTGCTTTCACTGTTAAATAGTTTAAGTATTTAAACACCCTAGGGACGTAAAACCCGCTATGTGTAAGAACACTAGTATTTACAAGGATGTCAGGCATTGAGTGGCTTTTACAATATAATACCCTATTTCGTCATCTTAAAACAGAGCAAAACAGGGGCTTCACATCTAAGTGGATAATACTATTATTACACCATCTGCTTAGTTATAATTGATACTCATTTAAAGATTGGTTCAGAGGAAATTTTTTATTCACATAAGCATTTTCAGTTGTACTTGAGGGGGCATTTATGTGAGTAAGCATCAATAGGTCTGGGAACAGATCGTGTTGGTGAGCTAATAGTGATCTCCCATGCTCCTAGAAGCTGGGAAATAGGCCCTCACAAGTCTACGGAAGTTTTGGCAGCTAGCAGCTTTGATCTCTAGCACATGCAATGAGTTTACTTACAGACAAATGCCTATCTGAAGAAGTTAAAAAAATGATAAAGGGAATTGGGCAAATTTGAAATGTGTTTGAGAAAATACTTCATAGAAGGAAATACTGTTGGTTTTGTATGCTACAAACTTAATATTTTCCCCTAGAAGAGCAGTGATTTGCGGTACAATTGATGCAACTGTGACTTGCAAAACATGGGGGAATAGCCATCTGGAGAGGCAGGATTTAAATAGAAACAGCTAGTGGCAATAATTTCACAAATGTATTGCTTGTGGCTGGCTGACAGCTCATGTGAGCTGAAATCTATGAAGCAGTTGATGGTGTGTGTGTGTGTGTGTGTGAGAGAGAGAGAGAGAGAGAGAGAGATTGATTGATTTAGATATCCCAGTGGGCATGTCAGTGTGTGAGCTGGTATATAGTCCAATGTAAAAAATTCAACATCTGTATAAGGTGGTTTGCATCAATACAGGTTCAATCCAAAACCTATATTTGAAACCAAATCTATTCACAATGTATGTCCATAATTTTGATCAGAAAGACATGGCAGGTCATCAGCCAATACAGACATAGCAACAGCCTGTTCTTTGTTAGATGGGGAGTATCCAGCCTACTGTACTGTTGGTCAGTTGTACTCCCCCCTAAAAAAAAATAGCTATGACTGCATGCATATTGGCCACATATGGGAGTTCCACTCCTGTTCCCCTTTTCAATGCACATTATGTGCTGTACCAAAAGCCCTATTAGGAATCAGCACTATAATAAAATTATCTCCAATAAAGACTGGCAGTATTCTCTCTGAAGCTTTTTTCTAGGAAAATATATTTTCAACTGCTGCTAATAGACTTTCATTAAAAATAATGCTTGAGATTACTCAGATTTCTATGAAAGGTATATGGTTGTGATGGAGACAATTTGATCAGATAGGTGAGTGTTTCCATGTGCAGAAGAAACATCCAAAAATAACTAGTTCTAGAAAGTTATAAAAGTCAACAATAAAAACTGCACTGGTACTGCCAGTGAACCCTCGCATCTCACTGCTAGTCTTTGCAGATTTTTAAAAAAGATTTTAAAAGATTTTTTTTAAACTTTGGAAAGAGTTAATTGAAACACTTCTGATAGCAGTAAGGACATAATGGAAACACTTGAGAGGTTTGGCCTCTGGTCAGTATGTGTTAGTGGTTTGTGTACTAAAATGTTGCTACACTAAATCTCTAAACAAAGAATCAGAGCTGCTGGAACTTGGACTATTAATACTGAACTAAGCAGTAAAAATATGTTGCCCATAGCAGTAAAAAAAAAAAAAAAAACTTTCACATGAAAAAGTAGGGTATATGAGGCCAAGCACCTGCTCTATACAAGCAATGTCAGGGAATGGTAGAGTTCTGAAATGCAACAATGGTATAACAACATTGTAAGCAGGTATGCAAGTCTTAGCAGCATCCTATATACTCCACAAATATTGCTTTACACTTAAATTGAATGTTCAGTAAAAATTATAATTCTAAAAGAAATACTTAGCCGCAAATGATCCATTGGTTGCAAAACCTGTCCTAGGTATTCTAATTACTGAAGTATCACTAGGCATGTATTGTAATAGTAGACTTTCTGAACTGATTACTGATAGGACTGATATCTTCATGTCCTAGGCACATGCATTAGAATCAGATTTAGGTCTGTGCAATACAGCTGGTGGAAGCAAACTGCTCTGTCCCACCAAAACAGCCCTTCAAATATTATTGAGTTAGCAGACCCTGCTGAATGGGATTAGATCTCTGAAAACTGGGCACATGTGCCTTCTGAAGTATGGAAGGTACCTTGGGATCCCTGCTTCTGCTGACAGTACAGAATCACCTGACTCTACATTGCCGTTTAAGGGGCTGCTACAGAGAGGAAAGGATGGAGATGACCACTGCCACCCACAAAAACCTGGATCCAGTCCAAAGCTTGTAAACTTGAACATTGATGTGTAAAAGAAAAGCAATCACAACAACTTTTTAGTGCTAAATTGGGGCATAAATGGTTTAGAAATTAGTTTACAGTGCAATCTCTAGTGCACGTTTAATCAGGCACTATTAAGTTCACGAGTCCCAGCTATGTGTGTACTTACAGTGTGAGGGAATCCGAACCCCTCCCTCCCTCACACTGTCTCCAATCTGAGACCTCAGGTAACAGTGATGGTTCTGTTGCTGGGGCTTCCCATCCACTGGAAGAAACCCAGAAAACTCTGTGGACTGCCCAAGGGGCCAATGGTCCTACACTCCTGCTGTGTTGGACTGCACTATAAACCACATGAAAACCAAGAACCCCAGCTCAGTAGGAGAGATCTGTTTTACATTTTTAACACAAATAAGCATAAACACAAAAGATAGCAAGGAACATCATAATAGGCATTTCATTTTTCATTTGCCTAAAAGGGAGTAACTCTAATATAATGCTTTGAATCATCTAAAAACAGAGTATGCCTCTTCCTTCCAAGCTACTGTTTTTATCCATTTACAAGTTCAGTAAATAAGACAAAATTGATCGACAAACTCACACACCCAATTAACTAAAATTTCTTTAACCATGCCTACTGTTAGTGGTGATGGAGTAAGAGAACGTATTCCTTCGGTGTTGTTGGAGAGGGAGTTTGATATTTGCTTTCCCACAATCTGGAAGTTATAGAGCTTCTCTAGATTTCTGTAGGTAGGCTCGTCCTTTACAGCTATACTTACTATCAGCACTACTCCATTGGCACCACCCCCCGACTACCATGTACATTTATTGGAAGTCTCAGCTCACAAAATCAGTGGAATTTATTTCCAGAGTAATACGGTCATGGTTGAAGCACAGAAAAGCTATTCCTAATTTACATTTATTACCTTTTCTGTGATAAGGCTCTCTTTATCTTTTGCATGAATCCCACCTTTCCAGAAAATATTGATGACAACAGTTGTGAGAGCCATATTAGATATGTCCTCTGCCTTTCTAGACCTTAACTCTAGACCCTTCAGTTTATATGCAGTTTAATGAACACTAGCAAGTATTACAGAACCCAACAGAACAGAAAAGCACATCACAACAGATAAGGTCTGCATGATTGCAGTGAGCGAAATAAGCCATGGTGACCTATTTCCTCCATCAAATATGCCAGCCAGATTTCACTAATTACTATTGTCCGTGCAGCATGCTCTGCTACCCAAATCTGAGTGTCACGGCTTGCTTGTTGGTAGTGGGAGGGGCAGTAACCCTCAACCCAACAATAACCAGTAGGTTATTTGAGGGTTATGGCTTCCTTACCTTATAGAAGCCATGCCACCATGGGTCAGACAAAGTGCCGAGCCTTGCCAGTGAGGATAATTAGACAAGTCTGGCTTGTTAACCACTGCACGACTGTCAATGCCAGGTCAGCAAACATTATGATCAAGCAATGGAAATACCTGTATTTGCTATTCTGTCCCTCTGATTTTGTGACAACTTCCAAGTCTTAATAGAGATAGAAAAGAACACTATGCTAAGGAATGCAAAATGCCTACATACACTGTATAAAACCATGTACTACAGCACATAAAATTCTCAAATATTCTAACTCATAGGGGTTCTACTCTGGCACTTTTGGTGATTAAGCTTGCAAAGATTCTTCACATGGATTCATATGTTAAGGAGGAAATGTTCCTTCAAATTCATATTCTTATAATTGCATTGATGTCATCACAGAGACATCACACTATCTGACTTTAATAGAACTGCTCTACCCAGAAGAATCATTTTGAAATAACTAAAGTCCATTTACTTGGCTACACTCAAAAGAAATAATGGTTGTATGAAACACTTAGTGCTACTGTAGCTGTGAAGTCGTAAAGCCAGACCTATATTGTACTGGGTGTATATAAAATGTTAAATTGATAGCCAAACTGACTTTTGATGCTGCAGTTTCTGCTCCTCGGGTATGTACTTGAATGAGATGAACATTTTCTTCACTGTTGTTTCATAGCTAATAATATAATCAACATTTATGAACCGTTTTGATATTAGATATATGACTACCTATCTTATGTAAACAGCATAATGTATTTTGTGTGATACATTAAATTCATTTCATTTGACATAATGTGCATGCAAAGGCACTGTTAAAAGCTCATCTATGAAACTGCAATTTCCTTGGCATCAGAAACTTCTGAAAAGGTTTTAAACCTTTGCAGTTAAACTGATCATACAAAAGCTATCCTGAAAACCCTGGTAACGTAGATTCATTTCTAATGGGTCTCTGCAAGGCCCTCTTGGCTTAACAGAGCGCAGTCAAAATCATAGTACACATCTCCTTGTATGTATATCAGGGTAATGTTAAGGAATGCAGCAATTCCTGGAATGTAAATCAAACAGAGAAAAGGGTCGTGTAATTAAAACAGCCTCTTACAGGTGCAAACTTGGGCTAAGCTTTAAGTTAAGCATTCTCAAGAAATATTAACATCAAACAGTTCTAATAAGGTTGATTAACCAAATAGTAAGCTGTCACACATTTACACTTTCACAAAACTTTGCTCTGAGCATGTTTAACTACATGACCTTAACTTACACAGACATAAATTATATGTGGAGTTTTGTTCTGTTTCTCCAATATAATTAAGAGAATTATAGCCTAGCTATAAGTAGATGATCCATGTAGAAAGGTGTGGCAGGAATATTATGTTAGTATCAACAAAGCCTTTTGCAAACATTTTCATGGTTAGCTTACAATTAAAACTATGTTGCTAATTCAGCTGAAGATAGGGAATCAAAATATGTTACAGTCATTATACCCAACCAGTGAGCAAACCATCAGCATTGATTGCTGGGCATTCATCAGAGCTGACAGTATATTCATTAGGATATAGTTTCCAGGTAGAAATTGAAGGCAAGACTTAAAGGTTCAAGAACTGCTGCAAGAGCATGTTCAGGTTTTACGTTAAACAGCTCACACTCATCTGAGTTATTAATACCAATGTACAAACTGCTCTTATAATCTGCAAAGGAGTAAATGTTGTCCTGTATGTATTAAGGCTTCCTGTTTCCCCAAGATGTAAGTTTCAAGACTTCTCTTTTGTATTTTAACAATATTTTGTGTTAACCAGAATATTCTTTATACACATAGGAGATGTCAACAGGTCTTATATTTCAAGTGACAACAGGGAGACAGCTAAAGTAGAACTTGCAAAATCTTCTGGGCATATCCACGCAGCAGTGGACTGGAACACCTGGTTGATGGACGCTGAAGTTGTGGAGGAATCCTTCATCCTCTTATTCTCTCATCAACAATTCTGAACTACAACAAAGCATTAAAGCACACCAGTTTGTAAAACAAGGACAAACCAGCTCATTTAACAGCTTTTATGTCTCCATACCCTAATGACATGAATATTATGACCTACAGAAAGTTTAAAAAAAGACAGGACTCAGCAAAGTTTTTTTTTAGTAGCTTACTTTGAAGATCCAGGATTTCTCCCTTTTACTTGCATGACTAGGTTTCATTTTCCATAGTTAGTGCAGGATTGCTTATACCTTTAAGAAACAAAATAATATTTTTAAACAGTGATTCTTAACTTTACTAAATAGGCTCATATATAGACTATTACGTCTCTTCAATACAAAGCCATTAACCTCACCCCTGATTTACATAGTGGACTGATTTGCAAGATCACCATGGCTTAAAAAGCCATGGGAAGCTTCTACAACCCTTGGTGCATGCTGGGTGCCATTTGCTTGGCTTTAGCTTGTTTCATCTGAACCGAGGCAGCATGGCTTACTGGAGGGAGAAATCAATAACTCAATGGATATTTGAGGGATGTTTCCTTCTTCAGTAAGCTGTGCTGCCCCAGATTCAGATGGCATGACAGGCTGTACCTCAGTGGGTGATTATGCATCGTGGTAAGGATTTTACATGATATCTGGTAATATCTTTGGTTAGCTGCTACATAAATTTCACTCTGTATTAACTTAACTGAAAGCAGCTAATAATGTCTTTGTACATTGGCATTTGATATCATTGAGATAACTTAATTTGAACTATATGTATGACCAAACTCTGCAAGAGTTGTTGGGAGTGTGTGAGTACTTTTCAGTGACACATTCCCTGGTGATAAGAATGTAGCACCCTAGGCAAGACCTTCTTGGAGTTGTACACCTCTCACACTAATTCCTACATAGGAATATTTTTGGATATGTGCTCACTTGTAGATGCACTCTCCATAGGTTGCTTGGTTATAGCCCCAACATGCTATAGTCCAACTCTGGAAAACCTACATCTGTTTTTTAAAGCTTGCATGAAAAGTCCTGCTTTGCTCTAGTCAGGCCAATTCATAACAGGCATGATGGACTGGGGAGGATTAACAGTCACCAGCGATTTAGAAGGATGGTTGGCTTATTCCTTCCTTAATGGGAAGAAATGCCAGTTTCAAGAATTATAAAGGAGGTACCAATTCATCAATTAATTCAGAAAATCATTTTGCAAGGACAAGTTGACCTGTACTAGCGTCCAACACATTTAGTTAAAAAATCACAGTACCATTTTCATTGCCAGCTTTCTCCTCTTAATTTAGTATATGTATGTCCAAGAATGTACTGTTTCCAAATTAGAATTCATTTTAGCTATAAAGTATAGTAAAGAAGGCATCCCTGGATCCAGTGATGGCCGCCACTTATAGACTGGTGGCCAACATCCTGTTTCCGGCAAGGTGTTGGAGCGGGTGGTGGCGGGACAACTCCAGGCACTCTTGGATGAAACTGATTATCTGGACCCATTTCAGTCCAGCTTCAGACCTGGTTATGGTACTGAGTCTGCTTTGGTTGCCCTGTATGATGACCTGTGGAGGGAGAGGGACAGGGGGAGTGCGTCCCTGTTGCTTCTCCTGGACCTCTCAGCGGCTTTTGATACCATCGACCATGATATCCTTCTGGATAGGCTGCCAGGACTGGGAGTAGGAGGCACTGCTTGGCAGTGGTTCCACTCCTACCTTGCTTGCTGATTCCAGAAGGTGGTGCTGGGGGACTTTGGCTCTGTGCCATGGCAACTCTGCCATGGAGTACCGCAGGGCTCCATTTTGTCCCTCTTGCTATTTAACATCTACATGAAACCGCTGGGAGAGGTCATCAGTAGGTTTGAGGTGTGGAGTCATCAGTATGCTGATGACACTCAGCTCTACCTCTCATTTACATCTGCTCCAGGTGAGGCGGTGGCTGTCCTGAACCGGTGCCTGGCCGAGGTAATGGGCTAGATGAGACTCAATAAACTGAAGCTCAATCCAGATAAGACAGAGGTCCTGTTAGTAGGTGATTCGAGTTTCCAGGTAAGTGACCTGGGCCCTGCCCTGGGTTGCACTCCTTCTAAAGGACAGAGTCTGCAGCTTAGGAGTGCTCCTCGACCTGGAACTGTCTCTGGAAGTCCAGGTGAAAGCGGTGGCGAGGAGCACTTTCCTTCAGCAATGGCTGATCCATCAGCTGTGCCCTTACCTGGAGAAGAACTGCCTGGCAACAGTAACACATGCACTGGTCACCTCCCGTTTGGACTACTGTAACACGCTCTACGTGAGGCTGCCCTTGAAGACAGTCCAGATACTTCAGATGGTGCAAAACAGAGCTGCCAGGATGCTGTCAAGGACTTGTTGTTATTCTCACATAACTCCAGTCCTCTATTAGCTCCACTGGCTTCCCATGGAAGTCTGGGCTCAATTCAAGGTGCTGGTTATTACCTATAATGCCCTAAACAGCTTGGGACCAGGATACCTAAAGGTATGCCTTTTTCCCCTATATGCCCTCCCACCCCCTAAGATTGGCAGCAGAGGCCCTCCTCTGGGAACCCTCTTTGAAAGAGGCTAGGAGACAGAGTACTCGGAGGAGAGCTTTCTCTGCAGTGGCCCCCCGACTATGGAATGCGCTCCCTAGAGAGGTCTGCCTGGCACCGTCATTATATGCTTTTCGGCGCCAGGTCAAGATCTTTTTATTTAACCAATATTTTAAAACTAATTAATTTTAATTTTATATTTATTCAATTCATTTTAACCATATTATTTTATACACAGTCGTGGTGTAGCCAATCTATTTGTTTAGGATTGGATATTGTATTTGGGGTTTTAATGTTTGTAAACCATCCAGAGAGCCCTCTGGCCTATTGGGATGGTATATAAATGCAATAAGTAAGTAAGTAAGTAAAATTCCTCTTGCTGTATTTAATTTGATGGGTCAGAAAACCCGTTTTTCCCCCACATTTGACTGAAATCAGGTTTGATGCCTGGGTCCTACAAGCCTGCCTATAAAAGGCTCAGTACAGAAAAGTAATCATATTTCTTACCCAATTTGTTCTTTTCAAGACTTGTACTGGTTTCTATCCAAGACTGAGGGTCAGTAAGAAGGTGGCTTTGGGAGTCTCGTAGAGGCTTAGCAGGAAAATGATGATTATTCTCACTGTTAGAAAATATTAAGTGATTAAAGGGAAGAAAATATACTGTAAATTTCATTATAGCTATGTAACTTTTTACCCTGTAAGTATGCAGGTTCAATAATGGTTATTTACCATTCTGAGTGTTTTGCCAATACATATATTTAACCGGGTCTTTATGGTGTGCTAATGCATTGTATATAAGGAATCGATATGTGCTTTCTGTTTTCTGTCTTGTATAAGTCTTGAGCTCTTGCAAACTTTTAAGCACCTCAGGAAACTTTCTCAGGCCATTTTCAGTTAATCTAGTATAAATTGGTGAAAACAAGTTGTCTCATACACTATAAAGCAAATATAATTATGTTACTCTACTGAAACAGGCACTTCCCAGGTATATTGAAGGCTAGTAAATATAAAACTGAGAAAAATAAATATCTGACTGAAAATAAATCAAGGTAAAGAATCTTACTTAGGTAGTTTCTGCAGATGCTGTCCTTTGAAAGTGCCATCAATCATGTGGATAAGGTGAACTATTTTTTGTTTCATAAAGCAGTCATGCCAAGGAATGCTGCCTATGGTCATTTCTACATGTATGGTCATGTATCTATGAATTTTTGATAAGCATTATTTATATATGCCCACCCGCCCCTTGAGATCTGCAGGAGAGGCCCTTCTCCGGGAACCCTCCATGAAGGAAATTAGGAGAGTGAGTACTCGGAGAAGGGCTTTCTCTGCGGTGGCGCCCAATCTATGGAATGCACTCCCCAGAGAGGTCTGCCTGGCGCCGTCGTTGTTTTTCAGCGCCAGGAGAAAACCTTTTTATTCAAATGTTATTTTAATTGTTAATACTATTTATTCATTTTATTCTTTGGCCAGGGTGACTTAATTTATATTGTTAATTTATATTATTCTATTTTGAAGTTTATTTATGGTTGTGAGCCACCCCGAGGCTTCAGTGAATGGGGTGGCATAGAAGTCTCCTAAATAAATAAATAAAAATAAATATGCACTAAATACTACTTATTATACTCTTCTATGCCAATGCAAATTTAATATATACACAATCACTACTCAAGCAGTACAGTATAAGATAAAATAAACAAGGTAAGTAGAAAAATTTCACAAGAAATTCATGTAGGCTTACTTTTTGCTTGAAGAACTGTGTCCTGTTGGAGTAAAAGCTTGTTCAAGATCTTGATTAACAAGGCAGGTAGGGAAGGAGCATCCATCACCTAGGCTGAAAGTAAATATAACATCTTATCTAGGCAAGCAACATTAAAACTATTTCAAAATGTCAATATAAGCATTAGCTTCAAACATGATTCAGTTCATATTATTTAATACTGATAGCAATACCTGGTAAAAATTGGCAACAACCAATATTTTTTCTCATCTCCAAAGACTTGTTTTAGGTTTTTGCTGAAGCCCAAGCTAAAGCCATTCTTATCCGTTCTATGGCGAAAAATAGGTGCCCGGAATGCCTCTGAAAAATAAAGATGTTTACATTCCTTAATTCACCCAAAGTAGCATATGCACCGCATGGAACAGAATGGATTACAAACCAAATAAATTTAGAATCACTTACCTAACGTTGATTTATTTTTGCTGACTAACCAACAGTGATATCCAAAGAGAGAGGATAAGCTGACAGAAAACATGGCTGCAGCAAAGAATAAAAACATAATATGGAACTTGGCTTGAGTATCGGGAAGGCCGTTCTATAAAGGAAGAAAGCAGAGAAAATTGTAGTTGGGGCACTACATAAATATGTTTACGCTGTAATCCACTGGCAAAAAACAATAAAATTTGATGATGATAAAGAATATATACATTGTTTTAAAAAGCTGGTAAATGCAATTGTTTACCATAAAAATAAAACATTTTATATTTGCAAACATTTTCTTTATGTTGAATATGTCCCGTTGCCCAAGAAATTTTGATCTGCTATCAGTAGAATACTTATAAATCTGGGATTTTGAATATTTCTGCTCACACATAAAGAGGAGCTATTAACTCCTTATATGATAACAACAGCAAGAACGTTGTATTAAATACTGGAAAGTAAGGAAGGATCTTAAAATAAAGGATGTGAAAAGCAGATATGAATATACCATCCAACACAACCAATGCATTTTAATTGGTTAGCTTTTTGTTTCACTTTAATTTTATATTTTATCATTTATTTTTTGGGGTAACTGCCTCAAACACAATATGGGGTTGAACAAGTAAGAACTGTATTTCATAAATAAATCTGTATATTCCTTACAATATCAGAGGTAATGAAGATAGACAATGATGTGAACAATCTAAGAAGAAAACTGACAACTTTCTACCATCTCACACAGGGGGTTTTTATGATACACTATGCTTCAATAATGATAGATTATATTATTATTTATCTGGCCAGGGCGACTTCTTTTATATTGTTATTTATTTTATATTGTTAGTTTTATATTGTTATTTTTGTATTATGTTGTGAGCCGCCCCGAGGCTTTGGCGAATGGGGCGACATGGAAATGTTTTAATAAATAAATAAATAAATAAATATTCTTTATACGGTGAACACTTGATTTTTGGATTTCAGCCTATTTCAGAAATGTAATAAACACTTTAAGTTCTTAAAGAGGCACCTACATATTTGCTGTGCCTTCCATTCAAGTATGGCTGGAATATAAATGGGAGACTACAGATAGAATCTCAATGAATTTAGTTGCACTTAAGTGCTATTAAAATCAATCAACCTTTCACACTAAAAGCTACAGGATGCAAGGGTGGCCCTATATGGGGGCAATACTTGAAGAACTACAGAACTACATGGATCAGCTTGGAGAATGAATGTAGGTGACATGGTGTACTCCAAACATTTTTTTGGTAAATTCTCAGTCACCATAAAAAATCCTTCTAAAGCCAAGTGACAGTGGATCTTGTTGCAATTGACCAGGACCTTACGTAAAAACAATATACAATATGAAGTCATTATGGTAGTTTGTAAATACAATCTAGAAACAACTAATTTCTTTTACAGCACATTTCTATACCTATTTTCTTGGAAGTAAGTCCCACTGTATTCAATAGGGCTTACATCCAGGTAATTTTGTTTAGGAATGCAGTGTAAATCTAGCAGATATATTTACAGATATAAACATTTGAATTCAGGGAACTTACTGTCCAGAATCTAATAAAATACTGTAGATCAGTTGCAACAATGAAAAGGCAGTATAATAGAGAATATGCCAAGAACAGAAGGAAAAATTTGTAATTGGAGAATCCAACACAGTTGTTCACCCTGGGAGAAAAATAAAGCATAAATCACTGCAAATGCACATATACATACAAAACATACAAATTTAGTATCATCCATAATATCCCTTCATCAGCCAGCTGAAGACTTTATCTCTGATTTTTTCCCAACCTATAACAACTGTTGATATTCCTCTATTTTAATCATTTACTACTTGGCACAAAGGAAGACTAGAAACACACTACACCTGTCTTGAAAGACCTACACTGTTTGCCAGTTGTTTTCCATTCTGAATTCAAGATTGTTTTTAACCCTAAATAGCTGCCTGTGACTTATGATCTACAGGAGAGGCTGCTTTGAGTTGTTTTGGCTAGAAATGTGTAGAAGGGCTTTTTCTTGTGTTGTTCCTAAACTATGGAATGAATGCCCTGAAGAGCTATGATTAGTTCTCATTTTCTTGGTTTACCGGAAGGGTAAATCTTTTAAATTTAGCCTTTAAAATTATATAGTAGCTTGAAATGAGTGCTTCAGTGTACCAGCACTCCAAATATTCTGTGGTGGGCAGGCAGATGATTGCTGCAGGAGAGATGGAGGTGGCTTTTGCCTCTCCATTCTCCTTGGTACTCCCACCCTGCTCTTGACCTCTATAGAGAGGTCACAATGTCTGGGGCAGGAGAAGACATAGGATAGTGCAATTCTCCAATGTATTATCTAGTCCAAACTCATGAAGTACCACCCTACTTACCAAGGACAATGATGATCCATTTTCAAAATACACCTTAAAAAGACAAACAACAATAATATAATTTACTCTATAGAAATCACAGTGAAAAGTGAAGTTTTTCAAATAAAAACATATTAAGTAGTATTATCGCACCAAGAAGCATAGTGGGTAGGAGCTGGGCTACATTAGTCATACTTAGCTCCTACCAAAATCAATGCAGAAGTCAATTTGTCAAGTTAAATATGACATACTTGGTCTAAATCTAACCCAATAGAGCTGTTTGCACATCATGATACCCACTGTGGTTTAATCTACCTGCAGTGGCTGTTGAGTTGTGCCAGGCTTTCTTGCTATGATTTGCTGTATTGTATGGAATTGTTTTGAGGGTTAGACATTGGTCAAATACCCCTAAAACAAGCCATAGGTTGAGAACGAGGCAATCTTGCTGTCTGGATTTGCATGGCATGGCAAGCTGGGCACCCCAAGATGCCTGACACAATGCAACAGTTCCTGTGGATAAATTAAGCCACAGTGGGCTGCCATGTGAACCAAATCATTGTCTTGGGAGCAGCAACTCTCGAACCCCACCATCATCTAAGCTGCTTTTTTAGCAGTCTAAGAACTCATATTTTTAGAATGCTAAATAGGAAATGAAACCAAAAGCCTAACTAATTTCAAAATTAATCTCAAAAGGTGTCAGTTCACTTAGATATTAAATGGATGCCATCTACATACAGTTTCCTGACAATGAAGTGAGATTTTTATTTCTCCTCTTACAATGAGGATTCATGAAATCATCTGAACCTTCCTGCAGGTAAGTTCTGTAAACTCCTGCTTCAAGCACTAAAGATGAATTTATGATCCAGTACAGCTTCTAAAATCCTTGTAAGTAACCAATGTCTGAATCCATATTTAACTTAATACTATTTGTGACAAAATTTCAATTCTGTAAGATGCAGCTGAATATTTGAGGAAAAGTAATAAATGGCTGCTACACAATAGTTATTACTGAGATTTCACATTTATGTAAAATGAATCATGTGCTATAACATGGAGATTCCATACAACTGTTCTTTCTCCTCAAGAAAAACCTTTGAAATTTGAGTTAATTCATACTTTAATATGTGTGAAAATATGAGACAGGAAGGATAATACATGTGTCTAGTTCCAACAGAAAATTCCCACTGATAAATAATCTAGAACGGAGTATAAACTTTGCATGCATTCAGGCAGGAAAGGAAAGTTGTTGTTCCCTCAGTATAACCTATGCCAAATGCAATAACCTATACAAATGCAATATTCCAAAATATAAAGGATATAATTTTCAAAACAGTTACTCAAATTTAAATAGCAGGATCACATCCTGAGCAAACAAATAATTGTTTTAGATTGAAATTAATTAATTAAATAAGCACAATATATATGTATGTCTGTATGTATACATATAAATTATGTATATAATTTATTCAGTAACCTATACAGGTACTTTCATTAGTTATTTTTTTTAGTACAAGGGAAAATTGTAATGAATTCCACTTAGCCTTGTGATATTTGTTCCTTACTTATCACAAACAGAGCAATGATGACACCGGTCTGGCTTTACAAGCTGGCATCTATCACAGTATCTGATTGCTGTAAAAGCAAAATTAAATAAATAAATAAAATACTTCTGTTTAACATTATTGCTGATTTGCACACATTTTTAATATTCTTGCTATCATAGACCAAGAGATTGGAGCAAAAAATAGGTAGTACTTCAAATTCCAACTATTCTGCCAAGATTCTCTTCTTCAGGCAGAAAAAAAAATCTATAATGCAATCATGTATACGTCTACTTAGAAATACATCCCACTGATTTAAATGGGATGCTTTCTAAAGTAATCATGTATAGTATTGTTGCCATACCTTAGTGTGAATGTAGTATTGTTTAACCATATCTTGTCAGGTGAAAAATATTTTCTGATTTGAGTCTCTAACCCCAAGCCCACTCTGTACTCATCTAGTTCTGACAGGAAATTGGCAGTTGTGCTGGTCAGCACTTGGGCAGGAACTGTGTTCAACATATGCTTCTCTGCCTCCTCTGGAAACACAGGACCATTGCCAATTATCTGACAGAACAGCCATACATATTTTCAGAATGCTAAATATAAAATCAGAACCAATATGGTATAATGGTTAGAGTACTGTACTGGGACCCAGTATATTTAGGTTCTATTTCACACTCATCCATTAATCTCACTGAAGATTAGGCCAGTCACTGACTCTCAGCTTAACCTACCACACAGGATTGTTATGGGGATGAAATAGAGAGAAGGAAGAAAATATAACCCTTCCCTCGCACCACCGGGATTGGCAGAAAGAAGGTAGGGCATAAATATAATAAAAAAGGAAACTGAAGAGCTCACTAATCCCAAAATTACTCTCAACTGGTATTTTTCTTAGATATTAAATCACTCTAGCTTAGGTATAAATGTTTAAGGAATTCAGCCTGTGCAAATTCCAACATGATTCCAGATGAATGTTGGATCTGAATTTTGTTATCCATTGGTTTTTATACTTCTTAATTGTTCTGTTGTAGTTCTTGGCTCAAAAATGTATTAATATACTTTACAATGTATATTTCAATCTCTGAAATTATTTTAGAAACACATTTTTGAGAGAAAAGCCATTGAAAAATACATTTTTAAATGCAATATTTGTGTGAATTAGTACAGAAACGGGATGTAATGGACTTCAAACTGAACATATGCAAAAGTGACATGGACCAGAATGGGACTCATTCTTTATCCCTAATTAATATGTAACATCCCAAGATTCACATGTAACTTTTACACTGCATGTGATTATGCAATGAGTCTTCTGTAATGTACAACAGAACATCACTTCTGTTTACCTCCAGACATTGTTCTTGTATAGATGGGGAGGTCTCTGGCTACTCTTTTCAGCACTTCTTGATGAGTTTCAGTTCTAGATTCTCTCTCCATTAATTCTTTATCTGCATAGGACAGGTGGAACTAAGAAATAATGCAATTGTTAATTACTAGCAGAATAAGTTAATATCCTTACTCCCTGTAAAATAAAGTTATAATCTGCAAGTTAGTAATGTGTGCCAAAGACAGGGTGTAATCTGAAAATGATACTATGACTCCTTGAAATGTTCTAGTTTGATGCTGCAGTATTCATTTTAATTTATTTATGAAAAAATATCAGGGAAAAGTTGTGTATTTTGCTATAGAAAAAAAGAAAGGCAATGGAAATGCAGTACACAGTTTCATGGCTTGGGGAATGGTAATGAATCAGTGAAAGAACCATCTCTTGGCAATGGGCCTGCAGACACAATGTGGAATAATATACTCTGGCATAGTCATGCTAGGCCTAAAATATTAGCAAAGTTAGCAACAAGTTGTACAGATAAAGTACAAACAATGAGCGAACAAGCAAGATGACTACCTCTGCAATCAGGGTCCTTTAAAACCTTAGAGCCAATAAAAAAGAACTGCTCTATCATTGTGATCCATTCTGAACATTTAGAAAATTCATAATTCATGTGCAGTCCATTTAGCCCCTTCACACCATCATCAGTGCTTTCCAGAAATGTGAGAAGAATTCCGCTCCCTAAGCCTCTGCTATCCTCCAGGGGTGGTGTCCAAAGATGAACTTCAAACATTCATGGGCCAGATGGGGAACACACACTCCTGCACTAACATCCTTCACATTACCCATAAGTGGGTTGTTTTACTCTTGTTTGTCAGTTTAGCATGTTCTCCAAAGCCAGCACTCTTATGAACACCAGTTAGTCATGGCTTATGTAGAGCTTAAAGGACAATAAAATAATCCACGGTCAAGTAAAAAACAAAACCAAACCTAGTCTGCTGGCAGAAGTTGCAGCAATGGTTGCTGCTCTAGCCAAGAGGCTAGCAAGTGACACCTTTCTCAGGCACCACAACAAGCCAAACCAGCACTTCCCTCCTCCCCACAGCTTCCCTCCTCCCCACAGCTGCAGTGAGTCATCTAGCACTGGCAACACTTTGACTTTAATTTTTTAGATTGCAAAGGACCTGTCAAGGATGCTTTCCACACCCCCCATCTTTAAAAAAATCTGAAACAATAGTTAACAGTAGGTTCCAAAGATGCACCTTGGCATGAACACTTCTCTATGTGGCCACAGTTTACATGCCAAATTGCAACTGTGTAGTCCAGTGCTAACAATTTTGAACTATTCTCAAACTATTCAGCACCTTTTGCAGTAGAATCCTTGGAGGTTTTGGCAGGTGCTCATGTAACCCTGGCTGCCCTCACTTCCCAAGTATGGATAACACAGAGGTATAAGGGCCCTTCTTAAAAAAAAAAAAAAAACCCTCAAGAACATGTTAAAAAGAATGTTTTGGTGGACACCTCCTCCATTTTGCCCCATCTAGGCAGGACTGGTATGGTGGTGAGAATGTTGGACTGGGGACCTGAGAGATCTGGGTTCTATTCCCAATTTGGTCATGAAACTCCCTAGGTGACTTTGGGCAGATCACAGTCTCTTAGCCCAATCTACCTCACATGGTGGTGGTTGTGAGACTAGAATGGAGCTATGTTAGTACCCTTGGGGTCCTTGCAACAGGAAAAGAGGGTGAGACATAAGTGTAATGCAATGGAATGATCCCAGGGTTATCCAGTGTTAGGAAGCCCCAGTTAGACTCATATTGTTGCAATTTACCTCAGAAAGTGGAAAGCTTTGTGATTTAAAGGGACACACCCTTCTCTTTGCATGAGGGTTCCCCAAGTTTTGAAGTGCTCTGCTGCTTTACCTCTTGAGGTAGGAGTTACCCAAATAAAATGGGGAATTGCTGCAAGGAGGAGGAAAAAGCCCCTTGCCATGAAGCATACTCTCCCAGGGCCTTGCAAGGAACCAGCTGGTCATATTTTGACAGGTTGTCTCTCTGCAAAGTGAAGTGAGGGGGATCCTTTAAGTTAAATCAAATTGTGGGTTGCACTGTCAAGTTACCACTGGAATTATCTGAAGAGGCACCCCTTGAATGCCCCAAAACAAGTTCAGGAAAGGTTCCTTTAAGTTTTCATGATCTTAAAAAAAAAAAAAAGAGTCAAGGTGTGGCTAACACCAAGTGGCTTGCCAAAGCTCAGAGGACATCTTTGCACTCTTGCAGTATCCACTTGAATATGGCAGGAGGAACAAAGGATGGGGTAAAAAAGCACATAACCCTCGTTCCTGATTGTCTGTCAGGAACAGAGGAATTTTAACCCCAGTGGGTGATTAATTCAGGAGTTTTATTGTGTTGTGTGAAGCTTCCCAGTACGTGGAATTTAACTCATTTCTCTGTGTCAGTGGAAGACACCTATCAACAGAATGAGAACAATTTTCAGTCTTTCCTTCTCTGCAGTTCCCTATGCCTCCCAATCTTTTGCAGAGGGCCTCATTCTACTGAGTAAGATTTTTTTTTTAATAGAGTAACTAGTTGGAGTAACAAGGAGAAAACATTTAACAGCAGAAGCACAAATGTTTATCAAACACAACAACACCTTTGGAAACAATAATTTTTTTCTTTGCGATCGTTTTTTTCTGACTTCTCTCAAAATATGAAGAATATGGTTAATATAACCTAATCATGCCCAAGTAAGCTGATTAGCTCATATCAAGCCAATATTTAACACTAACATATGCTTATCATTGAAAGAATGCTATTTAAAAAGAAACTTTATATTTTCTTTCTTCCATGATTAATTTCAACTCATAGCTTTTGAATCTTAAGGAGTGAGGGATGGAAAGGTGATTTCACTTAACTGAATATACTCATTAAGGGGAAAATCAGGTAATTATAAAGGTCACTCAGAAGTGCAACTCAAATATCCAACAGCATTTCCTTTTGTATATCAAGTTCAATTTGTTTTTATATCAATTCCATACTACTTTAGCAGGCCAGGAAATATGAAAGGTAAAAACAAATGATGTGAAATAATTATTCCTTTAAATGTGTTGCATCAGCCATGATTTCCCCAGATGTAAAATGTTTGCCACTATCAATAAAAATATGATGCTAAGTAGTGGCCGTTAGAAGACTGGGATATAGAACTAAAAATAACAAATTCATACAAGACATTATATGTAATCACAGTACCCGATAGAATGCCTTTTCCAACCACAACATAGCTGAACATTAAATGCAACATAGCTTTCCTCATAATACCATCTCCAAGTGAGGCTCAGTTAGAGGCAAAAAGGAGGGGGGCCTTCTTTGTGAAAGTCCCCAAATTATGCAATGATTTTCCCACTGAAGTCCACCTGACACAAACTATGTTATCTTTTCAGGTCCAAGTTAAGACTGCCCTCTTGACAAAGGCATTTACCAACTCTAAAATGCACATGGGAACTAGGATATTCCCAGCTGTTTTTCTAGCAGGCCTAGCAGTATGGATCAGTATTAGTTGTTGAAGTTGTTCAAATTTGTTTTTAACTTATTAAGTGTAATTTTATGAGTTTATTGTTTAAATTTTATTTTTTGTATTTTGTATTTGTATTTTATTGCATTTATTAACTGTTATATACTGCTCAAAGAGCTTTGGCTACTGAGTGGCATACTGAATACATAAATAAATGAATGAATTTACTCCAAAAATACAAGTTAATGGGAACCTTACCCATCACAAACAAAATTAACATACAGGTTTTTCTAACACCAAATTGTAACTTACTTCTTTGGATGGATTCATTGGTAACGTAAAGATTGTTTTCCAGTAAGACCACAAAAACATCATGAAAAATAGATGATAGGCAATCAGGCACACCACTAAAACAAAATAATAAAATCAAAGTATTAAACAAGTTTTAGAATTGCACTGTGGTGTCAGAAATATACAGACAATGAAGAAGAAACCAAACATTCCCAACGGTTCACAATAGGGAACAATGCTATTAAGACATCAACATAATTATAAAATGAAGCAAAGACAAAGAAGCTTTGCAGTGCTACCAGAATGCGCCCAGTCTTGGAAAGCTTTCTAAGGTAAGTTCTGTGTCAGCTACTCATATCATCCATGCTTGCGCCCCTTGCTGTGTAGGCAAAAACATTTCTTCTTATTACTTATATAACACCATCATTGTGCATGGTACTTTCCAGAGTGGCAAGAACAAAAGAATATAAGAGCAGCCCTGTTATATCAGACTGCAGGCCTATCTAGTCCAGCACTGTTTCCAACAATTGCCCATGGGATGCCCAAAAGTGGCATGGAAGAGCAATAACTCTCTTCTGCTGCTGTTCCCCAGAAACTGATATTCCAAGGGCATTGCACCTCTGGATATTGATGGAATACATAGCCATCATTACTAGCATCCACTGGCAGCTGTGACCTCCAAGTATTTGTCTAATATGGTTTAGGTTGCAGCATTGTAGGTCACATTCTGGCTCACTCCTATATCCTCTGCCTCATTATCCTGATAACCACCTAATATTTTAGCTCTCCTGATAAATTATTTTCTCCTCTTTGCCAACTACATGTTGTTTTGCTTTGTTTGACCTGATGGCAACAATAAAAACTAAAGGGAAAAGCCGTATCAACTTAATTCTCCACATTACTGTGGCAACAAAGGCTTTTCCTGAAGAACCACCTGAGGGTAATTGTTATTTAGTGTTATAACTGGTGACGTAAACTTGATTAAAGGATCTATAGTGTTATTAGAGATGTCTATAGATGAAATTAACAGGGAGGCTAGATCTTTTGGAAGCTAGAATTTCACAGCTGGAAGATAAATCGGGGTCTTATGAAACTGTGTTGTCTGCTTTTCAGAGATCTAATCTTATTTTGAAGTCTAAGGTAAATGAACTGGAAAGTCAATCTTGTCATTGTAATCTATGAAGTATTGGGATAAGTGAAGAGGCTGAGCAGGGTCAACCAAGTGCTTTTATGGAGTCTTTTTCTATGATCTGCCCATGGACTATCAAGTAGATATCAATCAGGCACACTGAATCCTGGTGCCTCTCCCCATTTTATAGAAAGATTTGTCCATTCTTCATGAAGTTTTCAAGGTTTTCTGTCAGAGTTTATTTTAAGAGAGGCAAGAAGAGCTGATGGAAAGCTGGTAAAAGGTGATTAATGATATCCCCAGATTACACACACATACAAAGAAAAACAGCACACTTCCATTAAAGCTCAGGCATTAGCCTGTGATAGGAATCTCTAGAATTATATTCATTTTTATGCTTTTCTTCTGTTTAAAAATAGGATCTGATCAGAAAACCTTCAAGATGCCACCACCAGCAGAATCCAATTGCCTAAGGGAAGGGGGATGTTATCCAAGGTTTTAAAATTTCAAGTTCTTTTTCCTGTGTCCAGAATCCCTTCCCCTCCACCTTTTTCTACCACTGACTGAGCTTGAGTTCAAGACATTTGCATGTCAGAACGAGAAGGGTATATGCGTGTGCATATTTGTATTAGAAAGAAAGAAAAAGCTTTTATGTGTTCCAAAAAAGGAAATAAAATATTCTCAGGTGCTTGGGGAAAAATACTGTGCTTAATACATTTTGGAAAAATACATCTTTCCTTCCTTAGGGGCTGTTTATCTTTCTAAAATGTGTTGCAAAAAATCTTTCCAACGTTTCTTCTGTCTTAAAATGCATTTGGATACACTGGACCTGACAGTGACTTGTTAAGAAGGATCTGGCTGGTTCACCTAGATGCTAGCAATGCACTGAGGACAATGTCTCACTGAAGCTTTTCATGTGGACATGTCTTTATTGCTCATACAAAATTTGTTCTTGAAAAAATCTGTAGTAACAACCAATATACATGCACTTTTAAATTACATTCCTATGATGTGGGGATTATGGACAGCAAAAGTGGATTCTGGAATCCTTGCAGTTGCAAGGAGACTTCAAATTTGGTAAGAAAAATACCCACCACCTATCACTCAATAAACTGAAGTCCTTACTGCTCTCACTCCATTTCAGGCTATCTCCTACAACATGATGAGTTATATGGATGGCTGTTTAGCTATATGGATTGCTTATATTAATGTAGTATATGAAATGGAAATATTAAATCCTTTCCTCTGCTTTGCCTTTAACATCCCCATTAAAGCAGATGTTAATGGTTACTCTGTATCAATGTTTTATGTTATGAATCCCCTCTCCCACTTTTTTCTTTCTATTATTACTATTGTGTTGCAAATGAAAGGAATAAAAATGATAGTTTTAAAGCTGTCCAAGTTGGTTAGTAATGCCACATTTTGTGGCAGATAATTCATAATTTAATTATGAGATGTGTGAAAAAATAGATAGGTCTCTGCCCTGAGGAACTTCAAATTTAACAGCTGACATGGAGGAGGAAAGCAGAAGCAAAGGAAGGCAGACAAATAATATGTTCAGCACAGATGCATAGACTTAAGCTTAATTTCAGTGGGGGACACAAAAGAAATAAAGCAAAACAAAAGAAAGACAATATTATAGGGAAAGAAAACTGGATTTTCCACATTTACAATAGTCTCCTTTTAGGAGTACAACTGCTCCTAAGAGGAAAATTGTGGTAAGATTTCAGGCTTGTATGGCTGGATTTGGCTTGACTGATATTTGAAGAATTTTGCATCCTTGTGGAAAATACTGTATTTTGATTTCATTTGTCCATTATCATGGTTTCTGCTAGATTTAGTCTCTACAACTTGGTTATGTTAAATAAATATTTGCAAGATTGATACACCCCTAGTATTAGACCATGCTCCAACTTGCTTAAAGTTACAATTTTTAAATTTGGCATGGTCTCTTATTCTGTGACACATTTTTTTCCTTCTTAATGATGAGAAGTTTAAAAGACATTTCTGCTGTGTTACTTGAGCATTTAAAAAACAATGAGTGTATTTGTGATTTTTCTGCCACTGAGTAAGAAGCCAGTAAAACTAAATAATTGTTTTAATTCCCATAAGGAAAAAAAGTTACACATATATCAGAATAAGAAACTGTACCTCTTATAACTCAGTTTGCCCAACTTTACAATTTCATCAGGAGCTACAGAATATTAAGTATGAGTTGAATAATATCCTTCCACAGCAGGCAGGATTCATCTTAACTTGTAAACAAACAAGTGTATTGGGAAAATGGTGAACATCCCAGTAAGATTTTGGCATATTGCCTTAAACAGCAAAAACACTGAAATGTTATTTTCGCTATTAAAGACTCATATACCATTCTCCCTTAGATATACATTCACAAATGTTAGATCCACAACTTTTAAAAGTTTATTCTGATTCATATAGAACAGTTAGTGAATTATAACAGGATATGGAGGCTCTTTCCCCTGTTACTCTTCCATGTAGATTCCTCGCAATGGCAGTTTTTCTTGGCTTCTCTACTTTTATTCAGGATAATATGAAAGCTGTTATGAATAGGAATACTGGGAAATCACCTGGTTCAGACTGGTTTCCAACTGAGTGGTATCAAACATTTTCCAGCCTCTTCATTCTAAAGCTGTATCATCTGTCATAGTCATATTTTTGAATCAGGGTTCCTTTCTTCATCATTATTTATCTTTATATTAAAGTGATTCCTAAGCCTAGCAAGGAACACACTTCTTACTTCATTAATAGCTTCAACCAACCAGGGGGAATTTATTAAACATAGGCAAGGGGCTAATAGGCTTCAATTAATTGTTGATTTGACAGCTTTAAATACTGATAAATCAGACCAAGCTCCTATTGTTTCTTTGGAAGCTGAACAAGCATTTGACAAAATTCTTTGGAACTGTACTTTTGCTATCTTGTATACTTTTGATGATCAGGTAGAATGTTTGAAATGGGTTAAATTTTTATATTCATGAGCTAGAATTATTACCGGCTGTCTTCTCTTATATTTCTTTTAAATGGAAGAGATACTAGACAGGGATGCCCACTTTCTTTGCTAATAGTCAAGTTATGCCTGGAACTTTAGGCATGTGCTATTAGACAGAATAGTAATGTTCATTGCTTTGTGCATGATTATTTAGAATTTAAATTATGATTTGTGCTGTTAATATCTTATTGTTCATCTTGAAACTCCAGTCTGTTCCAACTTGGAAGGAATCAATCAGTACTTTTGTCCATCTGTCAATCAACTAGTCAAATTCTGAGCTGATCATAATTGGAGATACTATATCTCACAGTGTATTAACTTATTTGCAATTTCAGTGGTGCCTGGATTTTACATTTAGAAATACTTATTCAAAGAGAGAGATGCCAAAGGTTCAAGCTTAACTTGAATATGCTGATGATAAATAAGGTGACTTAAGATGTAGATAGACAGACAATTCAAAAGTTGAGTTCGTAAGGTAAGGTTAATGCACTTATGTTTAATATTGTATCCCGTATTATTCCTGTTTTACATGGGATTCCTTTATCTATACCTGAAAATATATTTTCAAAAACTTAACACTTCTGTTTTGTAATTTTTTTGGCAGGGGGTCACCTTATCACAAACGTCCTTGAAAAGGCTGCAACTTCCAATTAAGGAAGGTGACTTTTGCTTTCTGGAAGTTGTTTTATATCATCAAGTCCCTTTGTTGACCTGAAATAGATTTGGTCTTTTCTGCCTACCTTAGGTTTTCCATTTTGATCACTTCTGGAATTGTCCAGTCTGGATCCACTCTCTAAATAGTTAAGATTAGGTTCTTGGCACACAAAAACAGATAGGGCTGTTTCCACAGTTACAGCTACTAGGAAGGTACCACAACTGTCACCTTTCAATCTATTTTTCCATGCTAAAATGATTCTGCAAGGAAATTCAGGTTTTTAAAAGGGTAAGGATTTTTTTTTTAAATTGTGGACTTGGATGGCTGATTTTTATGTCAGATCAATTAGTGAGTGCTGCTGATGAGTTTTCATCATTTTGGTTTTGTTTGCCAAACAGAATTTGCTTGCCAGTACTAGCAATTGCAACATTTGTTCGATTCTAAGTTTGGCTCTGTCACATTCACAGCTTCAGAGTCTTCTTTGGTATTGAAAATACCAAAGCTTCTTTGGTATTGAAAATACAGAAGCTGAAACATGAGTCACATTTATAAATAAGTATTATTGGTGAAAAAATGATATACAGGAACAAGCTAGAATGGAATAGGGAATTGGACTGTCCCGTTTTGCCTAACCAATGCAAAATGGCATCTGTACCTCAAACATCTGTGGATCTTAGGTAATGCCTCGTTCAGCAAAAAATATCATTATGTGTCTATTTAAATACTGTATCTTTTTAATTAAGGTTTCTCTAAGTCAGCTAACATCTGGAGGGATAAAACAGCTAATACTTTGTCTAATCATACATTTGGGCAATGTCCAGTAGTTTCCTCTTTTCTGGAAGACTCATAATATGGAACAACTTTATACTGGAACACTCTACAATATTTACTAATGCACACATGTCCTCTTAAATTATCTACCTGCTTCCTGGAAATAAACACATAGTCTGTATAAATGGATTCTCCACAGTCTTTCAACAGTCTAATGACTGATATTACAACATTGGAAGGATAAATGCTTAGTTCCTCTAATGTAAGGACTTAACAATGGTTTCAACATTTGACTGGGTGCATATATGGATGCATACATGGATATATGGTCTGCATCTGCTGAAGTTTATAATTCTGTATAAATACAAAAAATAAGTATGTATTTTCAAATATGTGTGCAGATGTGTGTACTTTATATGTATCCACTGAAATTGATGTAGTCAAATACATGATTTGTTTGTTGATATTTACAATAAAATAATTTTAAAATAGCTTCCTTTTAGTTAGGAAGCACTCCAGTTGGCAACCCAGGATTAGGAATAGAAGCAACAGCCATTGCCTGTAGATAAAATCTAAGAAAAGTTGTAAAAACAGCTGAAGCAGCCAGAGTTATCTCTCTTTAGTTCTGAATCTGAAACAAACAAGTAACTGCATTTTTCCTATGATGGAATCAATGAAAATAACTTCTAGTCATTAATTAACATTCCTGGCAGAATAATGGATCCCATGAAGAACTCCAAGGCTGTTCTTCAACAACTTATTCCCTTGTGATAAAGACAGATGTAATACATGAAACCAGACCTCACAGTATATTATCAGTCAGTAGTGTAAACTCAGCTTCCTGACAGTTCTGCAACTGAAATGACAGGCATACCAATATATAGAACTTCAGCTCAAACTTCAGTTTTGGCTGTATCTTCTTGTTTCCAAGGGCTCCCCTTTTTATATTTTAAGTACATATCATGAGTTATTCATTCGTTTATCACCTCATTCATATCCTGTGTGAAAAGGAAACTTCTTTACAATTCAAAAGTACTCCAGAGATTGGATGAGGAATATTCGATGGCAACAGTATGCAAAAGCAGGAAGACAAGCCTAACCTCAAAGTCCATGAGAGGAGAGACACAGTTTTGTTGAACAATGTGGGGACATATACTGATATCACTGATTTAGAAATGTGGTATCTTTCTTTACTCCTTGTCTTACCAACCAACTTTATGTCACAACACTGTCAGGACTGTTCTTCTAACAAACCTCCAAATGACAAAAAAGATGAAGTAGCTACCCACATTTTGTCTTACAACGAATAACCTTGCAGAAAGTTATTTCTACATATAAGTGGAAAAAATATGTACCTGGATGGGTTTTGCTGTTACAAAGTACCAATTCAAAGTCTATGTTTCGAAAATCAATACAACTAGGAATTACTGTAAATCAGTAGCCTGAATTTTATTCTTCCAAGGGAAGCAACCACCTCTACAAACTGAAGCATAACACACCAGGATCTATTCTTCCTCTCTCCCATGTGCTGGTGGATAGTGAATTTGATCACATGGGTAGATAAGCTTGTATTGAATAGCTTAGACTACTCCTAGGTCATATCTCCCCAGTTTTTGCCCCCTTTTTGCTCTGTTCCAAATAACCTCTGCTTTATAAAGAGATCTGTTTCATTTGACTCCTACAGGAACTGCTTTATTCTTAGTATGCTACCACTCTGAGAAAGTGTTCTTCCAGTCATGGCAGTAATTCTACAGACAGGGTATAAGCTCAAGAACTGCTGATCCTGATGCAAGTTAACCAAAACAATTACACTAACAGAAATAAAAAAGAGTAGGAATCCAGTTGCAAAAGTTGTGATGCAAACTTGCTGAATATAAGTAAGTCTCAGTCTAGTCAGTGCCTGAATAACAGACCAGCTTCAAACTGTACATTTGCTACTGAGAAAAGAAAAGCAGAATGTAGATGTAATACACAAGTACTTACCTTTTTCTCCAATATTTGTCATTGTTACTGCAAGAGAAAGAAAATGGTTGAGAACAAGATGAAAAATGCTATTTGTCATTATTTGGATATAGTTAAGACTTTCCAATTTTCTTTACTGTGCATTTCTTTGGTTTGTAATATATACAGTTTAGATTTGATTATCTGTATTTGCTATGATAACCAATTACATCTCTCTTTTCAGGAACATACGGGATAATATACTGATATTCGCAAGGCTAACAAGAAAGTGCCTGCCATGGCAGAAAAAAGGGAGTTCTTTTAGGGGAAAAACCCCAAAGGATTATTAGATCTTTGAAACACTGGGCAAGCAGAAAGCTATAGCACATATGAAGGAAGAGAGAGGCAACCTTCACAGTACAGCCAAATCTGACAGGACACAGAAACTTTTACTGGAAACAGAGGGGTTTTTTCAAACTGCTGAATGTGATGGTGTGTAGAACTATGCTCCTAAAATGCTTGGGAATCTTAGCAGTAGGAAAGAATCTTCCTGTTCTGAGTTCCCTCCTTCATAGTGAGAGGCAGAAAAGAGGGAGATTGAACTAACAAAGGCAGAAGTTTTACATTATCTTAGATTCATGATAATATGTATGAATTGTTAAAATACTGAACCGGAAGCACACATAATTCATGACTGACAACCAGTGTCCTTCCCCTATGTTTCAATTTTATTTCATTTTTTAAAATAAATTATGGATATTCTTTATTATCTAAATGTAACTGATCTTTTAAGTAGATAAATGTCATCCACTGTTACTACTTAAACTATTTTTATGGATGAACCATCCTATCTGGCTACTGCCAAGGAAGAGTTGGCAAGTAGGACCTATGCCAAAAACTCTGCTGGGACACCAGCTCCATTTAAATCATTCTCTTCTCCTTCAAGCGTTTCATTCAAACTGGTCATTGTAAGACTTCTGTAACTTTAAACATTGGTATCTCAGTTTGCTTACCTCTCGGTCACTTTTTCTTGTTATATCATGTCTTTCAGATTGTATGCCTGTAGGCAAGGACTGTTTTCTTTGGTACTGATTCTCATAGTATATATAGAATGCTTTGAATAAATACTTCCTTAAGTCATATCTTGTGGAACTTTGAATAATGCTTCCTGCTTTGCAATCTTATTATGTATATAATAATATATAATACAAGCATATGCATGTATCAAAGTATATAATACTTATTTAATTTCAGTTGCAAAGGCTTAAGCATATTTTTAATTCTCCCATTCAAATCACTATGGGCTCAGAGTGTTTAAATTTTAGGGCTATATCTAATTGTTAATAGCAGCTATTAAATACTAGATACTAAAATTAACATATGACATGACAATTATTCTAATTTAAATATTTGACTGATTGTAACAACTAAGTAATAATACTGATTTTGAAAGTTTCCTTGAAAATTTGCTACCAAGCCTGCCCAATCTTTATATAGGCATAGTTTCACTGAGTTCAGTGAATTGCTCCCATGTGAGCATGCACTGAACTGCAGCCTGAAATGATTAAGTAATAACTGTTGAAAGGTTATTTAGTAATAACTGTTAATAGAATTATTTTAGAATTCATTCAGTAACTGCTTGGATTACTCTTAAATTTATTCATTTATGACACAACCCTACACATGTTTAGACAGAAAATGTCCTACAACTCCCAGCATTCCCTATCCAGCTTAATTCTCTTCTGCAAAGTTAGCTGAAGAATGCTGGGAGCTGAAGGATTTTTTTCTGTGCAAATACATATTGTACATTCACTCAGTTAATATTAAACAATTAGATTGAACTGATGGAGTTAGCATAAAGATTCAGAGTTATCTACAAAAACTACTTTAATATTAGTAGAAAAAACAACAAAATGAATAGGATGGTGCTAATTTGGCACAATTAGAATGAAGTAAGAACAATGGCTGAATACAGATTTAGGGACATACAAATTGTCCCTCCATTCCCCTGAAAGTGTTTGTTTGTTTGTTTGTTTAGGAGACTTCTATGCCACCTCATTCGCAGAAGCCTCGGGGCAGCTCACATCCATAAATAAACTTCCATAAAATAATATAAATTAACAGTATAAATTAAGTCGCCCTGGCCAAAGAATAAAATGAATAAATACTATTAACAATTAAAATGATATTTGAATAAAAAGGTCT